ATTCCATTTTTCCCATGTGTCTAGAATTTTATTGCGTCTATCAGAGCTCTCATGGGCCATTTTTTCGTACTGGCCATTGAGAGATACCTGTTGTATCACTTCGCCTATGGGGGGGGCAATGGTGGATTTCCACTTCCTAGCTATAAGCAAGTTCGCTGCTATCAGTATGTGGAATGCCAGAGTCCCTTGTTGTCTTGAGATGAGGTCGGGGAATATGAACAGTAGGAAGAATTCCACTGATTCCCGTATTGGTTTGTGTAGTACTTCCCCCATTAGCTTGGTGATCTCCGCCCAGAAGGGTTTGATTAACGGGCAATCCCACCAGATGTGTAGCATTGTTCCCTTGTCAGTGTTGCATCTCCAGCATTTGTCAGAGGTGTTTGGGAACATGTGTGCTAGCTTCGCTGGTGTTAGGTACCATCTGGTGGCTATTTTCCTTATTACTTCTACGTGGGAGTTGCATTTTGTGTATTTTTTGTGTATCTTAAAGGCTCCCGACCAGGCGGCGTCAGGTATTTTACGTCCTATGTCTACCTCCCAGTCTGTGGTGTATTTAGGCTTTGGTCGTTTATCGTCTTTCAAAATTGCCTCATAGCAGGTTGTTATGACCTTTTTCTTTGGTAGTAGCCCTGCGCACATTTTTTCTATATTGGTCATGTTTTGTATTGTGGGTGGGTGGAGGGGTTTCGTTTGGTTGGTGGTTCTTAGTAGGGATTGTAGCTGTAGGTATGACAGGCCACTTATTTGGGGTGTGCTCAGCGGCAGGTTGAGTTGGGGGAAAGGGATCAAGTTCTCCCCGCTCCATGCTTGGTGTAGAAAGACTGTTCCCTTGCCCTCCCATCCCCTGCTGTCGAAGGTGGGAATGTAGTATTTGAAACATTTGATTGGGGTAGCCAACGATATTGGGCTCCAGGAGGAGAACGTGTCTTTTTTATTGTCCCATGTCTTTAGCATTAGGGCCGTGGTGGGTAGCATGTTGTGCATTTGTGGTCTCAGGGGTTTAGGTATCCAGAATAGACAGGCGATCCCTTCTGCTAGGGACCAGTAGGACTCAATCTCCACCCAAGGTGGTTGGTATTTTGTATCTTGTGCCGCGATGGAGTGGCTGAGTATTGTGGCTATGTAGTAAGCTAGGATGTCTGGTCTGCCTATTCCCCCTTCTCCTAGTTTTCTAGTGGCTGTGGCCTTTGGGATGCGGGATTTGCGTCTGTCATTAATAAACCTGTCTATGTGTCTTTGCAATTGGCTAAAGTATGTCTTCGGGACTTCCACTGGTATGGATCGGAACAAGAACTGCAGCTTCGGGAGCAGCATCATTTTAAAGGCCGCTATGTGGCCCAGCCAGGACAGAAATTTACCTTTCCAATTGTCCAGTTTTGTGCGGATGTCGGAGGCTATTTTAAGGTAATTGGCTTTGATTAGGTTTAGCGGGTTTTTTGTTAGTTTTATTCCCAGATAAACCACATGGTCATTTCTCCAGTCAAAATTGTAGTGCGTTTTGAGGTTGTTTGTCGTCTTGTGGTCTAGGTTAATTGTCATGGCTTGTGTTTTGGCCTCGTTTAGCTTGTAGTATGAGTGCCTGCTGTATTCTTTCAAAACCTCTGTGAGTGCTTTGATGGAGGTGTCTGGTTGTGTGATGGTGAGGAGAACATCGTCAGCGAATAGACTGAGTTTGTGTTCAGTACTTCCTATGTGAACCCCCTGTATGTCAGGGTGGGCCCTAATTCGGGTCGCGAGTGGTTCGAGGGCCAGGACGTACAGCAGGGGTGACAGAGGACACCCCTGCCGCGTCCCATTGGTGATGGTGAAGGAGTCTGAGAGAAAGCCTCCGTATAGTACTTTCGCTGTGGGTACATTATACAGTGCCTAACTGCAGATAGGAATTCGTCTGGGAAGTCATATTTTTTCAGCACTGCTTCGAGGAAGTTCCAGCTAAGGCGGTCAAATGCCTTTTCGGCGTCAAGGGATACTAGAATCCCTTTTGTGTGTTGTCTTTGCATGGAGTGCATGATGTCAAGTACTCTCCTAGTGTTATATGTGCCTTGTCTCCCCTTTACGAAGCCAGATTGGTCTGAGTGGATAAGTGTCGTAAGAGCGTCTGACATTCTGTTGGCTATTATTTTGGCGAATATCTTGGCATCTGAGTTAAGTAGGGATATGGGCCTGAAGTTTTTACAGTGCGTGGGGGGTTTGCCTGGTTTTGGCAGGGTGATTATTGTCGCCGCTAGCATGTCTTGAGGTAATTTGGAGCTGAGAACTGAATCGTTAAATAATTTTAGCAAGTGGGGGGTCAGGCTTTTACGGAATTTTTTGTAGTAAATGTTAGACAGTCCGTCAGGGCCTGGTGTTTTGTTGGCTGGGAGATTCTGTATAACCTGCTCAATTTCTTCTGCGGTTATTGGTTTGGCCAGTGATTCCCTTTGGTCTGCTGACAACGTGGTAGTGTTAATGTGGTCTAGGTATGTAGTGGATTCCTCGGTAGTGGCGTGGTGTTGGTCCTGGTCGTTCCGGATGTTATAGAGCTGGGTGTAAAAGGAGGCGAATTCGTTACTAATGTCTCCTGGGGAGAGTATCTTACCAATTGTGTCAGAGTGTAAATGTGGTATCCGGGAGCGAGTCTGTTGTTCTTTCAGTGTGGAGGCTAATAGTTTTCCGGCTCTATTGCCCTGAGTGTAGTGGGTAAGTTTCAGTTTTTTCAGCATGAAGCTGGTGCGGTGCAGGTGTACCTCTTGGATTTTGGATTGGAGCTGCAGTATCTGTTTCTTAAGGTGTTTGGAGGGTTTTGTTTGGTTTTGTGTATTTAAGTGTTGGAGTTCTTTGCTCCATTCTGTGAGTTTGGCTTGGGAGGTTCTTTTTGCGTGGGCAGCCTGTTTTATGAAGAGGCCTCTTACTACAGCTTTGTGGGCTTGCCACAGTGTTTCTGTGGACATCATGGGTGTTGCATTAGCATTAAAGTATTGGTCAATTTCCGTCTGCATGTTTTCTGTGAAATGGGGGGTCTGGAGAAGCGATTCATTGAGTCGCCAAGGAGGTTTGTTTTTGAAGGCAAATTTGTCTGCTATCGTGAGGATGATCGGGGCGTGGTCTGACCATTCGATATTCCCAGTCTCGCATTCCAAGACCTGTGTTAGTTGTGTGCCTTTTACATAATACCTATCTATTCTGCTGTAACAGTTATGTACAGATGAGTAGTATGTGTATGCTCTGTCTGGGGGGTGTTTGGTCCTCCATACATCGTAAAGATTGTAGGAGTGGAAAAGTGTGGTTAGTTGTTTGGCTAATTTCGATAGTGCTTTGAGTCGTGTGGGTGTTTTGACGGAGGATGAGTCCAGTACAGGGTCTTGGATACAGTTGAAATCTCCTCCTAGGATAAGGAAACCCTGTTGTTGTTTGTCGATTTTGGCTAGGATTCTAGTTAAGAAGTCTCTTTGGTGGTCATTTGGGGCGTAGATGTTGCCTATTGTGTATGTAACGTCGTTGATCAGAGCTATGATTATTAAGAAGCGACCCTTAGAGTCAGCTATTTTTTTGATTAAGGAGAAAGATACTTGGTCGCTGATAAGGATGGATACCCCTTTGGATTTAGTGTCTGAAGTTGAGTGGAATTGGTATGGGAATTGTTTGATGCCGAAGCGGCATGGGTCAGATTTGCGGAAGTGTGTTTCCTGCAAACATATGATGTCGCCCTGCAGTTGTTTTATTTCTTTGTAGAGGGCATGACGTTTTGATGGGGTGTTCAACCCTTTAACATTATGTGATATTATCCGCATAGTGTGTGTACAGTGTGGTGTAGTAACATACCCGTATATCCGTGGGATTCCCACCCCCCCTCGTCCGTCGTACCTCCTGTGGAGAAAAAGGAAAGGAGAAAAGAAGATGAAAGGCTAGAAAAGGAAAGGTGTCGTGTTGAGTGTCGCATAGGCGAACACTCAGGACTAACTCAGGGCTATCCCCCATTGAGTTAAAGTTAATCGCCCTCCGGCGAACAGAGTTGGATTCGGCTGTACTGAGCTTGTCACCCAGTTCCCTTCGGGGTTGAGGTTAGGCTTGATGGGTTCGGGTGTCCACGCTCCGTACAGGCGGATCTATGCACTTCTAGACAATGTGGTATGAGCCTCAACTTGACATATAAAATTAACATTAGTAACAGGTACATATTATAACACATTGGTTTCCTCTAACATGAGGATTTAACCTTAAACAATCCCCAAAAGATACTGCAATGGTTGGCCGCTTTCTATGACTAAGTCTCCTCTAACTTCCTCTCCCCGTCCCCACCTAGGTGAGTGTTTATCCCCTCCTTTCCTTAATGTGGGTCCTCCAGTAAAGGCTTCCCCCTTGTTGGGATCCTCACGCCTCAGGCGTATTTGCTCTATTTCGTCGGAGTAGTCAGGGGATAACGTTGTTTGGGGGGGAGTTTTAAGGGTTCGTTCCTGGCTGCAAGTGGGCGGTTAAAAGGTCCCCTGGCTGTGGAAGGTGATCTTTTGTCCCCGGTCGTTGTGAGATCGGAGCCAGTGTAGGGGTGGGGGTGCTATGCTTGGGGCTTGTGTTTGGCCTACTGTTTGCCCTCCCCGCTCCCTGCTCCCACTAACTTCAGTGACCCAATGCTACCTTTTCTCTCCAGTCACTGAGTCGGTCCCATTTAACCTGAGTGGACGTCTGTCGGGTGTCTCGGGTGATGCCCCTCACTGGTGGTAGTCCCGGGACGGGTCTGTGGTTGCTTGTATTGATAAGTGTCTTTTGGGATCGTTCCCAAGGTGATCTTGACATGTGACAGCGTAGGGTGAGGAGTAGTCCCTTCATGATGCCCCTGGATGCCCCTCAATGTTTCTGTAGCCCTCTCCACAGCCTCGAGGGTGTTGATTGTAGCTGCCTGTAGTGACTGCGGGGTCCATGGCGCGGGTGGGTCAGGTCACACAAGGGGGCCTCTGGGGGGGGAAATCAAAGTTCTTGGAGATCTGTAGAGTATGGTAGTTAACGGCAACAATAGTTTGCAGTGGGGTGTTGTGGGCGACGGTTAACGTTTCGCCCGTTTCCACTCAGGAGGTAGGGTGTTAAGTGTTTGGGGTGGATCTGCCGGCTGTATATTCCATTTGTTTAAGAGTTGTATGCCGTCTTCTGGGCTGAGCACTGCCGTGGCCTGTCCATTACGTATGATTAACAGTTTGGTGGGGAAACCCCATCTGTATTGGATTTGGTGTTTTCTCAGGGCGGTTGTCACTGGGGTGAAGAGTCGCCGCGTGGCTAATGTTGCTGGGGATATATCAGCGAATATTTGAATGTCCTTGTAAACTTCAGCTAGGGATTTGTTTGTTCTGCTGGCTCTGAGTATCTCTTCCTTGATATGGTGGTAATGTGCGCGTAGTAGCACGTCTCTGGGAGCAGATACCGGTGCTGCTTTTGCTTTAGCCACTCTGTGTATGCGGTCCAAGAGAAGCATTTGAGCTGGTATGTCAGGACATAGGTTCTGGAACAGGTTCGTGGCGAATGCTTGTAGGTCCCCCACTGCCACAGATTCTGGGATGCCCCTGAGCCTCAGATTGTTCCGGCGGGACCTGTCTTCAAGGTCTGCCAGTTTATCATGTGAGGATATGTGTGCTTCCAGTTGTTTAATTTTAGTGAGCATGGTGTTGTGTGCAGCTGCATGGGTTTCCAATTTATTTTCTAGGTGCTCTGTCCTGTCTCCAATGGCTTGAATTTCTTTTTTCAGGTCAGATATGGAGGTTTGGAAATGTGCCAACAGCTTGTTTGATTGGGCATCTAGCATGTTTTGTATTAGGGCTGGGGTGATTTTTCCCTCTCCCTCTTGTGTAGTGGGTAAGGGGGGGCTTGAGTCCTGACTTTCCCCTGAATCATTGTCGCCATCTTGGAGGCCTACCTGGTCGGCCGACGGCCTGTGCTGGTTCCTCGCAAAGTGTGCTTCATTTCCGCTGGTCAGAGCAATTTTCCCATGATCCTTACCTTCCCTCTGTGTTCCCACAATGCTTCCTGTCATTTTACATGAAACTGCCGAATTGCGTTCTAACTGAATGAGAACAGTATGTTCGTTTCTCTTAGAACGCAATTCGGCACTTTATTCGGATCGGAATTTCATTCTAATGAATGAAACGCTGATCCTATTCATTGCTGTGGCTGCATCTTTCAGCCGCTTAGTAGATAACTCCCTAATTCCCACGGTATCAGGGAGCTATCTACTAAAAGGCTGAAAGACCTAAATTGGTCTTTCAGCCACATTTACTAATACTAAGTAAAGATTACTTAGTATTAGTAAATTAAATGCCCCTACTCGCTATACCGCGAGTAGGGGCATGTGTAGTAAGCAGTGAGCAGCATATAGCTGCTCACTGTAAAAAATAAAATAAAAAATAATAATACCCCCCCATCTTTATTTCGGGCCCCCACGGTGGGTGGGGGCCCTAAATAAAGATATGGGGGGGGAACTTCTGGCCCCCACCCCTGCGCGGTGGGTGGGGGCCCTAATAAAACAATAGGGGGGGGACCTAGTGTCCTCCCCCCCTGGCCCCCACCCCTGTGTGGTGGGTGGGGGCCCTAATAAAACAATAAGGGGGGGACCTACTGTCCTCCCCCCCCGGCCCCCACCCCTGAGCGGTGGGTGGGGGCCCAGTAAAACAATAAGGGAAAGTTCTTGAATTTTCTCCACTATGTAAAATGACCAGGAGCACTCTGATTGGCTTAAACCCACCCAATCAGAAAGTGTTCTAAGCCCACTGCAGGGCGGGCAGCAGCTTTATAAGCTTTGACCATTTCAAGTGGAGCTCAGTTCAAGGCGTCTCAAGGGCTAACATGGATTAATACTTTTTATGCTTTTTTTTTAACGAGCGACGGGTATAATGGATTTTTATTTGGCCTTTTGGGGGGCTGAAGAAAGAAGATTTTAGAAAAAAGAAGACGTCAAATGGTAAGTTTAATTTTTTTTTTTTACAGGTTAGTTATTTTATTCCCCCCTCACTATTTTTAGGGTGAGGGGGGTAGGTAGGGGATAGGTTTATTTGGGTGGGGGGTGGGGGTGACTAGGGGCTTGGGACCCCTAGTCACCTTGATTGCTCATTTAGGCCCCCACCATCGCCGTCAGGGGGAGGACAGTAGGTCCCCCCCCTTATTAGGCTGCCTTACTAGCCCCCCACCCACCGCCAGGGGTGGGGTTGTGGGGAGGACAGTAGGTGTCCCCCTCTTATTAGGCGATTAGCCCCACCCACCACAGGGGTAAATAGGGGGAGGACAGTAGGTCCCCCCTTATTGTTTCATAAGGGCCCCCACCCACTGCAGGGCAGGGCCAGAAGTCCCCCATATCTTTGTTTAGCCCCCACCCACCGGCCAGGGTGGGAAGTGTTGTGGGGAGGACAGTAGGCCCCCCCCCCCTTATTGTTTTATTAGGGCCCCCACCCACCGCTCAGGGGTGGGGGCCAGGGGGGGAGGACAGTAGGTCCCCCCCCTCATTATCTTCATGGCCCCCACCCGCCGCTCAGGGTGGGGGAGGACAATAGGTCCGCCCCCCCTTATTGTAATTTATGTCTTTTTTTTCAACAGTGAGCAGCCACAGGCTGCTCACTGTTTAGTAGACATGCCCCTACTCGCGGTATAGTGAGTAGGGGCATTTGGGAGATTTTAATCTCTCTTGTGCTATTATGGGGGTCATATTGACCCCCATAGAGTGAGAGGGGGTACTGGGGGCTTATGAAGTGGTGGGGAGCACTGCTCCCTGCCACTTCTATAGTTACATATTACAAGGAGGGAGCTGCATGCCGGTAGCTCCCTCCTTGTAATAAACTGCACGAACAAACATACACTGATACATTGTGTTTGTTTGTTCGGCTGATATTTCTATTCACTCATTCGTCTGTCTGATGAATGAATGAATAGATGAAATTCCCGTTCGCATGTCCAGGTGTTTCACTGGGCATGTGCGGGAATCTCACAGTCTGTCTAGTGTGGGCTGAAGACGTGTCCCACAGGGACTTCACCTATCCACACAAAGATGGCTGCGCCCTGAATATAGATCGGGGCAGAAAATAAGGATTAAAAAATAGGTAATGTGGGGGGCTTGGGGGCATTTGGGGGTGACTAGTGGGTCAATTGGATGTAGTGGAGGCGGGAGGGGGGTTAAAAAAAAAAACGAGATTCGGCATGACAGTACCGCTTTAATAGGATATTTAACATAAACCTGTTGTAGTTCAACTTTATATATTTAATAAAAAGTAGCTGTAAATGAGAGAGAGGTAATGGGCTTTTGATATTAGAGTAACACAATAGTCAACCAAACTATTTTATCTCAATAAAGTGGTCTGGGTGCAGTGTTAGTGTCTGTTTATTTATTTTTATTTTTATTATGCGTGTAATAAAAAAAAAAAGAAGCTTGATAAGCCACGACAGCTATAACAAGCCTAGTAAAAACAGACAAAACCTAGTAATGTCTATTTTGAAGTAATAACAAAATAGAGTTTTGAGTACTAAAGAACATGCTAAACGGTGATTGTAATATAACCTGCTTAGTGTGTACTAGACTGCCTGTAACTGATAGAAACAATAATGGTACCGCTGGACAGGAGCCCCCGAAGCGACATCAGCAAAACAAAACCAGGTGCCTGCCCGCTGGTGAGAGATTTAACAGAGTGAGACTGCCAAATTGGGTATACAACAATAGCTCGGCACTTAAAGGGACACTCCAGGCACCCAGACCACTTCTGCCCATAAACTGCAATAATTACATTGCAGGGTTAATTCCTCCTCTAGTAGCTGTCTACTAGACGGCCACTAGAGGGCACTTCTGGGATTCTAGCACAGGTTTTTTTGTGCTAAAGCGTCGCTGGACGTCCTCACGGAATTTGTGCTAAAATCCCCATAGGAAAGCATTGAAAAGCAGACAGCCACTATAGTTGCTCCATGGGTCAGTGCTACACACCAATGATGAGCGCTTCTCATAAAGAAGCAGCATTGGGCTTTACCATTGGAAATCATTGGGAGGCTATTGCGCGTACGTGTCAAATCACCGTTCTGCGCCAATCAGCATCTCTTCATAGCGATGCATTAAATCAGTGCATGTCTCTGAGAAATGCTCATCACTGGTATGAAGCACTTCTAGTGGCCGTCTGAGTGACTGCAACGAGAAGTCACTTAGATCATCAAGATCATAAACACTGCATTTCCTGAAAAGTCAGCCCTTCCATTAAAAAGCATGCAGAGGCAGGCTATACACACCAGAACAACTGCATTAACCACTTAAGGACACAACTTTTGGAATTAAAGGGAATCAAGACGGAATATTTCCGTAATGTGTCCTTAAGGGGTAAAGCTGTAGTTGTTCTGGTGATTATAGTGTCCCTTTACTTGTGGCATGTAGTGTATGTAGTAGAATAATATTTTCAGGCATATATCTTACAACATAAGCATGGTCAATGTCACTACTGGACTCTGGGGCCGAGTAAACATGCTAAATAATGCTTCACTACATGGCAGTCTGATGAAAGAATCTGGGTTTGATTAATGTCACCAGAACACATTAGGTGCCTATAAACTGGAAATAAATGCTAGTCAACAAGGCCATGCATAGTTGTATAATGATGTGTGTATTTTTCTTAAGTTCTTTGATACAGAAGATTATGTATGCCAGTCTTCAACCAGACACAAATACACAAAACGCTGATTTTGTGATCTTTGTATATTCACAAATATATAAAGTTTGGTGTAGGAGGGATAATGGTATGGAACTGGTTTTCAGGTTTTAGGTTCTTGGTTCCAGTGAAGTCATCTTAATGCTACTGGATACAGACATTTCAAATAGTTAGGTGCTTCCAACTTTGTAGCAAGTTTGAGGAATGAAAGCCCTTTTCTATTCCAGCATGACTATGTTGCTGGACACAAAGTGAGGTTCATAAAGGCATCGGTTGACAAGCTTCTTGAGGAAATCAAGTTGTTTGCACTGAACCACAACCTTTACTCCATTAAATACATTAGATTTAATGGAGTAAACATGGACTATAAATTGAATGAAAACACTGATTGCAAGCCAGACCTTCTTTTCCAGAATTTGTGCCTGACTGCAGAAGAATCTTTTTTTTTTTTGCTATTTGGGCACAAAATTCCAGATACAATCCTAAATTTTGTGGAGAGCCTTCTTGCAAGAGTAGTCATCACCTGACGCACTCAGCCAATCAGTGAATCCCCATTTTATAAAACTTGCTTGAAAAAGGTGTTTCTTTTCAAGCCACGTTTATGAATTGGGACTCATTGATTGGCTATGAGTGTCAGTTGGCCGCTCACAGCCAATCAGCAGCACTGCTTTCTGATTCTGCAAGAGCCTTCTTGTTTAGAAAACAGAGGGTCAAGGAGTCAGGGACATTCAGCATGGAACAACGTTTTTGGGGATAAACCATTTGAGAACCTTAAGTGAGTCAGCGCCAAAGACCTCCTGATACTAGAACGTCAGTCAATGAAGTTATGGTGCCCGGATTGTTTCTTTAAATATAGTTGGCGTATTAGATGACATGTCATAGAACAGTGTGCATACTATGAACTTGGTCTAAAAAATATGGTTGCTGTAGATCCTGTATGCCTGTGATTACACTTCCCTGTGTCATGGTCAGGAGGTTCATGAACCCAACAAAAAAAGCAGAATATCTCTTGAAACAGAATGACCATCTGTTGCATGTGTTGGTTGATGGTATACTAGTTGAATTTTACTCTCACTTTTCTGTTCTCCAATCTATAAAGAATTCTCCATATACAGTGTTTTCTCTGACTCAAAATATTTGTTTCCATTTAGAAATAACAGCTTTGCACGTTTATCCACTTTGAAAACCATGACAATATTCATCAGGTCCTATTTCTATAGTCAAGATTTATGTGTGTAAAATATAGCCGCCTAAATATCCAAACAATGCAGATTTTACTGTAAATGAGCAGAGTTAGTGTGTGCATGTGTGTGTCAGCTCTGTTCTGATTATGTTCTCACAGCCACCATAGTGTACCCAGGCTTTAGTGCATTATCCTTCATCTCCCCATTTTTGTTTGTATACCTACAATGTGGGACAAGTTTTACATCAAACTGATCCTTTCAACCATAAGCTCATCCTCTAAACTGAACCCTCCACACACATAAGGCACTTCAGCTTATGTGTGAGGATTTGATTATTTTATTTGAAGTTTATAAAAGTGCTAACTTATATTTCAATGTCAGACAGCCAGGGAAGTTACCTTCTTGAGTTGGTTAGCTCCACAGAAATAATGAAAGTGACAGGTGTGCCTGCCTTCTCTCCCAAGTCACAGTGACAAGAAGCCTAATTTGCAGAGCATTTACTCTTGTTGAGTTATACCTGTGGCAGAAGATGGGATTAAACTCTGTATGTGCAGTTTTTCATACTCCCAACACACTGCACATATAGGCTGCAGGCACCATTACAACTTTAAATATATGAAGTGATCATGGTGCTTGGAGTAGCCTTTTAACTCTGTCATGCTGTGATATTGTGCTGATGTTTCTTTCGTATACATGACAAAAGACAACATTTAAAAGTTGAAAAGCATCTTGAAGGACCACTATAGTGCCAGGAAAACAAGCTCATTTTCCTGGCTCTATAGGGTCTTTGGGTCCAACTCCCGCCGGGCTCCCTCGACGCTGGGGACTCTCGTATCTCTTCCGACGTCATCCACAGAATGCGCATGCGCGGCAAGAGCCGTGCGCGCATTCAATCAGTCCATAGGAAAGAATTTCTCAATGCTTTCCTGTTGGCGTCTTCTCACCCCTTAAGGACACAACTTCTGGAATAAAAGTGGATCGTGACAGAATATTTCTGTCATGTGTCCTTAAGTGGTTAATGCTGCAAGCTTTGTGTAAACATTCCAAGAGGAAGATATTGTCCTTCTTTGTTTACTTTTTTATTTAAAGGAACACCCCACACACCTAATGAACCTTAGCTTGCTGAAATCCTTCGTGTGAATAGTGTCCTCATTTTTTTTTTTTCTTTATTATGATTATTTGTATTTCTGTTTAAACCTGGTAATTCCATCTTCTGTTCTCTGACAAAGAGTGCTGTTATCTAAAACATGATCCATTTGTATTTACAGGAAATGTAAGGGCCAGTAACATTTGTAATTATTGCTTTTTTTCTGTAACCATTTTACTTTAACTTTTTTGGTTCTCTATGCTAATTAATGCCAAACCTGGATCAGATGAGTTAGTTAGAAGTCATGTTGCAGCATGACAGGCCTGTTGACTATATTTCCATGATCATGTTTGTGTTACTTGTATTAGCATGTTTCTTTAACCCATTATTCTGTGGATGTGATTCAGCAAGTCTATATCCAGGGTTGGGCTTTGTTCATTTGATCTTGTGACACAGCTCTGTTTCTTAATATTGGACCATAATAAGAAGTGAAGTGTGATTGTAACGTAACCATCATAGCTGTGTGATTGCCAATGTTGCCACTCTGTATCATAACAATTGTATACACAAGTCACACCTACTTTTATCTCCTCTCCATTTTTATTTGTTCCTCTTATGCAATAAGCTTTGCCCTTCCCCCCCCCCTAAAAAAAATTTCCTTTATATTTTCACCATGATCCCAATTTATGTCTTTATATCTCTGCGGTATATCTCTTCCCTTGCCCTTTTTTACTCTATTTTGTCTTCTCTCATCCACGTCCTTTTTGCCTAGTCTCTTTCCACCTTACCTACACTATATGGACAAAAGTGTTTGGACACCTGACCATTGCATCAACAGGGACTTTTATGATATTGCATTCTAACTACATAGACATTTGATATCTAGTTGGTTTCTCCCTTTGCAGCTTTAACAGATTCCACTCTTCTGGGAAGGGTTTCCAGAAGATTTTTGATTGTTTTGGTGGGAATTGTTGCCCATTTATCCAATAGAGTATTTGTGAGGTCAGACACTGATGTTGGACGAGAAAGTCTGGCACGTAATCTCTGTTCCAATACATTCCAAAGATGTTCGATAGGGTTGAGATCAGAGCTCTGTGCGGGCCTGTCAAGTTATTCCACATCAAACTGCTCCAACCATGTCTCTGGTCATTCTTTGTATTGGGGCACAGTCATTCTTAAATGGAAAATGGCCTTCTCTAAACTGTTCCCACAAAGTTGGAAGCATAGCATTGTCGAAAATGTCTTGGTATACTGAAGCAGTAAGATTTCCTTTCACTAAAAGTAACTGGCCTAGCCCAACTCCTGAAAAACAGCCCCATACCATTATCCCTCTGCCACCAAACTTTCCAGTTGGCACAATCCAGTCAGGCAGGTAATGTTTTCCTGGCATCTGCCAAACCCAGAATCGCGCATCAGACTGCCAAACAGAAAAGCATGATTCGTCACTCCATTGGTCCAGAGTGAAGTGGTGGCATTCTTTTCAATTTATTTAGTTATGTGAGGCTTGCATGCAGCTGCTCGGCCATGGAAACCCATTCCAAGAAGCTCTTGCGCACAGTTTTTGTGCTGATATTAATGCCAGTGGAAGTTTTGAATTCTTTGACTATGGAATCAGCAGTGCGTTGGTGACTTTTATGCACCATGCTCATCAGCTCTTTATGATCTCCTGCTTTGTAGCAGAGTTGCTGCTGTTCCTAAACGTTTCCACTGTCCAATAATACCACTTACAGTTGACTGTGGAACATCTAGCGGGGATGAAGTTTCACAAACTGAAATGGTGGCAACCATTCACAGTACAACGCTTAAATTCCCTGAGCTCTTTAGAACAACTCATTTTATTTTTCTCAAATGTTTATAAATGCAGACTGCATGGATAGGTGCTCGTTTTTTGTTTTTTTTTAAACACCTGTTGCAATGGGTCTGATTGAAACGCCTGAATCTAGTAATTAAGTGGTGTGTTCGAATACCTTTGTCCATATAGTGCATCACATCTTTGATTTTTCACTCTTGCCCCTTTTTCACCAGCTTCCAGCATCTCTTCTGATAATTCCATTCTTCATCCATAAAGTCTTTAATCTAATTTTCCATTACCCTTTTGTCTCCAGATCCTCAAACCATCATTTTCCTTCTGATCATTATCCCCCTCACACTCCTTTCTTACTTTTATCACCAGATCACTTTCCTTTTTTTTTAAAAAATTCTTTTTTTCTGTGCCAAGTTGTACATGCGAGTTACATTCAGCATTTCATGAGATCGTAAGTTTGCAAATATTCGACAGTAGCAAGTAATCCCTTAGTATGTGGGGTTAGTTTTAGGATTTACGGTGAAATGCGTTTGGTAAGCACTTTTTTATTTCAGCCATGTTTGGGAACAAACCCGGGGCTAGCTAGATGTCTGCAGGCTAGTGATTGGCTTGTGTTGCGCTCCCGGGGTACTACAGGCGTGGGGTGTGATGTATGCTCCTTTGTGGTGCATGAGGCTGCAGGGCTGCATAGGAGCCTACACATGTGTGGTGTCAGGTTGGCGTCTATGTGCGTTGATAGTGCCAGGATGTGTGTACCTACTGGGTACTATATGCGGAGTGATGTTCATGGTCGTGTGGACGTTGATCCGGTCGATGACTTGGTGGTGGACTGGCACGCTTAGTGTTACCCCTGACCTAAGGGGGTGGCGGGGGGGGGGTGTTTAAGGCGCTTCTTGTTGCCAGATTGCCTGGGTCTCAGAGTCAATGGCATGCTGAGTGAAAGAGGTGTGTAAACCCCGTTATGTTTCTGGGCAGTGGTACCTATCCCAGGAGTTGGGGTGTGTTGTCTGCATGTGCATACAAGAAAATAGAAGGAAACGAGATTAAAAAAAAAACAAACAAAAAAAAAAAAAACCATAGTAGCTAAACATGATAAACTCTTAATTGGTTTGGGTAAAAGTCCAAGCAAGTAGTTGGTCAGTGTGGTTTTCGATAGCCAGATGGTTGTTCAGCGGCCAGGTTGGCTCAGTCCCAGATAAGGGTCAGGTGTTGGGGCGCTTTGGGTATTCCGCCAGTTGTCCGGATGAGGAGTTGGGTGTTGGGTCCCAGGTGACATTTTGATTGTCGTCTGTGGTAGACGGTTGACTCGGCTGCAATCCCATTGCAGACAGGAAGGCTGGGGCTCCCATGGGGGAGGCAAGGTTGTGGGTGGTCCCAGCATGATGGACAATTAAGGAGCCGGTGTTCCCCTATCTGTATGAAATGTTCGCTTTGCGTAGAGTGGACGTTACTGGGCCAAAAGATTTGCGTCTAAGCAACGTGGCTCTGGTGAGGTCTTGAAAAAAATAATAACTTTGCGTCCTCAAATTCCAGTGGCGTTTTGCCTTTCAGGGCAGTCATTATTTGAATCTTGTCATGTATGATGACACATCGCAGGATGACATCTCTGGGGGTGCCCGGTGCGGTGCGTGCTGAGCCTGTTACTCGGTACATTCCGTCCAGTGTGATTTTCTTAGCTATTGGTTGTGACAGGATTGTAGTTAAGAGACGTCGCGTGTAGTGCGGCAGTTCTTCAGTGGTGATGGTGTTGGGTATGCCGCGGATCTTTATATGTGTTCGGCGTTGTTTGTCTTCAAGGGACATTATTTGGGTTGCTAGGACATGTTGTTCCATGTGCAGCTGTTGGACTGAGTCTTTCAGGGTGGTCATAGTGGTATGGACTCCTGCTATGTCCCTCTCTGCGTTTGTGACACGGTCTGTGACTCGTTGCATGTCCCTTTTAATCAGGGCTACATCTGCAGCCAGTAGCTTCTGGATGTCTGCCAAGAGGGCTTTCAGGTCCCCTTTAGTGGTGGGGGCTGAGTCCTCTGGAGAGGCTGGGGATGTTGTGTGTCCCACCTGGGGGTTCTGCGTGTGGAGGGTCTCCTCTCCTTCTGTCTCCGGGACGGGGGCCATGTTTGGCGGGAAATCCGCATATGCTGTCGCGGTCTGCGCTGGTCGGAGCAGCATTTCCCCTATGTCCCTACCTTGGGTAGTATTTCCAGCCGTGGGTTTAGGGGTGCGTCGGCCCATGGTTGGTGCGTCCTGCAGGGGGCAGACTGGATAGTCGCGACCCGCTCTCTGTCCACCGAGGAGTGCCTCGAGGCTGAGGATTGGTGTGGCACAGTAGGCCGCGGTTTTGCGCCGCTGCCTGGGTTGCTTGGTGGCTTGAAAAAAGGGCATTAAACTGCTCGCCCCAACGTCGTGGTGCTGGAGATGCACTTTGTTTTGCCGGATGACCCCTGTGTAGGGTGATTTTAGCAAGATTGTGGTCGGCAATCTGGGAGCTGCGTAAGATGGCGTCTATACAGGTTGGTCGTCAGGCTCCGCCCCTACCAGATCACTTTCCTGCCTCTGTCCTTATTGCACTTCTACCATCACCCTTCTCCATCAGTTTGATATAATGCAAATAGATTTACTATTCATACTGTTTCCTAATTCTTAGTGTGCCATCGTCATGCAACTGTATGAATCAAAATAGGTGCTATCACATAGAAAGTTGAAGAGACTTTTTACACATTAAGGTGCACTAAGCCAAATAGCATAGTGAGGGACCTATACTACTAATATTTGAAAAACTGTTACATAGCACTTTGGGTAGCCAGTTGCGGTAACATAAATGTTCTCTGGGTAGGTCATATCAACATTTTGTATTTTAAGGTAGATAGAATGAGTACTTTTAATTTGGGTAATTAAAACCACTGCTCCCCAGGAGCATATGCTTGCACATGGTGTGCAATGGCATGTTCTAATGCCGGGCTGGATGGTGCACTCTGACCACAAATTAAATCCCTGTCTACAACTTTAATTTTGTTTAGATCATTAAAGGAAGTTCATATTTTTATGTTGTCATTTGTTTATTTTTATGAACACACCGGATTCATGCTAGAGCAAATATTTGGTATTCATTTTATTTATGTAGCGTTTTCTTGGTCGTTATTTAAAAAAAAAAAAAAAAAAAAGTACCTTTTTCCAGCGCTGGGCAGGGAGCTCTCTGCCTCCGTTCCTCCCCGTCGGCTGAATGCGCACACGCGGCAAGAGCTGCGCGCGCATTCAGCCGGTCGCATAGGAAAGCATTATCAATGCTTTCCTATGGACGCTTGCGTGTTCTCACTGTGATTTTCACAGTGAGAATCATGCAAGTGCCTCTAGCGGCTGTCAATGAGACAGCCGCTAGAGGTTTGGGGGAAGGCTTAACCCATTTATAAACATAGCAGTTTCTCTGAAACTGCTATGTTTATAAAAAAAAATGGGTTAACCCTAGCTGGACCTGGCACCCAGACCACTTCATTAAGCTGAAGTGGTCTGGGTGCCTAGAGTGGTCCTTTAATGTAGTTAGTTGTTCTGGTGTTTATAGCCTCTCCCTGCACACTTTTCAATGTAAACACTGCCTCTAAACTACCTTTTCAGACAAAAGGCAGTGTTTACATTGCTGTTTGAGTTACTGTCACTAGAGGGGTTACCAGACCTCTAGAAGTGTTTCGTGTTAATGCTTCCTATAGGGATGCATTGATTCAATGCATCTCTATGGGGAGAAAATGATTGCGCAACATTGCAATAGTTTCCCAATGTTTCTCTATGAGGAAGCATTAGATTGGCTGAGATCAGCAAGATGGTTTGCCATGGAGGTGGAGCCAGCTGTGGCATTATTGGCACGGCGTTGGTAAAGAGGTGAGTAAAAACACCTTTCCCATGTGATAGGAGAGAGCAGTATAAGTATTTTAGAAATATTTGTTGTGCCCTGCTTGTTTTATTGTATGAACATCTCTTTATTATGCCCAGCTCTTTGCATTGTATGAGTATCTCTGTACTATAGAGAGGAGTAAAATTCTAGGGGAGGAAGCTGGCACCCCCACCATCTCAAAACGTCACCAGCTGCACTGGTTTGTATGTATATAAATGTAAATTCAGTAGTCTTTATTTATTTTCATCTTTCTCTTCTTCCAGGAAATAAGATATAAATCTCCTGTATTGTCCAATAAGATTGCAAAGAATCCAGAAAACAAGAGCCGAAACAGATACAGGGATGTTAACCCATGTGAGTCAAATGTTATCTTGTTGCTCTCCTTTTGTGATCATTGTGAATTTTTTCTTTTCTTTTCTTTTTCTTTTTTTAAACTTTGATTTAGAGAAAAAAAAACGTATTCATGTCTGTATAAGCATGTGTGCATATAACTTCCCCACCCAAACACATATTACTTTTTACCATGCCTATATAGGTGTTACAACGCAAATTTCTATATTATTTAACTGTGCAAGGCATCACAAAATCTGTTTATCAAATTATGTGGCAAAAAAAACAACTCTTCCAAAAACCATACACAGTGACAAACAATAGTTCCCATTTTCTCACAGGGCGTAACAGCCTAGCCCTAGAGGAACACTTTGTAGCAGGGAAAGAACCTGCGGCGAGCTGAGGATAAGACTAGTAGCCACAAGCCATGTGACAGGTGTCAGGTGTGGTGACATAAAATTGCCGCCCCTTGCCACTCATACACCTGTCACATGGCTTGTGGCTACTAGTCTTATCCTCAGCTCGCCGCAGGTGCTTTCCCTGCTACAAAGTGTTCCTGTAGGCTGTTACGCCCTGTGAGAAAATGGGGAACTCTATGGTACGGTGTAGAACTGTGAAAAAGAGGGTTATAGGCTCCCAATGCCAAGAAAAGGATTGACTAAAAAATCTTAGCAATTTCCTGGTCTGTGCAAAAACCTCGCTACAGAAGCATTTAGAGAGAAAACTCCTACAAGGATAATTTTATTTCATCTATCACTGGAAGAATTATTGCATATATACTCCACCTTATATTGTATGTATGTTTCTGTTTTTATGTGGGGATAAAGGGAAAACCCACATAAGGTGTTTTGAGTATTTGTCATTTTATTTGGTGTCACTCATTGGGATATTGTCACATAGCAGTGACAAACAATAGTTGCACATTCTTTCTGTAGCCTTGGCTGCTCTGTGACTGCAGCTCTATTATTGGTTCTGTTGCCTCTCCCCTGTTTCCTAATCTGTCCCAGAAGTCATGGCCTTCTGCCTTCCTGCGATTTCAGTCAAAGCTTAGTCTTCTTGCAGGTAATACAAGGATTCTATTTTGTGTGTGTGTGTGTTGCACATGTTTTTTTTTTGTTTTTTTTTATATCTATACATATCCATGCATAAAATGCTTTGGTATAGTAATATGTGGGGAAAATCAACCGACGTGTTAAGGAGGACCAAATATGTTTTTGTATTTATTTATAATTTTTTTTTTTTTTTTTTTCAGACATGGTATAAGGTAGTGTATCACCAATAAGTGAAAATACTTGTTAAAGACAAATAGCAGAGTTCTGATAACAGAATGTGGGCAACTTTCATCCTTTCACTACCTGTTTTTGGTGTGGTCACTAGTGATGTCCCGAACGGTTCGCCGCAGACTCATCATTGAGTAAACTTTGACCCTGTACCTCACAGTCAGCAGACACATTCCATCCAATCAGCAGCAGAGGAGGGAGGGTCTGCTGCTGATTGACTGGAATGTGTCTGCTAACTGTGAGGTACAGGGTCAAAGTTTACGCAATGATGAGTCCGCGGCGAACTGTTCATGGCGAACCGTTCGGGACATCACTAGTGGTCACCCTACAGCCTTCAAAATAGATTGTAGAGGTTGCATGTTGTGAAAAAATCCAAATAACAATCCAGGCCTCAAAGTCAGTCTTCTAATGACATTTTTTGAGGTCCGCAAGGTTTAAAGTTCTTTCATAAAAAAACCCTTGCTTTCAACAACAGTTCTCAGTGAACTGTATGTAGCTATGTTGTGTTCTCTACGCTGGTTTTCATGCTTTTTCCAGGCTTAGGGAGGCCACATGCAGGCAAGAAGGCCTAACTTGTAAATTCGTAATGCATGCTTTGTAAAAGAGGTTACAAAATAGTTTCAAATGCAGTTTAGGAGTCAAGCCTATTGACGAGTGAGCTAGTAAGGTAAATGCTTCTTCTCTGGTTTGCCATGTGCCAATGTTGAAAAGAGAACCTTCATAAAGCTTTCTTATCATAGTTCATATTACATGAATCTGAAATGTCAAACTGTCTTCCCCACTGCATTGTGTATGGGGCATTTGACCAACAGTGGAGATCCTCCTCTGAAATACTAGGATAGGGTCTTAATCTGAATCCAGCATACTGTGCATGGACAGGGATTACCTATACTGGGGAAACTGTGGACATAGTATAAGTCCTAAAGGTAAATTTGATATGGTTTAGCAGCTCTCATCTCCTTCTGGAAAACACAAAGATCCAATGATAAACCTGAAGGACACCAGAAGAACTCTAGGTAAGGGATTCACTTCACTACCCTGAACTGAAGGCTACAACTCAAATTACACTTTCCAGTAGCTTATTAAAACTAATAAAATACCCTTCTCTGCATTGATATGCTTAACATGTTCCAGTATGACCAATGTTTAATGGATTTCATTAGCTGCTAAAAAGTTTCTATGGAGCCAAGGAAGAACATGTCTACTAAAGTATACCTGCAAACCTTTCCCTCACGCGCACTATATATTTTCAATTAAACAAACTGTTATTGTACACTTCACTTTTTATTGTTCTAAAGTTGCTATATTTCAAAATAAATTTGGTCAATAGAAATTTTTATTTTTTATTTTTAGTATCTTCACACTCACTGTGTTGGCTATGCTGTTTCTTTAACACAGTAATTACCACTGTCCATTCTAAAACATCAGCCATTTTCTCAAATACATACCACACAAAGTAGCCCATTTAATCTTCCTCTCTCCTTCATGTTGCTGTAATCTATTTTTGATGAGGAGCAAGAGTAGCTTGCCACCAGCATTATAACTGGTGTTACTGTGTCAGCTGTCTCACTCTTCTTGCAGCACACATGGGTGGTGTTCTCCAGTGGTTGATTAGGAATAGATCCATCTTCATGCAGTATATCTGCAAAAGCAGACATGTGGTCAAACTGTTGTGGAATGCGAAGGGACAGTGTAACGGAACTCCCCGTACTCCGACCGAGTACCTTCCGTTGATGGATGCTTCCTAGCTTGCTCTGTGGACCGCAAGCACCGCACCGGACATCACAACCACCGCTGACTCCACAACAGCCGTAGCTTAACTGGAGTCTCGCCGTCTTCCTTCCCTCTGCACGGTGCACTGCCGCTGGGGAGGGAGGTTGCTGCTCTCCTCTCCTTGTAGGGAACACTGCCGCAGGGTCGAGAGGCCAGCTGCCTCCTCTCCCTGCAGAACACACTGCTGCTGGGGAGAGAGACCGGTTGTCTCCTCTCCCTGGAACTCACCCTGCCACTGGGGAGTGAGACCAGCTGTCTCCACTCCCTGCAGAACACACTGCCGCTGGGGAGAAAGACCGGTTGTCTCCTCTCCCTGGAACTCACCCTGCCGCTGGGGAGAGAGACCGGTTGTCTCCCCTCCCTGGGACTCCCACTGCCCTGGCGGTACCTCCAAGGTATACTGGGACTGACTGGAGCTGAGTAGGCACTGGTAATCCTGCTCCAGTTCCCATTCCTGGATGGCCGATTCAAACAGGTCTGGCTCTAGGTCTTCATCCATAATGAGATCTAGAATGTCTGCTCTGGATTCATATATGTCCCATAGCCGTGACTCTGCAGCGTCCCCGAACCTTGGTCCGGCAAAGCCGTCCCATAATAGGCCAGGGCCATTGTAATCTTCTCCCTCTGGTCTGTCGGACTTAGCCATCCCGGGAACACGCTGAACTGCATACCAATGTAGCGCCTGGTATGCATCGATGAGCCCCAGTTCCCTCTGTGCCAGAGAATTAAGCTGCATTACCAACTCCCACCTGGGCTGTTCTCCCATCATAGACATCCACAGGGCCACTTGGGTCTGTAGTTGCTGCTGCTCACTGGGGAGACGCTCACCTCGCTAACGCTGGACACCCTCCAGGGCTTCGTCCCACATCTCTTTCCTGGCGCCCTCTCTGCAGTCCAACCTGGTTGCCTCTGATACTGACTCACCCAATGGGGCCAAGAGGCTCTGTAACCTCCAGTCGAACTCATCCTCCACTTCGAGCGCTGTCCAGGGATTTGCTGGCTCCATATCGCTCCGTAATAATCCCGGTGTCTCCAGGGTGCTGTTCCTCTCACTAGAAAGCCATCTCACCGCTGCCACCACTGTAACGGAACTCCCCGTACTCCGACCAAGTACCTTCCGTTGATGGACGCTTCCTAGCCTGCGCCGAGGACCACAACCACCGCAGACTCCACAACCGAACGTAGCTTAACTGGAGTCTTGCCGTCTTCCTTCCACCTTGGATCAGCTTCTGTCCTCCAGGATCGTGTGGGGAAGTCTTCTCCTCCAGGAGAGCGTATTAGGAACAAGCTATTAAAAGAGCTAAGTGATTAAAGCTTAAGGGAGTATGCAGAGCATAGCAATCCCCAGTGTGAGTATAGCTGTCCCCTCCAATCACGAGACAAGACTATGTGTTGAGGGTTAAGAAGATCTGTCTGTACTGGCACATACAGCCTCTTTTATTCACATTCTACAAACATAGTACTGCCCACAGGGTTTTGAAGAACAACCAATCAAACACATTACAACACAGCTAACACTCATATTCATTACATCAGAAATCCTCCCCTCTGCCTGTGATACAATTATCTCAACACAATAGACTAACTTAATTATCCCAGGCAGGAAAATACAGTAATATAAAACATATCACAGGGACCCACAAACATGCAATAACCCCATAAAAAAAAAGAAATAATAAAAAAAAAAAAAAATATATATATATATATATATATATATCTATATCTATATCTATATCTATATCTATATCTATATCTATATCTATATCTCCTTGGAACCGGGGGATCTGGGTGAACCACATATCCAAAATTCACCCAGATCCGTTCAGTAGTTTGGAAGATACGGTTTAATGCAGATTCAGCAGAACATATACAGGCTATATGAAAAATAATTACTGTTACACAAACCGCACTTTTACTGATGATATTGTTGTGATACATTTTCCTGTTTTGAAACCCTAATATTTGTGTTTAAAACTACTGAACGATGTCTTTTGTGCACCAAATACCGGTCAGATGGCACCATGTAGAAAAGTCAAAACAGTGTCTGGGAGTTAAAATGGCTGCCATCCATTGTTCTCACCATGTGCTTCATCCATTGTTCTCACCATGTGCTTCTGATACATGAAATGGTGGCCACCCAGTAACTCCACAGTATGTCCCCAGATGGTTCTTCAAGGGCCAGCAGCAGCATAATAAAATACAATATATCCAAATCAGCTCCTTAAAGGGCAATACATCCCAGGGCCATAGTCGCAAGGCAGGAGGCTGGCAAACAGGCCCCTCCAAAAAACCAGTGGCGAGGTCACTTTTGCCAAAGGCAGCATTTCACATAGTTGCGTAAAAGGCTTACCCATGAGGCAGTCTTTTATGGATACGATTGATCCAAGCATCAAGTAGAATGCTCTCATTGGATGTGTGTGTGTGTTTTTCATGACTTCCTAGCTGCATGAGTGCGTATGCACATCTGAGTAAAATTTTTTAGAGTATTTATATTTTGCTGAGCCTTACGGACTGCAGGGTCTGTGTAAGAATAGAACATGGTTCTACGTGCCCCTCCACTGAGTATAGAGGTAGTGTAATGTAAGGAAAAGATATTATATTACAATTGTCTAGCCGTACTGCCCTTGGACCTGAGAAGGTAATTAGGAAGTTGGATACCACAACCTTCTGCTCAAGAGCTGAAAGAAACATACAAAGCATGCCAGACTCCACTACTAGATGACTGCAAGAAAAGGCATTGTCGTCAGTGCTCAAGAAAAAAATTGGAATTATCCAAAGAAAGGAAAATATCAGCATTTCTTAACCCCTTAAGGACTTAATCGGCATTTTTGCATTGCCGACCAATGACGGTCCTGAACCGTCCTAAGGGTCCAATGTACTTACCCGATCGCCGTTGTTCCCCCGGCGGCGATCGGCGATGCTCCTGGTGTGGGGAGACTGACTGCAGCCCAGACAGTCTCCCCGTGGCGGATTAGGACCCCTGTGGCCATGTGATTGCTCAACAGAGCGATCACATGGTCACAATAGGTGTCCATGTGTCTGGATGCAGGGGGACTGCCTGTGCTGACAGGCAATCTCCCTGCAAGTGTAAAATAAAAAAACTGTTAATGTTAATAAAAAATAAATTAAAAAAGTGTGTGTGTGTGTGTGTATGTAATATCATATGTCATACTAAGTGTATTTTTATATTAATTTGTACATAAATTAATATAAAAATACACTTATAATTAAATTACACACGTGTGTATGTGTGTGTGTGTGTGTGTGTGTATATGTATATATATATATATATATATATATATATATTATAAACTATATATTGTGTGTGTGTGTATATATTATAAAATACAAATAAGTAGATTAAATGAAATTAAAAATAATAAATTTAAAAAATCTATAAAATTTTATTCTAACTGTATTTTGATATATATAAAAATACACTTAGAATGAAATTGTGTATATATCTATGTATGTATATATAAATAAAAATACAAAATATACATATGTCCATATACAAAATTACATAAATTATATAAATATACACGTAGACTTCAAATATATAAATATGCATATATATTTAAATTCTACGTCCGTATGTAATATTTTTACATAATTAAGTAATTTTATTGATTGCAATTTGAGGTACCTGCCTGCAAACCCAGGCAGAAAGTCCAGAGAATTTAATTTGCTAGCACTGTATTTTACCCTGTAACTTTCTATGACACCCTAAAACCTGTACATGGGAGGGGGGGAGGGGGGGTACCGTTTTACTCGGGAGACTTCGCTGAACACAAATATTAGTGATTCAAAACAGTAAAACATATCACAGCGATGATATTGTCAGTGAAAGTGACTTTTTTTCGCATTTTTCACACACAAACAGCACTTTTACTGATGATATTGTTGTGATACATTTTCCTGTTTTGAAACCCTAATATTTGTGTTCAGCAAAGTCTTCTGAGTATAACAGTACCCCCCATGTACAGATTTTATAGCGTTTTTGAAAGTTATAGGGGTCAAATATTTTTACATTGATAATGGCCAGGTTGTTTACGTTGCCTTTTGAGAGCGTATAGTAGCCCAGGAATGAGAATTACCCCCATAATGGCATACAATTTGCAAAAGAAGACAACCCAAGGTATTGAAAATGGGGTATGTCCAGTCTTTTTTTTAGTAGCCACTTAGTCACAAACACTGGACATACCCCATATTGAATACCCTGGGTTGTCTACTTTAAAAAAATTAAAAATTTACATGTGGGGTGTCATTCAGAGATTTATGACAGATAATAGTGTTACATTATTTCAAATGTATCAATAGTGACATTGTATGTTTTGAAACCGCAATATCCTACTTGTACCTATAGCCCTATAACTTGCAAAAAAGCAAGTTTTTTAGCTTTTGTAGATGAGTAAAAGATTTTAAGTATTTTTTTTTTTAAATTAAATTACATGAGATTATATAAATAATGGTATGTAAAGAAAGCCTTTTTTGTCCTTAAAAAAAAAAAAAACAATATATAATTTGTATAGGAACAGTAAATGAGAGCTGAAAATTACAGCTAAACACAAACACCACAAAAGTGTAAAAAGAGGCCTGGTTGCAAATGTACATCGCTAAAACAGTCCAGTCCTTAAGGGGTTAAAGGAGCACTAAATGGTCAGGAACACAGACATGTATTCCTGACCCTATAGGGTTAAAACCACCAACTAGCCCCATTGTCCCCCTCATGCCTCTCTAAATATAGTAAAATCTGACTTGTATTCAAGCCTGAAGCTGCTGGCGTTGTCACTGTTTCCTTTTGACCTGCCTGCTGACATAATCACAAGTGGTAGCCTGCTTCCCTATATGTTTGGCTGAGACTGACAAAGAGGCAGATCAGGGGCAGAGCCAGCATGATTCAAACACAGCCCTGGCCAATCAGCATCTCCTCACAGAGATGAATTGAATCAATGAATTTCTATGAGGAATGTTCAGTGTCTCCATGCAGAGGGAGGAGACACTGAATGTTTGGATGCATTTTAGGCAGCCATGACTCAGGAAGGATCTCTAACAGCTATCTGAGGAGTGACCAGTGAAGTTATCACTAGGCTGTAATGTAAACACTGCATTTTCTCTGAAAAGACAGTGTTTACAGCAAAAAGCCTGAAGGTAATGATTCTACACACCAGAACAAATTCAATAAGCTGTAGTTGTTCTGGTGACTGTGGTCCCTTTAATCTGTTCAAACTAATCCTCAACAGGCTTTTTCAAAAGTGAAGTTATCTGCTGTATTCAACAGTACACACGGTGCCTACTAAAACAGCAGTCAAAAGGTATAGATTACCTTCTGACTCACTCTTCGTCAGGCTGTCTAGATTCAAATATGGAAGACAAACCTGTTCCAGATGAGGAACCCACAAATTTACCTATGAGTTGTTAAGAATGCTGGAAGAAAAGTCAGACGACAAAATGAGTGGTTTATGATGAAACACTAGGTTAATGAATCTGATAAGAGAGTTGCAATACCTGGAAATCTATTTAAAAGATTAAGTATTCTGGAAGATGGAGGCAAGGAATTGGATGCATTACCCAAACTAGATGTTCCTCAACTGGCCAAAAAAACCTACACATCATATACGGGAAAGGTGCTAGTTTGTGAGACCTTACGGATAATGTGACGAAAGCAACCTCGCTGTCAGCTCCCTTCTCCTTCGTTCCGGTCAGCTCCCCTGTCGGCTTATTATTAGTTTCTCAATGCTTTCCTATGGACACTCTGTGTGATGGAGGCGAAATATGCCTCCAGCGTCGCAGATGCGCCTCTAGTGGCTGTCCGGAAGACAGCCACTAGAGGCTGGATTAACCTCAAATGTAAACCTAGCAGTTTCTCTGAAACTGTGTTTACATGTGAAGGTTTAAAACCAGAGGGACCTGGCACCCAGACCACTTCAGCTCAATGAAGTGGTCTGGGTGACTATAGTGGCCCTTTAATGTACCAATCCGAATTGGGGTGGGTGGGAGTAGTGTAAGAGCCGTATAGAAGTGTTACTGAAGAAGTGTCATCACATAACCACGGATCGTAACGGATTGGTGTGTAACATGTTATGACCATAAGGCACCAATGCTGTGTATTACGAGTCTCAAAGTTACGCAATATGGATGGGCTGGCATAACGGAACAGAACGAAGAAAGCAAGCTGTAGTCAGGGTAATATCATTCAATATATACACACTTATATGTAAAATTCATAAGTATGAAAAAGATTGTAAATGGCATCATGCTGTATTGTTAGTCATTCATCCCGTTTGGGAGGCAGAGTATCGATCTTGTAAATTACAAACCGTGTGTGATCTGAATGGGATGGGTATATTTTTGAGTTTTCTGTGATTGCTAAGGTGCATGTGTAGATGTATGTCATTGGGAACATGGCAGGACCGATTTCTTGGAATTGTTGCCCTATTTTTATTTATTTATTTTTTTTTTAAGAGAGAAAAAATATATATAATTTTTTTTGTTGTTCTTGCGCTGCATACGTCGCCTAATTGAACTCTAAAATAATGTGTATTGGGGTGGGTAAAAAATAAACTGTCACAACAGAAAAGTTAACTTGCTCATCTTACTTATACTTAAAGTATGTAAATCTTAACCCCTTAAGGACACATAACATGTGTGACATGTCGTGATTCCCTTTTATTCCAGAAGTTTGGTCCTTAAGGGGTTAAAGGAATTTAATAGGTGTGATCTGCTGACTGTGTTGAAAGCTGGGTTTCAGATTAATTTGTTTACATTGTCTGTCGATTACATTAGATCTTAATGCCTTTTGCAGAACTGCTTACACTGTCCATTTTGTGCTTAACCCGAGAAGATTTGAGACTTATTCTGTTTTCTTACTCACATGTCTGTCACACACACACAGGTGGTAAATTAAAAAAATAAAAAATAAAATAAAAAAAATAACAATGTTACAGACTTTCAGCACAAATATATTACGTTTTATCATATTAATGAAGTTTTATTACCTTTCTGGAGGACTTTGTCCTCTGCTAGTTAGTAGGGTTTCATCATAGTCTTATTACCTTGCTGTGCACCACTAATTTATAAAATTTACCACTCATGGTACACTGCAACCATGCCCTCTACTTTGCTTTCAGGAAAAGAACATAAAATGCACTACAGATTATATCCTTTTCCTGATTAAAATTAATGGAACCATTTATTTAAAAGCATTCTGAAGGATCACACTAGGCACCATAACAACTTAACATCAATGCATGTTGAGGGTCATAGTCTCCTTATCACTGTGTCACTGAGCACAGTCTGCTAATAACTTCAGTGTGTAAAAATTGCTGCAGCAATTAAATTGCTCCCTGGATCAGTAATGTCAAAGAGAGAATTTGACCAGATCTATTACACTTCTGTGGTATGCACAAATTTTAAATCTTTCTCTCCTTCCCTTACTTCCTTTGGAGCTGCCGACACCCATAATAGTGAACAAACTCAGGTTCACTATCTCAGGAGAATGCTCCACCCAACCTGGTTCACAAAACTATTATAGAAAACCATGGTATTGGCTTATTCAGCTGTTTCCTCGTGGTTTTTTTTATTTTTTTTTTATTGCCCTATTCCCTGGGTGACAGTTCTTTCATTACAGTATCCATTCCATCCCACCACATGTAACGTTATCATTATCCCAGTTACTCCACACTCAACATTCATAAGTTGTGGGAGATAAAAGCCTCAAATCTATCTCTCTGACATATTTTTCCTCTTGTGTCTCTTCATCGTGGATAATAAGCTTGTTTGAGCAAGGTCTTCTGCACAGCTTGTGGCTGTCAACATTATTTTGTCTTTCAATTTCTTTGTTAAACGGACACTATAGTCACTAGAACCACTACAGCTTAATGTAGTGGTTTTGGGGTCTTTAGCCTGTCCCTGCTGGCTTTTCAATATGAACACTATTTTTACAGACCCTAAGAGAGTGATAACATAACTGCCTAGTAACACCTGTAGTGGCAGTCACTCAGTCGGCCAGTAGAGAGGTTTCCTAGTCTAGAACTGCACAATGTCTCTGAAAGGAGACATTGAACGTTCCCCCATAGAGATGCATATTTATGAGAAGATCCTGACTAGCACATTTTGCCACGCATGCACAATAGTTTAACAATGGTTTCCTATGGGAAAGCATTGGGTTGACTGAGATCATCAAGATTGATGATCTCAAACAGTGGTGTAACTACCATGGTCGCAGCTGCTACCCGGCCCTTCACTCCAGGGGGCCCAGCAGCCACTGTGACCCCTCTGTCCGTGGGCCGCCAGCAGACCTTTATGGTGCAGCACCGGCCGGTGCCTGGGGTCGCCGACTAACCAGCAGGAGGGGAGTGATGTACTGTGCTGCTCCCCTCCTGCCGCTGTGTGTAGCGTGGCCGAGCAGTCTCAGTGGACCGGTACCGCGATTGTGGTAAACCGGTAGGGGGAATGGAGAAATGGAGGGTCGGTGGGGGGTGGTTGAAGTGGAGGGTCTGCAGGGGAAGGGGGTGGTTGAAGGGCAGGTGGTTGAAGTGGAGGGTCTGCAGGGGAAGGGGGGTGGTTGAAGTGGTTTTATCTTCTCGGTAAAGATTATTAGGATCTAGAAGAATATTAAGTATTGACCTTGTATGAGATCTCCCAGTTTGTTTTATTTTGTAGTCCACTCCTCACTCTTTTTCCCTTTTTAACCCTTTTGAAAGTTGGTAAACAAAGTGGCACTGCATATCAATGTTGGGAGTTTTACCATCATTCTTAAGTAGGCAAAAGTCTGTATTCTTTGCTTGTAGACATGACAACACTTTACTGGCCCTTGCAGCTGCTGACTGACTGGCAAGTTTTGCTAAATATGTAATCTTTAGATTGTTCTCAAATCCTTTTAAGTTAACAATCTAATTTAGTGTATAATTTCGAAGATGACTTGTGATCCTCAGATGTATGGGTTTGCATGTGTAAGGTGGATCTCTCTGGTCCATGTAGCCAATTTACCAAAATCCAAGTTAGAGGCAGAATAATAAACTGAAGACTGACAAAGTCACATGGAAGTTGTATTGATCTACTATTTTGCCATCCCTGAGCTAGAGGATTTTGAATTTTAACAGCTTCTGTCCCTCTACCATGGGCTCTGAAAAGGTAGATCCACAGATGTTTTAAAACTACAGCTTCTATGTAGCTTTGTCATGCTAAAGAATTTTAAAGGCATACAAAGCATCATGGGAGTTGTAATTCTACAACATCTGGGGATCTACCAATTGGGTAACTCTGCTCTATACACTGTAGTATGGGTAAGGCTTAGGCTGGCTGTCAGTGATGGGCCAAGAATGCCAGCTAGCAATCTCAGCCTTTTAATGGAAGGCATTTGAAAGAAAAGGTGCATACTGTTTAATGTGTGGTGGTTATTTAAAAAAAAGTTATTTTTTTTTTTTTATTTCTTTACATTTTATTTTTTAAATCAAGATTTGCTGAAGCAAGAATATACATGATTATGTATAAAGAGGAACAAATTCTCCAGCACTGAACAGTAGTTGGACTAACAGACAAGTATTTGCAGCAAGACAAATTGGATGCACAGGAATAGATTGTTGTAGCGGAGGCCTGGTATTTCACAGGTTAACTCCATTAAGATACCAGTGAGGCTCAGGAACAAGTGATGAAAAATCCCATAAAGTAATAATTCCAGCAAGCAAGGTAATCCAAGAATATCCCCATACAGATCCCAATGACTGTACGACACACAGCATCAGGAGCAAAACTGAACTTTTAATCACTTCACCTTCTTTTAAAGCATGCTCCCATGCAAGGGAGGGATTTACAATAATTATTACAGTAGCCAATCATACATGAGTTACCGCCCACACATTCCCTCCCCTTAGCCTGACTCCTAATCCCATTATGCAGTACACACATTTCCTAGGTTTCTGGATGTACCCCTAAACATAGGGGTACCCCTTTAATTATTATATCCCCTGGTAGCCCTGATCTGGGTGAAGAACATATCCAAAAATCACCCAGATCAGACCAGGGGTTCGGGAGATTGATGGAAGTAGTAAAAAGACCGACCGCACGGGAAGTAACAGCCGAAATTGGTTCCATGCATTTTGGCCCTGCGGTCGGTCACAGAAAAAGGGAATAAACTGCACGAATGACTTAGGCTATGGGGACTGGAGAGTATTCGAATGAATCCCCTTGTTCGTGGGTTTCTGTCTACCGAACGGGTAGCCTTTCGGTAGTTTCTACGCGAATTTACAGGTATTGTGGAGGTCTCAGCGGTGTTTGCCTAGCCGAGTGTCCGATTTGGGTTCCAGACACTCGACGGCAAAACACCGCTGTTCGGGAGTTTTAAAATGGCCGTCGCCACGTGTTCGTTTCCCGAATGGTGGCCACCCAGAAGACAAAACACACATTACACGAATCACCAATTACCCGTTTGCAACATTGTTGCGAACGGTAATTGGAGGCACACTTCTCCCTAGGGTAGTCTGATTGTTCGGTAGTTTCATTCGCATAAGAACTGGAGTGATTTTACCAAACAATCAGCCGAATGCTACATACACTTCACATATTACAAGTTAACATTCAACCGAATACATGCACATGTTTTTAGGACAGCCCAATGCCATCCGCTACAATTGTGTTTAATGCCTTGCTCAAACAAGCTTACATTTTAGAGGGAGTGGGGTAACGTTACACAAGAGGTAATGACAGGATGTATTTAATGTATGGGAAAAGTAGGTTACTTGAAAAGTTTACAATGAAGGCTTTTTTTTTTTTTTTGCATAACTGTTAAAGTAGAAGCAAAGTGGATCACCGTGGTGTGGAGGGAAAGCTATTAACAATTCAATTGATAGACTTTTCTAAATAAGTGAATTTTGGAGCAGGGAAGGGAGTTCCATAGAAACGGTTTTAGCTCTAGAAAGTCTTTAAGGTCCTCTACAGAGGATAGACACCAGTCTTCAGCTTAGCACAGGGGACTGCTTGGGTCGTACTATAGTATTAGTGAGTGTAGGTAGAAGTAGTGTTTATGTAGAGATTTGTAAGCAAGAACCAGAATTTTAAATTGAGCCCTATATATTACAAGAAGCCATTGTAAGAACTGACAGAGGAGGGAGGTGTGGGCAGACAGAAAGATGAGCCTTGCTGCAGCATTCATTATATACTATAGCGGGGCAAACTGGGAATGCGGAAGACCAATGAGAAGCTGATTTCAATAGTCAAGGAGAGAGGATAGTGGCATAGACTAGCACCCTGGCCGCATCTGTTGTTAGTAACAGATACAAGTTATGTTTTTAGAAGTGTCAGGATTTGGCGATTGACATGAGGGGTGAAGGAAAAGTTAGAATCAAACAGAACATATAGGTAGCGAGCCTATGGGGTAGAGCTGATGGTAGTACCATTGACATGGAGGTGGTAGACATGGAAATATCAGCGCTTCAGGGAGGAAAGATGAGGAGTTCTGTTTTGAGAACAGAGGACTGAAGCAGAGCAGAAACCACTTCAGCTGTAGCGGATGCGAGTTAACATAGGGGAGAGTAGGAAGTGGGGTTGGGAGCCACCTAAATTGTGGTTTTAACACTATAGGGTCAGAAATACATGTATGTGTTCCTGACCCTTTAGTGTTCCTTTAAGGGTCGTAAACTACTATCAAGTAAATCTTTAGAAGTGGATCAGGAGAGAATAAGGAAGGAAAAGAAAAGAGTAAAATGGATGGAGAGTGGAAATGATATTCACAACAGGCAATCCTGCGCATCACAGCTGTTTTTAAAAAGAATTAAAAGATGTGCTAAACTGCAAAAAACAAAAGCCTGCATCCAGTGGAACCAGGTACAAGTTTACTTTTGTTAATTTTCTGTGGCTGACAAAATGAGATCTTCAGTGGAGCAAATATCGTCCAGTTTGTGATAATGGTTCACTCTGAGCAGCATAATTGTATTTATGATAGTCTTCATCCCTGGTTTAGGTCAAAATTTTTCAAGCATTCTTAAAAACTAAGCCTCTCAAACAGGGGTAGTCAACCTCTGTATTAATCGTCAAAAGACTTCTTTGGGTAACCCGCTTTTGTAGCATAGATTTCCCACCTGACAGATTATGCATTATCCGCAGACTTAAATAACTTGTAACTTTATATTGTTGAAAGGGGTCTGCAACTTCCCATGAGTTTTAAAATTATCTGTCTCTTCTTTAAGTACACCATGATAAATAAGTGATAAGGTGGCATAGTGCAATCTTAAAGTGCAAATAATGTCTCAAAATATCTGTTAATATCTTGCCACTATTAAAAATGTCTACAGTGCTGCAACCATAAAAGATGTTTTGCCAAAAAATCCACATCAAAACAAATCTAAAAATAAATAGTGCACTATTGGAGTTATATAAACTTTCAAATAAATACAAATGAATGAACCCACATAGAGAGAGGTGTGTGTGTGTGTATGTATGTATGTGTGTATATATATATATATATATATATATATATATATATATATATACTTTTATAGTATCATACAAAAAAATAGTGTAATCTTAAATCTAAATATTGACCACAAATTGTGTACACACTAACACTATTACAAAGTGTACTGCATATAAATTACTAGTGATTCACGATCCACCCGTAAGCTGTGCCTCTTCTTGCATCCAACTCTCACTACCAGGTTGGTAGTGGCGCCACATTTTTTGCCTGTCTCTGTAATCCGCGCCCCCCACTGCCAACTAGCAGAGCTCCCTGACCTTGCCTCAAGTTATATATAACTTTTTTTTTTTTGTGGGGTCTGTAAAATTAAATTGTAAAAAAAAAAAAATTCTTCTATAAATTGGTTCTATAATGGTGTCATTTCCAGAGTTGGTTGTATACATTTTATAGTGATGTGTGCATATGTATTGCTATAATTCTAAAAAACATTGAATTCTGTGGAAACGTACATAATTTTTTTTTTTTTTTTGGTTTCAGTCTGATTAAACTTTGAGTTCTGCAGAAAACCGTAGAGAAATTTTCACGAATACATCAAATTTTGCTCAAAGTGGAATTGACACTTTATAGACATGCCTTTTGACCATGTAGAATGTAGGAGCCAGAACAAACCTGTTTGGAAACCATTTTATTGTTTTCAATTTGAACTGACTATGTATAAACCATTTTCTAGAGCATATGCTGCAAAATGTTTGGTTACAGCATTCATATTTCTAGGAGCTATTTACTCAGATTAGTACAATTCTCAGCCATTAGAGGGACTTCCGTGTTCTTTGAACATGAAAAGTGTTTTAAACAACGCTGGACGTAGCATGAGGATCTCCAGCGTCGCCAGAATCCCCATAGGAAAGCATTGAATGTTTTCCTATGGGGAGGTCTAATGCGCGCACTGCTATTGCCGCGCCTGCGCATTAGGTCTCCCCTGCCGGCTGACAGCGAGGGAGGAGTGTGGACTGGGGAGGAGTGTGGACGGAGCCTGACCCAGCGCTGAGGGACATCAGCGCTGCACTCAGGTAAATCACTGAAGGGGTTTTAACATGGGATGGGGGAGGGAGGGAGAGGGGCACTGCAGGATCCTGCAGTGCCAGGAAAATGGAATGTTATCCTGGCACTGGAGAGTCCCTTTAAGTATATGTCAAGCCGGCAGCTCTGGTTGTACTTTTAAATTGTTCTTTGAGCGAGCAGGAATATACACAAGAAGTTATCTGAGAACTCTCATATCAGGAAATGGTGAATCACTCCATATGGAAGGGAAAAAAAAACTCTTCTGCAAATTGGTTTCTTCTTTATATGGTGCATTTAGGATTTGTTCTTGCATATATTTTATATTGCATATATTTTTTATTTTTTTTATTTTTTTTTAAGTGAAAGTGTCACTGCTGTGGAAATTACAGTTTAATAAAACGTGGCAAAAAACCTATTATATATTTTAAGGTGTTACGCCAACCACCATGACCACTTCTGCTTTTTTAAGTCGTCATGGTGGTTGGAGTCTGGATATGTGCTTGAAACATGACACATCCAGACTTTATTGCCAGTTAATTGCTGGGGACTTGTTGCAACCTCAACACTTGTGAACTAGACAGCTCTGAACTCTGCTTCAGGCTTTTTAATGACAATTCTGTGCATAAAGAAATGTCAGTCTGCATGGGTGCATGCAACCTCTTATCTCCACTCCCTCTAATGATCACAACCCTCCCTCCTCCTTATCACCTCTGCTGATATTTTTCTTATCCCCCGACCTCCCTCCTCTTTTCACTCCCTATCATGGAATCCTCCAATCAAAGGCTTCTCATCAAAACATTACAAAGTGTTAAGTAATGACACAGAGAAGCACAATATACAGAAAATGCATTGCGAAAAGATTTGACCAGAAGTTTGCAAAAACAATTGTGAATCTTAACCAATGCATCTGAGCCACCTGGCCATTTTGTTGGTCCATTGGCACTAAAAAAGAGAGGTGCAGCATTGCTGGCTACTCCTATTCCGGTACAAAATGCCTTCCTACTGGAAATTAACGTTGAAGTTGCCAGTTTGTATCATTAATACCACTTCTACAAAGTCTTTATCAAGGCTCCCACTATGTCAGTCTGATCATATAACCATCCAGCACCACTCTTGTCATGTCATCCTTCTGCTTCAATCCTTTCTAAGTCTTGTCAAGTCATTGTCCTGCTCTATTTTAGCCAGGTCACAGTCTTTAATAGATGAATGCTGGTGCCCCGGCAAAAATAAAAAATTTACTTTAGCTTTTACAAATTTTTTGGAATTGTTAAGATAGTCGGTGCTGCGGTCCCTAATCATATAAAATGTAAACCGTCATAGCCTGTAAATGCCACACTTATGAGAGATCCAAATATAATTGTAAGTATTAGGGATCGACCGATACGATAATCTGTGAACGGTCAGGCAGATAGTCGATAACTTACCGATATTCTGTACATTTACCATTTTAAAAAAATAAACTATTTCTACACAAATCTACTGTTAACTGAACATGTTTATTTATTGATTAAAAAAAAAAAAATTGCCAATTTTTTTTTTTTTTAAATGTAAATGCTCAAAATATACATCCCAGTCAGAATCTATTTGTTTTCAAGAATAAATGTGTGTAGTGGATGCAGAGTGTATGTTTGTGTAGTGTGTATAGTGGATGTAGTGGATCCGTGTGTGTAGTGAATGCAGAGTGTGTGTTTGTGGAGGTATGTAATGTGTGTAAAATGGGGTGGCATTTTTATTTTTTTAACTTTACCATGGCAATACTCCGTGCGGCACACAGGCCACAAGATTTAGACATGGGAGCTGCTGGGAAGGTAAGGAAGAGCTTGCTGGGCCCCCACTGCACAGTCCATGCCACCGGACCACCAGGGAATGCCATATCCCCCCTCCCTGGCCAGGTAACAAGCGGGGAGAGAGGACTAAAATGTACTATATATTTTTTTATTTTTTTTAAATCTTAAACAAAAAGTTAATAAAAAAAAATGCCTCTCCATTTTACACAAATTACATACCTACAGAAACACACTCTGCATTATATACACACATTACACACACTGCATTCATTTTATACACACTACACAAACACACTCTGCATTCATTATTATATATATACTCGCACACTACAAACACACTCTGCATTCACTTTACGCACACTACATAAACACACTCTGCATTCACTTTACGCACACTACATAAACACACTCTGCATTCACTTTACGCACTCTACATAAACACACTCTGCATTCACTTTACGCACTCTACATAAACACACTCTGGGGTGGGGACAGAAAAAAGAAAAATTAGCAACTGAACATGTTCTCTAAAATATGCTTTTTCAGCAATTAAAGCTGTCAAGTCAACATTGTTTTATTAAACCCGTTTAAATGGGTAGGTATGCATGAGACGACTGTCGCCAGTGACTCGATTTGTGACACAGGTGATGCTCATATTGGGTGGAAAAGGGGCGCACTTCCTCTGAAAAGTGGTGAGCCTTTTCACTAGTGGGGTCTATCAAAGCACATACAGTGTTTAACACCTCTCCTGCTGGAGGTGTAGCACCCCTTCTCGCAGGGTCAGTGGGGTGTCATCATCATCAGCCTATGCACAGAATTGCAACCGTAGCTTATGGTCTATTATTTAAGAACTGTCTCTTTCACCTGGCAGTCAGCATAGAGAAAGTTTACAGAAAAGAGGAGAAATTAAACAATATGTCTATTACTTGTCCTCATCTGCAATACTTGTCCTAACTTTGCCATGTTTGAACTGTATTCTGATTCCGAGCAGCAAAAGAAAGGGTGTTCCCTTTTTTTTATTGATGCATTAGCCAGTCAAACAAGACATTTTACTTCAGCTAAGACACAGACATTCAGGTCTATTCTGGGTGAAATTCTGATGTAAATACTATAGAGCGTCCTCTCAGCCAATGAATGGCAGTCAGGAAGAAGTTATTTTTCACACACTAGCATGCTGTCTGCAGGGTGCTTGCCAGAACCAATACCAGAACTAATTGTGCAAAGAAATGCCAGGTACATTCTGCTAAATGTCCAACTCCACAGCCATATGAGGAAGTGTCTCATGTGACCTTTACTGCAAGCAGTGAATTCTCAAATTATTTAAATCCCATTCTCTTATTAAAGATGCATTGAAACTCATTCTAAACCTACAATATTTACATCATTGTCTCGCCAAGAATATATCTTAATGGCAGTGCCTTAGCTGAAGTAGTAAGGTCTTATTTGACCAGTTGCAATATAAAGAGGCTTGGATTACTGAATTTATTTTTCACAAATATTTTTAATATAAGGATAAGTATTAATAGTCCAGTGTAGTGCCAATTTCTCTTTAAATACTATTGTTTGGTGTCATGGCATTATAGTAGTCAATCCCAAGAGTCTCTGAGTGCAAGATTGGCAGCTATACTTGGTGATGAAAGCTAACTTTGTAATTGTTGATGGAAGTGAGATATCTGTGTACAGGTTTGTTAGATATACCATGGACTATCCTCAATGAGGGCTTTCATAAAAGGCACATAACGCAACAGTTCTTGGTCAATAAACTAGCAGCAGCCATTAAATGCTTTTGCAATTTTTTTGTGAATGCCATTTTGTGATTGTTTTATCAATCAATTCATTGTTGACTCCAGTGACTGCATAACATAGTTATAGCTCTTTACTTGAATCTCAGTGAGGTCATATTGTAAACCTGAATTCAATTGGAACTGTTTTGCCTGACACTAGAATGAATGGTAAAAAATAAATAAATAAATCTAAATATATATAGATATAGATATAGATATATAGAGATATATATATATATATATATATATCTATCACACACAAAAAAACCTCCAGCCCTCAACAAAAATATCAATATTCTGCAATATGCCTAGGTGCTAACACGCAAATATGAATAAAACTAATATTTGGCAGCATTCAGAGGACTTCCAAAAAAGTATTTACCAATAAATGTCCAACAAAATCAATGTTTTGACCCTATAGGGTCTCCCTGAATGTTGCAGAGAGATGAATGGAGAGAATCTATACATACTTTAAAGCAAGCATGTCAAACTTACAGCCCACAATGAATATATTTGCAGCCCGCCTACCAAACTTTTCTCACTATGTCAAGGTAGTTAGACTGAAACATTAGTTATATGCAAATGCACGTTCCTTAACCCCTTAAGGATGGCGGGCGTTCTATGCTGTACTTTTTGGGGCGCTCCTAAACACTGGTGGGCGGCATAGAATGTCCCTGCCGTCCTTCATACTTACTGGGTCATTGCCGATCCAATGCCGGCGGTCGCAAAACTGGGGTCGGCCTGGGAGCTCAGGCAGATCCTCTGCCCGATCTGCCTCCCTCCGCCCCCTCCCCTTGCGATCACATGGCCTGAATAGCCGGCTTACGCTGTGACTGCAGGGGGATTGCCTGAACTATCATATTAATATTAAAATACACTTAGAATGACGTTAATTATAAATACATTTATAAAAATTATAGACCAGTTTTAATTTGTTTTTACTGTTTTTTGACATAAATATACATATATATTCAAAATACATTTAGAATGACATTATAAATACCTATCTGTGGTGCGGAAAAAGTGTGGATGAAAATCCCTTCCACCTGAAATAAGTGGATAGTTAATGCAATGTTAAACACAAACACAAAATACACACACCAGGCAAGCCATAAGACTTGCTTTTACCACAGAAATCTCACTTTAACAGTGTGTATAATATATATCAAAATAATTTTTTATATTTAAATTCTACAAAGATATTTATATAATATTTTTATATAATTAAGTCATTTGATTAATTATAATTTGAGGGACCTGCCTGACAACCCAGGCTGAAAGTCCAGAGAATCGTCTCACAAGCACTATATTTAACCCTGTAACTTTCCAGGAATCCATAAAACCTGTACATGGGGGGATACTGTTTCACACAAGAGACTTCCCTGAACACAAATAGTAGTGTTTTAAAACCGTAAAACCTATCACAACAATGATATTGTCAGTTTTTTCACACACAAACTGTACTTTCACTGACGATATTGTTGTAATACGTTTTACTATTTTTAAACACTGATATTTGTGTTCAGCGAAGTCTCCAGAGTAAACCCATACCCCCCATGTACAGGTTTTAGGGTGTTTGCAAATATAAGGCTTGAATTTCCTTTTTTTTCACATTGAAATTTGCCAGATTGGTTATGTTGCCTTTGAGAGCGTATGGCATACCATTTGCAAAAGTAGACAACCCAAGGTATTGCAAATGGGGTATGTCCAGTCTTTTTAGTAGCCACTTAGTCACAAACACTGGCCAAAATTAGCGTTCAATTTCAGCTTTTTAATTTTTCACACACAACAAATATGAACGCTAACTCTGGCCAGTCTTTGTGACTAAGTGGCTCCTAAAAAAGACCCAAAATATGGAATAGCCTTGTCTCTTATATGGCAGTGTAGTTTCACAGAATAGTGCCAAAGGCATATAATGGGGGTATCGTTATACTCCGCAGATGTAGCTGAACACAATATGGGGTTCTGTGCAGGAATAGCACACACCAGCTTTACAAAATACACATTACCAAAACCTTGTTATATGTGTATATGTCAAAATAGAGAAAAAACACAATTTTACTCCAATATTTAGCAGAGATTGGTGATGAAATGGCTACGTAAAAAGTGTCAAACTAACCTTAGGTAAATAGCCTGAGATGTCTACTTTATATAAATATATATTTTTGTGTGGCAATTTTGTTTTCTGTGATGGCTACTAAACCTACAAGACAAACATACCAACTTTGAAATTGAAATTTTATTTTAATCCTTGTATTTTGTGACCTGTAAATTTCAAAATAAGCTGAAATCCTATACATAATATGAACTCTATAAATTAAGACACATAAATTTAATTTATTTTGAATTACTTTTTCTAAGCTGGACATATTGTGCACAGGCTATTATTGCCAAAACTGTGGAAAAAAATGTTATTTTTTTTTTTTTTATTTTTTTTTATTTACATTTTTGGGTATTTTTAAAAATAATTAATGAGAATGTATCTATGTATATGTGACATCAAATTAAGCCAAATTAAGCTCCCTCTGCGCTGGTGACCTCTCCTCCCCCGCTGACATCAGCTCCCAAACTGTCTATAGGAAAGCATTTCTCAATGCTTTCCTAGGGATGTTCTGCACGTTGGATGCGAATTTCGCATCCAGCGTCGCAGATGCACCTCTAGCGGCTGGCAGGAAGACGGCCACTAGAGGTTGGATTAACCCCTAATGTAAACATAGCAGTTTCTCTGAAACTTTTATGTTTACATGTGTAGGGTTAAAACCTGAGGGACCTGGCACCCAGACCACTTAATTGAGCTGAAGTGGTCTGGGTGACTATAGTGTCCCTTTAAAGCCCTGTTTGCCCTCTAAAAACTGATACATAATATGTGTTGGTGCAATAAATGAGATATATGCAAATTGCGTTTGAACACAAACAGCAAAAAATGCAAAAATGGCTTGTGTCCTTAAGTGTAAGACAAGCTTCTGAAGCCGTGTCCTTAAGGGGTTAGATTTGTTTAATATACAAATATTGATGTGACCTGAAAGCCCTGTTTCTCGTGAACAAAATTATATATAAAGTGTGGGTGCACAGATTATGACATTACGCCTGAACAGACCTATAGCGCAAATTCAAGGTTTTGTTTACATTTTGTTTTGATCAGAACTTGTACAACTGCCTCAGTCCTTAAGGGGTTAAAAATTGTTGTTGTTTTTTTTTTTTGTTTACATTGAAGACCTACAAGTGTGGGGCATCCAGTGTCAGGCAACTACTTTTTTTTTTTTTCCTATACTGTACTTTTCTAAATAAACGTATGTTCTTATGAAAACTGAAGTTTTAGTTTATTTGCGGCCCGCATAAACTTAAACCTTATTTAATCGGCCCGTGTTAGCCTTTGAGTTTGACATGCTTGCTTACAAGGAACACTATATGGGCGGCATATAGAATAATGCCTTTGACACTGTTGATCATGCTCTCCTTTTTCAAACTCTTCAATCACTAGGTCACTGTGACTGTCCTCTCGTGGTTTTCCTCTTATCTCTCCCAACCCTCAATCAGTGTCTCCTTTTCTAATGATACCTCCTCCACACATCCTGTCTCGGTTGGAGTCCCCCAAGGCTCTGTCCTTGGTCCCCTTCTATTTTGTCTCCATACTGCCTCTCTTGGCAAACTAATTTCCTAATTTGGATTCCACTACCACCTGTACGCTGATGACACTGAGATATATCTCTCCTCCCTGGACTTCTCCCCTGCCGTCCTGCAACATGTCACGGCCTTTCTTCCATCTCTGACTGGACGTCCTCCCGCTTTCTGATACTCAATCTCTCTAAAAACCTTGTCTTTCCTCCTCTTTCGCTCTCCCTTCAAATAAGTGGTGTCCACATAAGTCCATCCTTGCAAGCTTGCTGTCTTGGCGTCATACTTTATTCTGGCCTCACCTTTGAGCCTCACATCCAGTATGGTGCAAAATCCTGTAGATTCCATCTTAACCCCTTAAGGACACATGACATGTGTGACATGTCATGATTCCCTTTTATTTCAGAAGTTTGGTCCTTAAGGGGTTAAAAACATTGCCCGCACCCGCCACTTCTTAAGCAAGATGCTACTAAAGAGCTTGTACATGTTCTAGTAATTTCCTGCATGTATTATTGTAATCCTCTCCTAATTGATCTTCCCAAAACCGTATTGCCCCGCTACAGTCTGTAATGAATGCTGCTGCCAAACTGATTTTCATCTCTAGTCGGTCCTCTCACCTCTCTGTCAGTCTTTACATTTGTTTCCTGTATCCTATAGGAGTTAATTCAAAGTGCTAACCCATACCTATAAAGCACCAAACAATTCTAGCCCCTTTTATACCTCTTCACAGATCCATAGGTATGCCCCTTCTCGGTCTCTCTGCTCTGCCCGTGACCTTCTCCTGTCCGCTGCTCACACGGGTACTCGCAGGCGGCTCCCTTCCTATAGAATAGCCTGCCTACCGCCATCAGACTCTCCCCTAGTCTTCAATCGTTTAAGAAGTGCCTAAAATCCATCTCTTTAGGAAAGTTTATGGCCTCTCAGAGTAACCTCCACCTCACATACCTGTCTCTTGAGCTCTCCTAAAGGGCAGCACTTTACTCTCTCCTCAAGCTCTGCTTCACTCTTTGTTTGATTGCTACCTCCTGTCTTAATGTGTTTTATACCTCACGTCCTATAGACTCTAAGCTCGTTCGAGCAGGGTCCTCTTCAACCTATCGTTCCTGTAAGTTTTCTTGAAACAGTCCTATTTATAGTTAAATCCCCCCTCTTATTACATTGTAAAGCACTATGGAATCTGTTGGCGCTATATATATGGTGATAATAATAATCGAGCATTAGTATTCTAGCTATGAAATGGTTGGAGAAATCCTAAGTAATGTTTTATTTGCAAATCTTGTTTCCTCTATTCTTGAGGTGTAAAAGAGGTTATGTTTTTACTTTGCAATGATTATTTTATTCTAAGAATGTTAACAATTGGTGCTAGTCTTTGGATAAAGCAGCTTCTTAAAATATAAATATCAAATATGGCTCTTATTGTAAGGAAAATATTTCAAGTTATGCCCATATAAAGTTAGAATTTTTTTTTATTTATTTGTTATTACCCTTGCATAATAATGTTGCATGTGTACTGTATCACTTTTTAGGTGAATGTCATGGTGACAAAAATGGTGGATTTTAGGTTTATTATAGACTGTATAAAGTTTGACTAACATTTGAATTCAGTTTAGATTATAATGCTATATTCTATTGTTTGGAGGGGGGTGGGGGGGAACCTCTCTAAAAGAAAATGCTAATGACTAACTTTGTTTCATTTTGTTTAAAACTCATGAGAGTTCCTATTTAAATGCAGGGAAAAGGAAATTTGCTTTACAAATCTCATGGGGCCCATGTTTCTTATTTGTATAGAAAGTCGATTTTATTTGCAAAGTAATGGTTTGTATGGAGTTTACTGTAAGCCAGTTCGAAATAACTAATTAGTGAATCATTTTTCTTTGTGATATTCCAGTAAGGAATTAATCTGTTTTGGTTCCTAAGCAGATAGAATGCTATGCCAACTCAAGTAAAATGGAACCAGGAAGTGTACCAGTGCATAAGAAAAGCACACTGACAAAAACACCACTTATAATGCTTAAATCAAGGGTCCTCAAACTCCGGCCCCCCAGATGTTGCTGAACTACAACTCCCATGATTCTTTGAATTACATAGATAGCCAGAGAATCATGGGAGTTGTAGTTCAGCAACATCTGGGGGGCCGGAGTTTGAGAACCCCTGGCTTAAATTGTTCTGTTGATGATAGAAATGAAATAAATTAACCTGTCCAAAACAGAACTTCTGGTCTTTTCTCCCTCAAGTGTTGCTACTCCCTTGTCTGTCTCCCTCCAAGTCAACGGTGCCTCAATCACCATTACCTCGCAGGCTCGCTGCCTAGGTTTTCTCTTTGACTCCGTCCTCTCCTTCACTCCTCAAGTCCAGTCGATTGCAAAATCCTGCTGCTTCAATCTCAAAAACATTGCTCGCATCCGCCCCTATCTAACACCAGACTCCCAGCTAATGTGCTGGTCCATGCCGTTGTTCTTTCTCGCCTTGACTACTGCAATCCCCTTCTCAGTGGTCCCAGATTGCACCGCTGCAAGGCTAATTTTCTTGTCTTCCTACACCTCCCATGCCCCCCCCCCTCTGTTGGTCCCTTCATTGGCTTCCAGTTAGATATAGGGCGCAATTTAAGATTCTGGTGCTTGCTTACAATTCCCTTCATAATGCTGCTCCAACCTACCTATCCTCCCTAATACACAAGTATGTCCCCTTGAGGCCCCTGCGCTCTGCCAAAGGCCTACGTCTATCCTCTGTCCGTATTCCCACATCTGATGCTCGGCTCAAAGACCAGGGCTGCACCTTCACCCCTCCCCCCCAATGACTCCTCTCCTGCAACTGTCAAAAATAAGTTCTCAGTGAATACTTTTCTAGCAAACTATTTCATTACACCTACTTATACCTTTTGTGTCAGTATACCCCACTCCCTCTAGCCTTTAAGCTCATTGAGCAGGGCCCTAAACACCTCTGTTCCTGTGTGTTTATTTGTCTGGTTAAAATTACGTGTCTGTTAGTCCACCCTTTGTACAGCGCTACGGAATTTGCTGGCGCTATATAAGTAATTATAATCTAAATGAAGTTGTTATAATGCCAGGAACCCACTTAGAGACCATCTAACCTCAAAGTTGCCTCCGGTGGCGATATCCACTCTCCCCTGACAGCATCTGGCCTCTGAATTTTCAGATTCAGGAAGTGTGGAGTGCAGCTGGGCAAGGGTGCCCCTGATTGGTTGGGAGCAGTCAGCTGATGCTTTCTGCCAATCATTGACACCTCATTCACAAAACTGGTTTGGAAAAGGTACAGTTTATATCCTTTTTTAAATTTTATTTTTGGTGCCTGGCGTGTCTCTTTAAATTGACAGGGATTGTCAGGTTATTGTCTCTGGTACAGATTGATATTCATACTGTAACTTGAATATAAAAGTGTATGATATGACAGAGTTATATCCATTTATTCAGATATTTATGGCCATTTTAGTTGTACAAAAGAGGTTGATATTAACTTTGTCTGGGATCCATCTGAATGACTTGAATAATTGATAATTCTGTATCTCCAAATAATTACCCGGTTAGAGCAATGGTGATGTGACTGCTTTAATACTGGGAAATGTGGGTTTAAATCTTTGCTATTATACAAAAATTCATACCCGGTGTGAAATATTGCAAGATAAAGGACAATCTTCAAATTCTTCAAAATTATATTTATTGACCTATAATATTGAAAAGAGGCAGAATGCACAAATGTGCTAAAAAGCCGGTCCAACGCGTTTCATTCCAGTTGATGTTTTGCTGCACTTAGAGTAGAACTTAATCACGTGACAATAAAGCTTATAGAAAAGTCTTGGATATGATATCCAGTGCTGAGACTCCCTCTGTGCTGCAGACCCACTTCCTAGTCACTAGTCCAATCTAATGCAACTCAGAGGGACATTGGGGACCTGATGCACATGCATAGAGTGTCTCATATGCTTCTCATAGGAAAGCATGGAACATAATATGTATGACTATATGATAGCCATGAGAGACTTGTTTTACCCTTCAAGGTAAACAATGTGACGTTAGTGGTCTTTTAACCAATATCTGTCATAACGAGATGGAGATTTTTAATGTCAGGAAAACCGCTTTGTTTTCCTGACACTTTAGTGATCCTTTAAACGGGGGTAAGGGGTAGGGACACTAACCTTTATTTTGTTCGATTACTGTTGACTCATAACTGTAGGACTTTTAAATAATGTGTTTAAGTCCATTTTGTAATTATTGTAATTTCTATTTTTAAATTGTTTAGATGATCACAGCCGTGTGAAACTTCAAAATGTGGAAAATGATTATATCAATGCCAGTCTGGTTGTTGTTGAAGAAGCCCAAAGAAATTACATTCTAACACAGGTAAGCACATGTAGAAATGAGTTAATGCATGTCCCTCTTTTTCCTTATCTGCCAGTCATTTACGTTGTTACCTGTTTAACCCCTAAAAGGACCACTCTAGGCACCCAGACCACTTCAGCTTAATGAAGTGGTCTGGGTGCCAGGTCCAGCTAGGATTAACCCATTCTTTTATAAACATAGCAGTTTCAGAGAAACTGCTATGTTTATGAATGGGTTAAGCCTTCCCCCAAAGCCTCTAGTGGCTGTCTCATTAAAGTGAAAAATCCCTTGTGGCACTTAAAAAAAAAAAAAAAAAGTAAATTGCCTTTCTAACCCGAGGTAAGGGGGGAGGGGGGGGCCTGACCACCTAAACGGTGGTTTTAGAACTATAGTGTCAGGAATACATGTTTGTGTTCACATTCGCCAAAGCAGCACAGATGGGATGGGACTCTAATTTAGCATTAAAGCAAAACATTAAAAACGTTAATGGTGAATGAAATGACGGTACCAGGGGACTTCAGACACTATAACCAGTTTAATGAAATAAAGCAGACACAATGCCTACAGTGTCCCTTTAAACAATGTTTCTATATCTGTTTTTTCATTGGCAATGTTTGCCCTAGCATTGCCTTGTCTTATTTTAAATATGATGTAATTTCCAAATTATTTAAAATAAATTAATAGAAACCAGAGCATCTCAAGAAGTTGAAAAACAATTCCAGAGAAGTGAATTTCCCTTTAAAGCATTTCATCATCAATGTAATGACCTCAAAGATAAGATCAAATACATTGCCACTCAGTTCTTGGAATGCTCAGGACAAAAATACATTAAATCTAGAAACTTTGCCAAGATTCCTTTCGTGTACATCAGTGACATATGGAATCTTTTTCTGACAATTTAAAGTTGAACACAGGGAGATGACAATTGCATCCCATGTGAACTGAATGACAAGGTCGATAGATCCATGTGAAAAAAAAAATTCATAATGTTTTGCGTTCAAGGCAGCGTCGGGTCTGATTTGGCAGAAAATGTGTTACTACCTGGGCCAGTGTATGAAAAGCGATTTGTCCTCCCTCTACCAATTGTACTTTACGTAAGGGCTTTCATTGGCTTTGGCAGCAGTTTGCTTCTTTTTCAGTACTATTTATATTGCTTTAGAAATTTCAGGTCAGACTTTGTTGAGAATGAAAACTCTTGGGAGTTTATTTTAAAAACAGGTATTCACTAAGCTGTGAATTGAGTCTGACTTGCAAAATGAAGCTGTCTATTTAGATTTAGGAAATGCTTCCAAGTTAGGGATATGTGCCTTGATTTTTGACATTAAGAATTTAACCCCTTAAGGACACAGCTTCAGAAGCTTGTATTGCCCTTAAGGACAGAATGTTTGCATTTTTTGCCATTATTGCACCAACAAATATTGTATACCATTTTTTTATTTTGAGAACGTTACATATACATCTATAAATTCTCATTTAATTCTAAAAAGAAAAAATACCCCACGATGTTTTTTTTTTTTCTTCACAGTTTAGGTAATAACTGGTGTATAATATGTCCAGCTTAGGAAAAGTAATTCAAAATAAATTCATTTGTGTCTTGCTTTATAGAGTTCATATTATGCAATAGGATTTCAGCTTATTTTGAAAGTTACCGGGCACAAAATACAAGGACTAAAATAAAATTTCAATTAGCAACAATTTTAGAAGTTGGTATGTTTGTCTTGTAGGTTTAGTAGCCATCACAGAAAACTAAATTGCCACACAAAAATATATATTTATATAAAGTAGACATCACAGGCTATTTACCTAAGGTTAGTTTTTTTTTATGTAGCCATGCAATCGCCAATCTCTGCTAAATATTAGAGTAAAATTGTGTTTTTTTTTTTCTTTATTTTGGCATATACACATACAGGTGGTCCTCATTTTGTAACCTACCTGTTTTACGATGGCTCGCACTTACGACCAGCTTTCTCGTGGGGTGGTAAGTGCGAGCTGTCGTGGGGATTAGAGGGATTCACTGCTCTGTTCATCTATGTTTGGGGAAATTTCCCTGAACATAGACTAACACACCAGAGCAGGGAATCCCTCTAATCTATGTTCAGGGAAATCTCTGTACCTGTTAGAGATAAACATACACATTATCCACAGTAATTATTAATCTAGAGGAGGGCGACAGGCCACAGATACCAATACTAATCAATAGCTATGGCAGGTTACATTTTCGGGATGGCTCGCAACCACACACTACTCCCACCCAGACAGTATTCACCATGTGTCTCAATGCTGGGCATCAACAGATGATCATAGCTCTCAATGCAGGGAGGACTCCCCACCCCAGCTGTTAGGCATATTAAAGCCCGAGCATGATGGGAGTTGTATTTTCAACTAAGCACCCTGGATACAGTCCCTATCAGTATGGCCCCAGCTGACTGCTCCTAGACCAGGCTCTGCTTCCCCCTCCCTGGTTGGAGGTCTCTGTACCTGTCCTGGCTGCTGTCCCATGCTCTTGGTGACTTTGGGCAGGACTTGGCCTCGCTGGTTTTCTTGTGGGGCCGCGGACAGGGCCAAGCCGTGCTTCCCAGGCTGCACGTTCTCCTGGTTCTGCCACCTCAGCAGATGATCCCACATATTGCGATCTCCGCCCTGGAGAGGGCGCTCGGTGACTTGGGCGAAATTTCCCCGAACATAGACTAACGTCTATCCCTTAACTCCTCACTTACCGACCAATTCGTTCCTGTATAACAATGTTTTTGTAATGTGTATTTTGTAAAGCTGGTGTGTGCTATTCCTGTACAGAACCCCATATTGTGTTCAGCTACATCTGCGGAGTATAACTTTACCCCCATTGTATGCCTTTGGCACTATTCTGTGAAACTACACTGCCATATAAGAGACAAGGCTATTCCAGTTTTTTTATATTTGGAATTTTCATAGATGGATTTGATGGGCATATGTCTTATTTTGTGGCATTCTAACTGTTTAACCCCCAAAGGGCTTTCATTTGATAAAGACACCCCAGGGTATCTTATATGGTGTATATTGTGCCTTAATTTGTCACCATTTTTTCACCAATTTAAGTCGGTTTGTGGTGAGGAAAACAAATTGGCATTTAAAAAATAAATAAATTATTGCGTTTTTGCTGCATATTTTTTACACTTGATATGGTACATCATAAAAACCCCCAAGTTATGCTCAGTTACATCTTCTGAGTAAAATATGCCCAATGTATGACGTAGACACTATATTTTGTGAAGTTACAGTGCTGTAAAAGAGACGTGACAAGTTCAGGTTTTTAAGTGTGAATTTTCATAGATGGTTTTGATGCGTCCGTGTCCCATTTTGGAGCACTTGAGCAGGCTACATATTCCAACTACTCCATAAAGGCATACATCCCAGGGTACTTCAAAAAGCATATTTTGAACCTTAGTGTGGGATAATTTTTCCGCCTTTTTTTTTTAAAACCATTTGTAGTGGTTATAAGCAACTTTTCTGCCTCTTTGACACACAAAAATAGCAGTATAATACTTTATATATTGCTCCGCTGTGTCATCGGAGTGCAGCAATAAGCTGTACTTGATCCTGATGAAAGTTTTTTTTTTTTTCATCTAAATAAAGCAGCTGTTTTTTGAATGCAAACCGTGAGTGCTGACCCAATCTGTGTGTGTATGTATGGTGTTCAAGTAGAGATTGTAACCGTATTAGTCCAGTGATGAAGATGTAAAAAACAGATGAAATTTGTATCTTGTAATGCCTTTTTTATTGGACTAACAATATTTTAGTGACAAGCTTTGGGGAAAACCTCCTTTTCTCAAGTCTGAAGCATTTCTCAATTGCGGTAGTAACATCACTGCAAATTTGTGATTTTTGTTGGAAAAGCAAGTCTTATGGCTTGACTGGAGTGCAGATTTTTGTTTAACATTGTATTGACTTTCCAAAGACTTCCGGTGGAAGGGGTTTTCAATCACAATTTTTTCCCCACAATAACTTTGTGTGTGTATAAATGTGTGTGTGTTGATTTAATAGTTTTCAGGTTTAGACTGAAGGATTTGTTTATATCCTTATGGTCTATCCCTATTTAGGGTCCTGAGATCAGGGACGCCTCTATAACAAACCTCTAGTATTCTTAAAGAGGTGTATTTACTTGATTTCAGCTTTAGACTGAAGGATCTGCTTATATCCTCATTACCTATCTCTATCTATACTCTACTCCTAATATTCTATTGTGCTTATTTTTCACCATTTACCATTCTTTTTGTTTTTTGCTTCAGGATTATTGCTATTTCACTAGGCTCTGTTGTAGCCAGTGTTTCGCTTATTTTCACGAGCGCTTAACAATATAAAGGTTGGGATTGCTACTTTTTTCTTTAGTTCTCATATTGTTATTTTTTTGTATCCTTTTGAATTAGTGTGGTATGTTTAACCACCAACCGTAGATATTGAGTATTTCTCTCAGGGTTGTTCTCTGTTCATTAGGCTACATTGATATACTTGTCCACGTACCTTGTAGAGTTACTAATAAAGTTTTTTTGTTATTTACTATTTTTCGTTCTTTTAAGATCTTATTTGAGAGGACTGGGATTTTAACCTAGTAGTCACTTTCTTTTAGAGTGACCTTTCTAGGTTTTATTACGTTAAAGGACCACTATAGTGCCAGGAAAACATACTCGTTTTCCTGGCACTATAGTGCCCTGAGGGTGCCCCCACCCAGGGGCGTACCTAGAGCATTTGGCACCCGGGGCGGATCCTGTGCTTGGCAACCCCCCCCCCCACCACCACCACCCCCCTCCCAAAAACCTGTAAAAATGTTAAAGGTTTTATTTCTTTTATTTTTACAATTTGTAAACTTTGCAAAACCGCTGTCAGCCCCTCCTACAAAACCCTTGTCCTGCCCTGCCCCTCCTACAAAACCTCTGTCCTGCCCCTTCTACAAATCCTGTACTGCCCCATCTACAAAACCCCCGCAACCCCCTTCCACAAATCCCCTGCTTATCCCCCCTTATAAAGACTCCTGTCCCAATACAAAACCCCCACCCCCTTCTACAAAATCCCTGCAGCCCCACACACACATTTACAGGCAGACAGTCACATACTCAGTTACAGACACAGTCACACAATACACATTTCCTCCGTGCGGCCAGTTTATTTTGGAGGCTGGATTAACCCATTTATAAACATAGCAGTTTTTCTGAAACTGCTATGTTTATAGAAAAAAGGGTTAAACCTAGCTGGACCAGGCACCAAGACCACCTCATTAAGCTGAAGTGGTCTGGGTGCCTATAGTGGTCCTTTAAGGTGTCAATTGTCTATCATTCTGGCCTGCAATATTCAGTGACCTATTCAATATTTAAATTTTTTTATTTATTTTTTGGTAGATCCAATGTTGTTTACACTGCATACTTATAGAGGCACTATAGGGACACTATGATTACCAGAACAACTACAGCTTAATGTAGTTGATCTGGGTCTATACCATGTTCCTTCAGACCTTTTTGTTGTAAACTAAACATTACAGCCTAGGAACATCTCTTGTCACCACTCCTCAGACTGCTACTAGAGGAGCTTCCTGGTTCAGTGCTGCACATTGTGCAACACTGGTTTTCGGCGTCTCCACTTTCTGCACGGAGGTGCTGAACTTTCCCATGGACTAGGTTTAGGTCATTTAAAACAACTGAGTGGGAGATTCATTATTTTTTTTTATAAATAGCCAGCATGCGATCAAATAGTACTTATCTGTTCAAAATAGAAGTACTTATCCCTCCATGAGTCCAGAAGAGGCTGTAAACTGTATCGACTTCAAATTAACTTTTTTTTTTTTTTATGAATAGGACACTCAGTGCTTTAGGGGCTGGAGCGTCCCTTTAACAAAGTGCAAGTGTTGCGGCAGCTTTCACTACCACTGGTGCAAATCAACCTGCATCTTCTGCAGACATAAGGATTTAGGATACTATAATTACGTCACCAAAGCAAACTTTGGGATAACTTGGTGTACCTCCAGGATGGTTGACTTGCAGACTGCAGTGACATGAAGTGCCAAAAGGCGAAGTAGGGGGCATAGAGAATAGCTAAATGTACCAGGGCATACCACAAACACATTGGAACCATGAAGTGCCTCCAGAGAGTCGAACCGCTCCCAGCTCAATGGCAAGAATGAGATCCACGCCATAAATCACTAGTCCTTAGGCTCCACCTACAACATATACCAGACCAAGAGAAGAGCTGGATACCATGAATATCAAGTTCTGGAAACAAATCACAAGGAGTGGAGGGTTACACCTGAAATCCGAAATCCAGAGACTATACACCAGCTAGAACTAAAGTGCTCAATACTTATGACGAGGAGGAGTAATATAATAACTAGTATTTATATAGCGGCTTTCTCCTAGAGGTACTCAAAGCGCTTTGCAGTGCACGCTTTCGGAATTAACCAAATTGGCAGCTGAATAGTAATAGGAATAAGATGATGGCAAAGCCACAGTCCTGGATGTTACATAGAGCATCCACAAGTACCTTATGAAGATGGTTCCCAAAGATGAACTGCTTAGGGAATGCTTGAGACCACAAAAGAAAATAATCCAACAATTAGTAGCTGAGTGCAAGATGTTATGTTCACCAGGCCAATATTTTTGTAGTACAAACAATAATAAAAGGTGCTTCCATAAATATAAAGTGTGCACTCTGGTGTATCAAAGAGTGTTTCCGAAACCTAAGAAAAAAACATTGTGTATTTGTAATCTTTATCATCTACGTGGTCTGACAGGAAGTGTTTGAGAGGACCGGAGAGCTTCCTCTGTCCGGGTAGAGGAAATTAAAGCTCCTCTACCGCGGTCCACTTGGCCATCCTACAAGAAGGACACACAAAAGGGTCTTTGGAAGGGGACAATGACATACGCTGAGTTGCTGGGGAAGGGGACAATGGCACAGAGAGGTGCTGGGGGAATACAAAGGTTGTGTAAGACATAGAGGAAAAATGGGGGATAAGATACACTAAAGGGTACGTAAGACTCAAAAGCGGTTATCCCCTGGCTATGAGACAAAGCCAGCGGCATTGTGGCTACAGCTGCATAAAAAACTATTTAACTTTAAAACGGCAGATAACGGAGCATAGAGACTGCAGACCATTATGTAGTTCCTATAGACATGTCCACTATAGCTGTAGTGATAACAGGGCCGTCTTTAACGCGGGGCAAACAGGGCAGCTGCCCCGGGCCCAGTTGCTCCTGGGGGCCCAGAGCAGATGCTCTGTGGGCCCCGCGATTTGCGCAGCCCCTATGGACCGGGTGTTGCGGCTCCTGCACACTGAGGAGGCTCCCCGGGTGGCCCATGCACTAAGGGCCACCCGGGGAGCATGTGTCAGCAGGGGCCCGGTCGGGCGCTGTGGCGCTTAAACAGCGCAACCGGGCCCGTCTTCCGGTTCTGCAGCCGGCTGAGAGGAAGTGACGTCACTTCCTCCCACCGGAGATAATGGCCGCGCGGGAGGAGGAAGGCAGGGAGGAGGGGAGTTCCAGAGGAGAACTCCCATCTGCCTCAGCCTGCCACTGGACCAGGGAAACCACCCTCCAGGAAAAGGTAAGAACCTGGAGGGTGGCTAAATGTATGTCATTATGTCTGTGTGTGTGTGTCAGTATGTCAGTATGTCTGTGTGTGTGTGTGTGTCAGTATGTCTGTCTGTGTGTGTATGTGTCAGTATGTCTGTCTGTGTGTGTATGTGTGTCAGTATGTCTGTGTGTGTGTGTGTCAGTATGTCTGTGTGTGTGTGTCAGTATGTCTGTCTGTGTGTGTATGTGTCAGTATGTCTGTCTGTGTGTGTATGTGTGTCAGTATGTCTGTGTGTGTATGTGTCAGTATGTCTGTGTGTGTATGTGTGTCAGTATGTCTGTCTGTGTGTGTGTGTCAGTATGTCTGTGTGTGTCAGTATGTCTGTGTGTGTCAGTATGTCTGTGTGTGTCAGTATGTCTGTGTGTGTGTGTGTGTGTGTGTCAGTACGTCTGTCTGTGTGTGTGTGTCAGTACATCTGTCTGTGTGTGTGTGTCAGTACATCTGTCTGTGTGTGTGTGTCAGTACATCTGTCAGTGTGATTGTGGGTTGGACGTAATTGGGGGGTGAGGCAGTGGCAGGGACAGGGCCCATGGTGCCCAAGAAAATGCATTGCCCAGGGTCCTAATCATATTATAGACGGCCCTGAGTGTTAATGATGCCAGGAGTTCCGAGGCCCAGTTTCCTAATAATGAGACATACCATTTAGTACTGGTTTGCCCTCTTTTCTAGATCCCTGACTGGATCTGAGGCGCTCTTATATTTTTGTTGTAGCAAATCTTGGTCATAAATAAAAGTACCAGCATTGTACACGACATTTTTAAGTGCAAACCATTGTAAAAGGAAAAGTGTTCCACACACAAACTTATAAACCTTGCATAATGTCACATTGTTCCTGACTGGCTAAATTTAAGCAAGGAACATCTGCACTATGTGATATGGACTATGTAGGAATGTTGGGTTAAATCGTAGTAAGTAGGAGGGAATGAGAGTCCCGAAAAAGGAATAAAAGCCTTGCGATAACAAGCACTGTGATGCGTCGAAAGAACGTAAACTTTTTGCTAAAAAAAAAAAATGAAAATTTGGGGCTAGCTTTTGTGACGTCTTTAGGAACTCCGCGGAGACTTAGATTGCGCTGCCGCTTTGAGTCCTCCAGCACAGCTAGTTTGTCCTCCATGGTGAGGGTGATCTGCTTTAGTCGATCTATGTCAGCAGACAGGTTTCCCTGTATTTCTCTGGTGGTACTGCCCTAGTCCTCCACAGACTGCAGTCTGGCAGTGATGGTCCCCATGTCTTGGCGGGCTAGCGCAATGTCGGCCGAGAAGTAGGCCCTCATCTCAGCCAGCATGTTCTTGATGTCTGCGTTGCTGGCCGGCATGCTCTCTGTGTAAGGCTGGCACTCTTGGTTACTGAGGCCGCCTCCGTGTTAGTGGGTCTCTTACTGGGTACGCCACGACCGGCTGAATCTCGAGTCTTCTGGTACTCTCTGCTCCAAGCCGGAATCTGAGTCATCCTGCACGGGTTCCATCTTAGAAGCAGGCAGCAGCGGTGTGCCTCGGAGCAGGGCACCGATATCCTTGGTGGAGGATGCTGCTTTGCTTTTGCAGTGTTTAATTGTGTTTTTTTGTTTGTTTTTTTCATCACTTTGGGGTATTTTGGGGGTTCTGGCTCCGCCCATCCAGAGGCTCTTTTTATGTGGTGATACACATCTGGCTTCTTCACAGCTGCAGAAGCTGATCCGTAGGCCATTCATAAAAGGTGCACTTTCCCAAAAAAAATTTTTTTTTTTTTTTTTTTTTTGCACTGAATTAACTTTAACACGCAGCAACTGGGATTTACACATCCAACAACCAAAACGAAATGCTGCACATACAGGTTCCAGGTACATCACTGAAGTTGTCATGCAACTTTGGGTAACCCTTCAAGCTAATGTTGATTTGCTACCTAGAGTGTAGCTTTTAGTATAGATTCAAGTGCAAAAATCACACACTGATGCTGTTTTAAATCCGTTTGGATCAAAGTATGGATTGGGATCTGAGTAAAGTGCCTTTCCAGAAGAGATGTTTCACAATATTATCTCATGTGTGTGCTGGCTGTGCTTTGTTGCTTTGTATAAAGGCGGTCAAAACATGTGCTTGTAGCTGGACATTTTGTTGACTCTTAAAGTATATCCTGAAATTACCTCCCTGTTTACCCTTAAAGGTACTCAATAGTGTCAGGAGTGCAGAGCTGTATTCCTGGCACTATAGCTCCCTCTGCCTCCCCCCCTTCCTCGCGTGGCGCTGGAAACAAGCAGTTACATTACAGTGGTGACTCCTCCCGCTTTACATCTTTAGACCACTTTTCAGAACACACTTTCATCTTCTCTTGTTTTATACACAATATTTATTTTATATAATATATAATATAAACCTCTGTGTCATTATATCATTATATCATCTGTAATTGCCTGTTCGTAGAGACTGTCTAAAAATACAGACCTCAGCCACTATTCATTCTGCTTTATAAAACTATATGGGTTATCGAAATGTGGTTTCCACGTGATATGTGTAGGCTTGAGCATCCTGTGTTTGTATGTTGGTTTTATTTGGTTATCAATTGTTGTGGGTTTTTTTTTGTGTTTTTTGCCCACCCCCTATATATTTAGCAACTTTATATAGCCTTTTATTATTGGGGTGGCAAAAGGCAATTGGTTACCCAGATAGGGGTTAAAGGAACACACAAAGCACCGAAAAAAAATTACGGCTTATTATACTAGTGGTAGTCGTTCTTAAAGTGTCCCTTTAAGATCAGATGTAACTGAGTAAACCAATATTTGTTTTCTCCTCTGTTTTGTCACAGGGCCCGCTTCCTAATACATGCTGTCATTTCTGGTTAATGGTCTGGCAACAAAAAAGTCGTGCAATTGTGATGCTGAACCGAATCATTGAAAAGGATGCGGTAAGTGTTAAGTGTTGTTTCTCAGAAGTATTTATGTTGCCAGAAATAATCAGTTTCAGATCTCCATCTGGGGAAAAGCTGCATCTGTGATCTGCCTAGCAGCAGCATGCAGGATTTCCTGGCCTTGACAGATCTGTAATGATGTCACCAATTAGACTAATTTCTTCTTTTGTCATTTTTGCTCAAAAGTAGATTTATTGTATTTTAGTACAGTCCGTCACTTTAATTCTAATTGAACTGCGGCACAGTACAGTAAAGTTTCTAACCTGAAATGTTTATATTACCATATCAATAGACACTATGTAAACCGTAAAGGCCATAAAGTACCATTCTTCCATCGTCAGGGTTATGCAGGTAACACTTGCTTCAGGGAAACCCTGATGACTATTTGAGGTATAATTAAAAATTAGACAGCCTCATTGTAATGGAATCCAGAGCGAAGTGTTCCTTAATATGCATTATTTTATTGTCCTCCATATGGGTTATTAAAATCAAATATTTTTCACTGAACAACATTTAGGCAGGATACCCCCAAAATAATGTTTAAAAGTCCACATGTTTTGTATAAACACCAACCATACTTTAAGACACAAGTAAAAGCTTAGCATATCGAACCATTAAACCCTTCATACTCCAACAACAGTGTGTGAAAGTGGAACTCTGCCAAAGCCTTCTATAACTATAACCGTAGAAATAAAAACCAATTGTCAAACTATATACATCTATATCCAAGGTGCTACACTTTTCCCATGCAAGACAGCGTACATTGTTGCAACAATATCATGAAGAGCTAAGTTTGTGTATCCACAAAAGGTTCTTATCCCTGCATCATTCAGTATAAAGAGTGTTAATATTGTTGAAGCAGATTTTTCACTTACATGGGTTTTTGCTCATTTTGTGAAGATCCACGAAAGTGACTGATCCAAAGTGGATCTGGTTGTCTCAGGGTGCAGGGTAAGGTAGGTTTATTTATTAATTTATTTTTTACTTTCCTCAAGCTGTCTCCTGCAGCACCTGCCATCTTTGTCCTGCAGGTCATTTATAGTTCCTGGTGTTTTAGTTACCAGGAGCTCAGTGCTATATTCTTAGTGTATGCACAAGAGTACAACATGGAGGTCTATGGAGGATCCTGCGGAAAATTCATAGACATTCATGGACAAAAGTTCACAGCGTAGCTCTACCTTTTGTCAACCTCAGGTTTGTCAGACAAAGTACCGTAGTCCCTTCTTTGTCTTATAGTATGCTTGGTTTGCATTGGAATTCCAATGCAGTCTTCATCAGTATTTTATAGAGAATATATCTTTATGAATTACTGGAAAGTGACAGATTTACTTTCATTAAAAGACAGAAATATCCCATTAGACAATAAGTGCAAAGGACTAAGCGTTTTTCTCTCTTGGACAAAATGTGGAAGAGGTCACCTCCTCTGAAAGGACTTGTTAATCTTTCAATACATTGAAAACTGAATGTAGTGGTATTTGTTATGATAAGACAGAACATTACTTACTTTAGTGACCTTAGTTATTTTCTTTATTACAGTATAGGGTGACTATTTACCAGATTCTTTGCAATTACTGAATACACATATGTACATGAGATGGGGATAGTCCCTCTTTCAAGTAAGCAACTCTCATGTCTTGTCTGACAGCTAAGTAGAGGGAGTTGATGTTAACCCTTCTCCGACATTGGGGTGTTCTATGCTACAAAAGGAGGACTTTCACTCCATCAGGCAGCATTGCACGCCCTAACATCAGGGCTCATCCTCCCCAGATCAATCGGAGGGGAACTGCTTGACAACCCAGGCATCCTCCCCCCTGCAGCCAATCCTGCTTATCTGAGTTATGTGATCGCGATAACAGCTGGATCGCATGACTCAGATTGGTATGATTGGCAGATCCCCCAATATAGAGCTAATAAAGTAACATACTTCTGTAAAAATAATCTCTAAAATAAATGATGAATTAATGTACATATTTATCAAAATACACTTGGTGTGTAGTGTATACATACATAATTTATTTACAATTGTATTGTTATTAATTATAAATTGGGCACCTCCCTGAATTTGTAAGCCCTATATTTGACCCTGTATCTTTCCAAAACCTCATAAACCCTGTTCATGGGGTTACTGTTATATTTTTATTCAGAGATGTCTCACAAGTTACAAGTGTTTTAGATCAGTAAAACATACAATGACTGGAATATCAGTAAAGTGCAGTTTTGTGTGAAACAAATATGAACCCCAACAACAAACTAGGGTTTGTGACTAAATGGCTACTGAAAAAGATTGGACATACCCTGTTTTGAATTCTCTGGATGTCTACTTTTGTAAACGGTATGCCATGATGGAGGTAATTTTCATTCCTGACCTGCCGTTCTCAAAGCAACATAGGTCCCGCAAACCAATATGGCAACTTTCAGTGTGTAAAAAGAGAGGGGGTTGCTAAAACTTGCAGCAATTTCACTAGAGTGGTATAGCATTTAAATATGTGGGTAGGGTGGGTAAAATACCATGAGATGATGATTTGCAGGTTAAAATATTGAGATGGCTTTTCAGAAGGCTACCTTTGTAGGTCATTGGTACAGTTGCTGGAGCTCAGAGTCCTTTGTAGTTTTGTGGCAAACTAACTTCTAACTCAGACTTGTTCCAAGTGACTCTTTCAATTATGTAATGTTTTACTGTATACAGTATGAACTATGTCTAAGCCACTTCTTCTAAATCCAGAATTTCATCTTTTGCTCTGTTAAATTTGAAAGCATGTAGATCAGGGTTCCCCAAATCCAATGTCGCCATGGTGACTTAGTATTTTGTCTTGGTGCCTGGGTATTTGACCGCGAGGAAACTGTAATGTTCCTGCTCTGCTCCCTCGCATGCCCTGCAGTGATGCCAGGATATGTCGTCACTCTGGATATGGCATCGCTAACTGGCGGGAACAGAGCAGGAAGATTAAAGCATAGCCCCACTGGACCCCAGGTAAACGATCCAGACCAGCTCTCACAAAGGAGAGTGGACTTAAATTGAATTAAAACAAATAATTTGTGGGTGTATGAAATAATGTGTGTCTGTCTGTAAAAATGCATGTATGTTTAGGTGACTGCCCCCCCTCCAATTGCATGGGAATGGTGTTTTTACTCCCCCTCCCCCCTCCCCCCCTTTTTTTATTCCCGCCATGCTGTACTTGCTGCAGCTAGCCTTGCCTCCATGTCTGAGATTATCAAACTTGATGATCTCAGCCAATCCAATGCTTTCCCACAGTAAAGCATTGGAAGGCTATAACGCATATGTGGCAAAACGCTGCGCCAATCAGCATCTCCATATAAAGATGCATTGAATCAATGCATATCTAGGTGGAATGTTCAGTGCCTCCATGCAGAGCGTGGAGATGCTGAATGTAGATAGGAAGCACTTTAATTGCCATCTGAGTGACTGCCACTAGAGGTGTTACCAGGTAGCATTGAAAAGCCTGCAGGGACAGGCTATAGACACCAGAACCACTACAGTAAGCTGTAAGAATTGTATTTTTGTTGTTTTAAAATAAAGCTTGCTTTGTTTGGGGAAAAAAACAAACAAATCCTGGCTCCTGACTTTTCTAGCGGACTTCTAGATTCAAAGCATATTTGTCAAGTCCTGGTTTAGATACTGCTGCTCAGGTACAGGACTCTCGTCACAGCCTCATTGTTGAGAAATTACACTGCTTTGTAGTTATTTGTGTATGTGGTCTTTTCAGCAGCATGATAATTTTCTTTTAAATTTATTTATTTTGTATTTTTTCAGCGAAGAGGCAGTTGGGTACAGAAAAAAAGAAAGGGTGAATATCATAAACCAGTGGGTACATTACATTTTGATTGGATGCACACATGACGTATTCTGGTTTGGTAATAGATATATGGTTACAATACAATGCTACACGCATGTTAGGTGGAGTGTGTGTCGTCTTGGGCCTGTTAGCCGGATATGGGATGCCCTGTCAGTGTAGATGATACCTTTGAGAACCTGGTCTCATTCATAGTGTCTCTTTAGGTGTCTGCACTACGCCTTGCCAAGTAAGTCTACCCACTTCGGATGACTGCGCAGGATCGATCTATTGGCAGGCTAAGTAGACATCTGGTGGTGGTGGCCTGTCTCGAAGCTGAGACGATGTTAATCAGTTCTCTTGTCTAGGCTGCTAGGTAATTCGGCTCTGTGTTTTTTGTTGTTTTACTTTTTTTTGTATGTTTTTTAACATAATAGCAATGCCTTTGTACCTCCCTTATAGTAAGTGATGTTCGGATGATTCTAATTTACCCTTGCCTCTCCTTCGAGACTGCCTAGCCACTTGGCTCGGTTTTATTTTAAAGCGGGGGGGGGGAATGTGTGGGTGGAGAGGGAGGGAAACTTAAAAGAAAAGGTGTGTGTGTGTGTGGCAAATTTGTACAATGTAGGCTTGCTTCTCTTGTCAGGGTGAACTCATCGTTTTTAGGGTGAAGCCCCCGTACTCTGAAGCTTAGTAGTGCCCAGTGTCTTCGGTGATTGCGAATGGCCGAGTTTGCAGTGCTGCCAGTTGTGAACTTTGGGCCGAGAGACTCGAGCTCAGATACCTGTCCCCTCCACTCACCAATCGCATCGTCCCACCTAACCCATTATCTCCGGTGGTGAAACTACCGTACCAAGGGGCTTGTTTCATGTTTAATTTGTCATGTAATAAGAACTTTACAAGTTGCGTCCACGTGGTGTGTCCCATTTGTGATCAAAAAGGCGTCAGACAGGAACCCTGCATTGAGCACATGCGCAGTAGGGTGGCTATAAAAGGCCTTCACCACTGACCGGAACCAATCAAATTTGAGCAATACCGCCTCCAGGAATCCCCAATGTAGGCGGTTGAAGGCCTTTTCCGTGTCTAGTGATGTCAGTAAACCTCACTTCCGTGTCGCCTAATAGCCATGCATTATGTTCAGTACTTTTCTCGTATTTCCCGATCCCTGTCTGCCTGCCACGAACCCCACTTGGTCATTGTGGATAATGTGGGGTAGTATGTTGCTTAATCGGGTTGCATGCAATTTTGCAAAGATTTTGGCGTCCCTGTTCAATAGTGATATAGGTCTAAAATTTTGGGGGAGTGTGGGCGATTTGGTTTGGGAAGTGTAACAATGTGCGCCAATAACATGTTTTAAATTAGTGATTTGTGGGCAATTGCGTCTTGAAATGTGCGAAGGCGTGGAGCTAATGTACTGCTAAATTTTTTTGTAATTTTTTGAGATTGTCCAGACCATCAGGTCCAGGTGATTTGCCCGGAGGCAGGGCGCTTATAGTTAAAATGACTTTGCGTTCTGACACCGGTTGGGCAAGTACGGTCTGTTGTGTAGGGGTCAATTTTGGCAGGTGAAGGCCTTCTAGGTACTTATTAATGTCTGTACTCTGGGGTTGGTGTACCTGCCCATCATGTTTAAGATTATATAATTCGGTGTAATACTGCGCGAACTCTTTGCTAATATCCCTTGGCGTTTGAGCCTTAGTGACGGTTTTTGTCGTTAGATATGCAATTTTTTGGGATGCTTGGCGTGATTGCAATCTGCTTGTGAGCATTTTACTTTAATGCCTTGTGCGTAGTAGGTAGTTTTAAAGCGTTTAAGCTGATAACCTATTGATTGTAAGTCTGCTGATGTATTCTTCTATTTAGGGGTAGTATGTGGTCTCTTAGAGATGCAGAAGGTGACATTTGGTTTTGCACGTTTAGGGAGTACAGCTCTTCTTGCCACTTATGCAATTGGGCTTGGGAGTTTTTACGAAATGCGGTCGCTCGCTGTAGAAGTAGCCTCCTCACAACCGATTTGTGAGCCTGCCATATTGTGGTTGGGGACATACCTGGAGTGAACCATTCCTCAGGTACCATAACTTGGGAACAAAGGAGGGACTGAAGGGGTCAGGAGTAAGGAAGTCTTTTGAAAGTTTTCCTTTAACGAGAGGTTTCTTTAAGAACATGTCCTCTCACATCATCCAGCTCTTGATGCAATGTACCCCAATGAAGAGATGTTGCTTTGCCAGTGTGGCATTTGGCTCTGCCCCCCGCTCTGCCTCCTTGACAGAGATCATCCAAATTGACAATCTCAGCCAATCCCTGGGAAAGCATTGTATTTGGCTGAAATCGCCAATTCTGATGTCAGCCAATGAAGTGAATCAGTGGTGGAGCCAGCGAAGAAAAAAAAGATTAGTTTATACTACTTTTAAGGGGGGCTAAATAGTGTTAACACTATAGGGTCAGGACACACACAGGCCTGGAGGCGATCCTGAGCGGCACGGTGGCAAGGCAAGTGTGGGACTGGGCGACCCCCAAGACGACCGATACACCGGCACACATGCCAGCTATGGGCCGCCGCTCCCAACGACCGCAACACACAGCAGACAGCAGGGATATCGGGGCCATGCTTCAGAGGCCTATGCAGGCCAAAACCGCCCCTGCCGAACCCCCGAACCCCCGAGCCCCGCAGCCCACACTCACCACCCAGAAATGGCGGCCTCCAAGGGCACCCAGGCAGAGAGCCCAAAACAGGGGGATGATACAGCCGACACAGCCCCAATCACCAGACAGGATCTAAAAACCCTGCTGACAGATTTTCACACAATTCTAGCGACGGAACTTGCTCCCATCAAAAAAGACATCAAAGCAATCACCAGCAGGGTGCAGGCAACCGAAAAAGACATCACAAGCCTGCAGGAACATCTATCCGACCTACAAGAATCTGTGCAGCAGGTACACACACAACATAAAGCCTTAACTGCACAGCTCACTGCTCTAGAAGAAAAACAAAGACGCACTAATATAAAGATAAGGGGCATCCCTGCGGAAGTCACACCAAACGAACTGCCACACTACTCCAGGCACCTCATAGCCACAATCTTGCCTCCAGTTGCAGCCAAAAAACTAGCCGCAGCAGAGATTTACCGCTTGCCCTCTTCCGCCAGGGCACCGAAAAACACAGCCCGAGATGTGATACTCAGATGTCCAACAATACAAGACAAAATACAGCTCATGACGGCCCTTAAAGGGAAAACACCACTGGATTTTGAAGGAACTACACTGTACTTTTTCCAGGACCTAACAAAAGCCACCCTCACCTGGAGGAAAACCTTCTCTTCTCTCACCGGTGGCCTGAGGTCAGTGGGCATCGAATACAGATGGGGGCCCAACGGCTCCGTAATGGTGCACCGGAACGGAACTCACCACACACTCACCTCAATGGAAGGTGCACCCGAATTTTTGAAGGCACTGGGACTGGACATCCCGATCGCTGCTACCCCACATGGGAGGCCAACCACTGCTAGCTGGGACCCAGAACACATCACCCCCTTTGTTCCAAGGGCCGGGAGCTCCAAGACCACGGAACGGCAACAGCCTCTGGGAACCGGTTTGACGCTGGACACTTAGCCCCTCCAGGGGAAGCAGAACAAGGACACATTACATTCCTCGCAAACCCAACTAATATCAAAAGTTTATTGCCTGCCCTGTTGCATACTTATTGATTTTGCTTATATGTTGTCTATGAGGGAATGTCCACCATGTTTGAATTTGTAGATAGTCCGCAACTAATGGCACAAAGGGCCCTACACAACCCACCTCAAACCGACAGGGCACGGCAGCATTCCCACATATACACTCATAGTCTGTGGCGTGACCATGAAAATATCCCCCCCCCCCCGCAGCTCCCCTGGTTAGGAGTTATTACACTCATGTTCCAGAGCACACTCTCCAAGCAGGAATCTGCACAGTGGTACACACACACCCAAACACGTTCGCATGCAGCGCTGCCAGAATCACCCCACTATAGCATGCAAACATAAGTGCGCAGAACCACTGCATTATAAAGCTATACAATATGACTTACCAAACCTGCAGTAAGAGTAAACCCGTTTAACCATTAACATGCTCTTGAATCGTATATGCCTGTTTTAACCTCACCAAGTTGACTATTCAATTTACCTAAATCCTCGCTTAACCTATAATATAAAAATGTGCTAGTACTAACCAATCCTGCTCTATTCAAACCATCAAGCGAGAACAGTTCTGTTGTATACAAACTTAGCATAGCATGTTTATTGCTAACCACGAATGTCTTATAGCCTGTTTTTTTCATGAGAAAAAAAAAATGTGCCGTTCAACCTGCCACACTTTGGAATTCTATGAATCTGCTTGCAGCGGCTGTTGTGGCTCTGCACGCTTGTTGTTACTTCATGCACAAATAAAATAAAGAATTTTAAAAAAAACAACACTATAGGGTCAGGAATACACATTTGTGTTCCTGACCTTATAGTGTTTCTTTAACCCCTTAAGGACACAACTTCTGAAATAAAAGGGAATCATGATGGAATATATCCGTCATGTGTCCTTAAGGGGTTAATGCCCATATTTATACATGACAATACCTTACTGGCCTAGCAACTGCTGATTGAAATTGCACATTGTTATCACTAACGGAACGAGGCAGGGGTGCCCACTCTCCCCCTTGCTATATGTGCTGGCTTTAGAGCCGCTAGCGGAGACAATATGGGCCAACAGCTCCATACACGGAGTAACAGTGGGCGACAGGGAATACAAAATCAATTTATTTGCAGACGATGTCATGTTGACATTAACACAACCCCAAATTTCACTACCAAATCTCAATGAAGACATTAAAGAATACGGCCTTAACTCCTACTACAAATTGAATGTCACTAAATCCCAGGCTATGGGGGTGGGAGTCCAATCCAACCGACTGAAACACTTGAGTGAGCTTTTCTCATTCGACTGGAGGAAGGACTATATTACCTTTTTGGGTGTCCACATACCCCCCCACCTACCCCATTTGTTCAAGTTAAACTTTACTAAACTGATCAGATCATTTACAGACACGCTACACACATGGGAGGGCAAATATCTCTCGTGGCTGGGCAGACTGGCGGCGATTAAGATGTCAATACTTCCCAAACTCCAATACCTGTTGCGCACAATCCCGATTAGTCTACCAGGCCAATACATGACCGCGATCCAGAAGACGATCGTACGGTTTGTGTGGGCCAACTGCAAAGTGAGGGTGGCCAGCAAGCTCTTACAAAAACCGATCAAAGAAGGGGGACTGGGAATGCCCAACATCCGATCTTACCATAGAGCCACATTGCTGGCAGCCATAGCAGCGACAAACGCAGTGGAAGACCCCCCCCCAGTGGGTCCACATAGAAACACACTGGGCATGCAAACAGGGGCTGCGACACCTATACCTAAACTACGGCCGCCGTATGCAACCATGTTACCAACCACAGCAGCAATGATCAAAACATGGGACTCGGTGAGGGCATCACTGGGCATGGTCGGACCAACTATAGGGAATATCTCACTCACGAGCATCTCAGTGGGCATCCCAACATTTGATCACACCCCCTGGGTGAGAGGGGGATGCACACACCTTAGCCAGATATGCGAGGACAACGAGATACTGCCATTCCCAGCGCTGCAATCCAAGTTCTCCTTGCACACCAGACACATATTCCCTTACCTCCAACTGAAATCTTTTGTGACCTCATACTGTAAGGGGTCAAGTGCCGAGCCACCAAACATTGGCGCCTTAGAACAGCTATGCCTACAGGGCAGTATACCCCAAAAAATCCTGTCAAAACTATATGCGCTCCTGAATACAGTAAACACAAACGGACACGGAGACTTTAGAGACGCCTGGCAGAAAGACATAGGACGCCCGATAGCAGACCTAGACTGGAAGCAGGCATTCCAAACACACAAAGGGCACACATCATGCGTTACCTAGAAATAATGAGGAAAATTATGTACAGATGGTATATGGTCCCGGACAAACTAGCGAAAATATACCCGGGAAGCTCAGGGGAATGCTGAAGGGGTTGCGGAGACAGGGGGACAATGTACCACATTTGGTGGACGTGCCCGGTAATCACTTCATACTGGGAGATGGTGGAAGGGATAATCACGGACGTGATAGGCCACCCCTACCGCTTAGGGCCCGAACAGGGCATACTATTCATGCATCTTACCCAATGGCACAAGCAGGAAAGACAATTGATATTCCAAGTGCTCATAGCGGCAGTAACCCTAATAGCCAGACACTGGAAACAACCACAAGCACCCAGCAAACACGATCTCCTAACGCAAACAACCACAAACTGGGAATATGAGGCTATGGCAAACAAATACATTACAAATAACCACACGATCATAGACGCAAAAAACAAATGGGCAGAATACATTCAGAGAAGCACACAACACTCTAGAACTCAGGACGTATAGGTACGCTAGGACAAGGGAGATTGAGCAGCGAACCACAGCCAGAGAGACAGGGAATGTCTGAGACTTGACCTGGGTGGATGTACTAATACATAGTACCGATGGAACATTGGAGGTAGTCAGGCAGAATTAGCAGCTAGGAAACATAGGCCCAGAGGGAGGGCAAAGAGGAGCACCCTTTTCAAAAGTTCCACAAACCGAATCTCTTCCCCTTTCTTCCCTTTATCCTTTTCCCTTCCCTTCTCTGCACACCCTATCCCTACCCCCCTGAACAATAATCTAGCTACAACTCAATGCGCATCTAGACAGCCGCTCTAGCATGCACCCCGCTAGTAGTTCACGTACGCCTAGCCCAGACGCTGCCACCAGGCAACCACATTACGCAAAGCTCCTGGGGGGTGAAGAAACCAATTTCCCTGAAGGAGACCAGCATGCAGAGACATGGGGTCTGTACAATACGCACGTGATAAGGTCGAGCAATACAACACACACATCGCAAAGCTAAGATACTCGCTAGACGCTAGACCAACAGCACACGCAAGTGGCGACATTACGACCTGCACTCCATACTACACTTGCAACCCCGAGAAAGGTAGCAAATACGGATTGGGAAAATCTGAACGTTAAAAGTGTAAAGGTTAAAATTGTAAACGCTAACATTGAAAATTGTGGAATGCGAAATGTGTATTGTGGACTATACAATGTACCTATCCGAGGCAGAGAGTTGAACGTGTAAACAACATTGCCTAGATCCCTCCCCACCTCCCCTTTTCGTTTTGTACCCCCCATATACTGCTTTTTGAAATATGACAAAATAAAAATTGTCAAATTGGTAAAAAAAGAAATTGCACATTGTTGCCTAGTTTTTTTTTTTTGTTTTTTTTTTATAACCATTCCCAAATCCTTCTTGTGTGTTGTTATCCCTAATTCACTACTTTGACAGCTCGCCCTCCTAGAGGAGTAAGCCCTGCTCGCATGTCAGTTTGTAACTATAAGCTGCCAATCAATGAGCTGAATGATAGCTGTTGACACTTCATCACTGCGCAGGTACTCTGCAGTATGTATATTTGTGTGTGTGTGTGTAGTAAATCTATGTTTAATTTTATTTAGGTCAAATGTGCACAGTACTGGCCCACACCTGAGGAGGAAGTCCTGCTATTCAAGGAAACTGGGCTTTATGTGAAATTGTTGTCTGAAGATATTAAATCCTACTACACGGTGCGAGTGCTGCAGTTACAGAATATTAATGTAAGTCATTTTATTATGTTTAGTTTGTTCTCCATATACTTACTGCAAAAATATTGATTAAACTCTTGATCACGTTGTTATAATGGATTGTTTTTCAGACATCAGAAGTAAGAGAGATTTATCATTTCCATTATACCACGTGGCCGGACTTCGGAGTACCTGAATCTCCAGCCTCATTCCTAAATTTTTTGTTTAAAGTTCGTGATTCGGGCTCTTTGGGTCCTGCCTACGGCCCGTGTGTTGTCCACTGCAGTGCAGGCATAGGGCGTTCTGGAACGTTTTCATTGGTCGACACTTGTCTTGTTTTGGTAAGTTATTTAATTTACCATATATCAGTCATCTCTGTGTATAGATAAAATAGTCATTTAAAGGAAGCGGTGTCAGATCCAAGGATAATGATGCAGTTAGAAGCTGGATATCTGTCCCCATGCTAATTTAGAGATAGTTTATGCCACCCATGACCATAGTCAAAACCAACTTCTCCTGAACAGTAGCAGAAAATATTAGTGCAAGTTAAAACTTTGCTGAATGTAGGAGATGTATCACTGGAATATTTATTTCCTTTATTTTCCGACATCACAATGTTTCCAGTTTAGATATTTTGACCTTAAATTTGAAATTTTCTTTGAATTCTCACTTTAGTTATTAATCCTGTAAATTTAATTTCTTTTCTGGGTTTCTTTTCCTTTCATAGTCAATACAATGTTAAACACAGATCTGCACACACCAGTGAAGAGACTTGGTTTTTCGACAGAAATCTCAAATTAGCTGTGATGTTACTACTGCAAATGATTATGGGTGGGCATATTCATTTTGTGTGCAGATTTTGTGTTTAATACTGTATTGAATATGTATAATATATATATTTTTTTATCAATCTCTTGTTGATGTTTTAGTACATTTTGTAAAGGGTAAAGTGTGTAGCAGTTTAATTTAAAAAAAATAAAATAAATAACACCTCTCCCTTTCTCGTTAGAGATTTTACATTTTAGCTGAAAGCAGCAGGGTGACATGTTGGCCATTGGAGTAATACAAAAACCTTTTCATTTATTTAAATCTGCATAGGGACTTGGGATGGTGCGCATGACACCCATCAGGCAACCAGCTACAAATAAAGTACCCACATAACGCACAATTTGTTTAGAACCCACATACACTTATCAAGTAATATTTTACTTCTGTTATATATTCTGGATGCATACATTTTTCTTCTATCACTTATATCTCAAATTCTAATAACATCTTAACAATTTTCTTAGATGGAAAAAAGAGAGGATCCATCTTCAGTGGACATTAAGGAAGTATTGCTGAATATGCGAAGTTATAGAATGGGATTAATTCAGACGCCAGGTCAACTGAGATTCTCATACATGGCTGTAATCGAGGGTGCAAAATATATAATGGGGGACTCAAATATACAAGTTAGTATACAATTATCTAATTGATGTTGTAGCATTGTGTTTAATTGGTAATATGTCAGCAAAAAAAGTCATTTTAAACCTGTCAATCGGCATGGAATGTAAAAATGTTTGTTTGATATTCACAGATGATAATGCCTTATATTAACGTAAAGATTAAAAATCAAAAGGTCCCACGCACTGTGTAATGAAAAAGCATGTAAATTATTTAGGCCCCACAGTAAGCAATGATCAAACTCTGCCATGTTTAACAGTTAACATATCATGATGGTATTTATTCAATCTCAACTCTATGTTGACAAAATAGCTGAATTATTTGTTTCACTTCATCCACACACAGAATGTGGCCTCTTTATCCCCCAATTCCTATTGTGCATGCGAACAGTGTTGGTATTTGCTCTATGTTTGCAGACAGCATAGCAGTAAAGCACAAAAGGTTCATGAAAATATTTATCCGGTTAATTCAAAGTGAGTTAAAAGCGAATTTCAAAGGCCAAAGTAGCTGAGGTGATATCATTAACTTGTTTCCAGTTTGGATATTTCGACCTTAAATTTGAAATTCTCTTTGAATTCTCACTTTAGTTAATAATCCTGTGAGTTGAGTTAAGTCAAGTATTGTATAATGTGTAAGCAGCTTTGTTTTTGCTGTTGATTACATGTATATGTGTGAATTCATTCTTGTTTTACATGTAAACTTTGTTTGAATGTTCATTTTAGAACAAGTGGAAGGAACTTTCAAAAGAAGATCATTCCCCAAAAGCAGAAAAATGTCCATCTCTCCAGAGACCTACTGGGGAGAGGTACAATGGGAACAGGGTTTCTGTGGAGGAGCAAGAGCAAACTGAGAAAAATTCTGACATGTGTATTAAACCTTATGAAACTTCAGATGCCGACGCAGAAAGGTAATTGACAATATCTGTTTGCGGTCAACAAATAAGGCATTGTAAGAAAAAACCTCTCCAGCTAGCTGAATGTCTTGTTTAACCAACTGGCAGCAATCTATAGATTATATTGGCCACATATGCCTGTCTGTTGCAATATAAAGGTGTGTATTTTTGTGTGATAATTGTATCTATTTTTAATTAAACAATTGCATGTAACTCTTTAACATTCATTGACAGATTAGTATTTCTGCAATCAGCTGGCATGCTGTAGTTATTAATCCTCAGCAGTGCTATATATGACTATTTATTAAATAAGAACATTAAAGGCTGGTTGAGACTCTAAGCGGATCTGATTGTGATGATGGCATGGTCTTAAGGAAATGGGGCATTACCTTGCCCCTGCACAAAGTAGGCCTAACTCTCTGTATTTAACCATATAGACTACACTGACTACAAGCTGATGACTCCTTTTTTTTCCTCCCCTCTATCTCCAGTATGGTTAGAAAAAGGGTGCGAGAAGATCGGAAAGCCATCACATCACAGAAGGTGCAGCAGATGAAACAGAAGCTGAACGAAGTGGAACGGAAAAGAAAAAGGTGGTTATACTGGAAACCTTTTATCATTCCAATTGGGTTGGCAACAGTCATATTTACAGGAACATATGTTTTTTGGAAAATCTATTCTTCATGAAGGCCCTTGTAATCCGGTGCTTGTAGGGGTGTTTCCAACACTCTAACATTCCTTAGGTGCTGTGACTGGTGCAGACCAACCCCTGAGATACTGTGTGTGCTCTTAAATGGGCATGCTATCTGTGTCTGATTGTTTTATGTCATCTGTATCTCAGGATGTCTTGGAGTCATGTACTGAAGCTGCTACCTTTTTGTAGAGAAAAATTACGGTACCTTTTTTCATTTTTATGTATTTCTGTGCTTGCTTGTTCCACATGATTGCGTCCAATGTCGTCACTGTTTACTATTGTTTTAAAAAGGTGACTTCACAGAACTACCTGGAGTTTCACTTGTGTCAACAGGTCAGGAGAAGACCACCTGTGCAATTAAGTGACTTCTTTAGGTTTTTTGGATTCCTCCATGTCACTTATTGGTTATATCTTGAATTCTCAAAAATCTCCATGAGGCATGTTCCATTAATAATTACAAAGGAAATACATGGTGGAATGAGAGAGACCTCATAGTACTGCTTGTTCCTGGAACCTTAATTTCACATAATAGTTTAAGCGGCTTTAGGTTTGTGTAAAAGCCGTATTTGTAAATCCAGGCATATCTGCATCAGATTGACCCTGAATCATACATACCTGATTTTTCCACTAATCTGAAAATGTACTTTTCAATAATGGCTCTGTATTGTAGACCTTACTGGGGATGTATACGCAGCAGGTGTACGCAAAAGACTGAAGTGGCTTATGCCTTTCCTATTGGAAATAATTTCTAAAACCTGTAGAAGAATGCATCCTAGGTGTGTGTGTTTGTATGCATGTGTGTGTCTGTATAGAACACACCCTGCTTCAGATGGAATTTGCAGTTTTATAGCTGGTGTAATTTCTTACATATAGTTTGTACTGCTGACTAAACAATACATTTCATTATAAAATATTAGAGCTTACTATAAGGTATATAATGATCTTATACCTTGTAAAGTGGAAACTCATATTGCCAAGTAGTTTCCCACACATTAATACTTGGGAAAAAAAACAGAACATTTTCTAAAATACATTCTCTGGCTTTTTCCACACTTGCAACTATTGTCCTTCTTCTTTTTCTGGCCATACTAAGGTGAGAGACATTGACAAGTCCCATGATTTGGTTGAAAATGTGTGTTCAGATAGTTAGTTATTCCATCCTTTTCTTCTGACTCCTGTCCTCACAATAATCGCTACTACACATGCTAACTAACAATGTAGCTAGGAGAGGCCATGCTGGTGGCTGCTTTTGTTATAATTTTATATGTTAATAATTATCATTTTTTTCTGTATTCATGTTCTGTGAAAGTATTGCTTTGCACAAAGTTTTACTTTTTATTATTTTTCTATTGTTATTGTCATTATTTTAAACTAGTAGTTTGCATTACAAAGGCTATTGTTTGGGATGAGTATTTCGTTTGACATCATCTGTGTGTTTGGCCAAGCACAGCACATTTCATATTCACTACCTAATAAAGAATCAGGACTTGGTTCCTTTGATCTGGTGTTGGGCCTTTGTGCAGTTTATATTAGAGGGACCACAGGTTAAGGCAACCCTTGCTTCTGGTGCTGTGAAACTACCTTTTTTTTTTTTTTTTTTTAAAACTCTTACTTTTGCACTAAATGTACTGCATAAAGGCCCAGTTTAGCTTTGTTGTTTGCAGGGAATTGTCTCAGCAAAATAGGCTTTAAACTTTACATTCCATTTTTCCAAATTATTTAAGAATGAGCTCCTGTGCATATGCAGGGTCCGTTCTTATAACATGATGAATGTTTAGCTAGCACACATGGCCAGTTGTAGGACTGATCTAGTATTAATTGTGCCATAGTAGGCAGAATTGCCACTTTTATGTTTATTTAATAATTATGAATCTAAATAGTGAATACCTAGTATGGAATGTTTAAACACATGTTCAGTATCTGGGAATGGACCAAAGTGTGTATTTTTTTTTTTCTCTCTCTCTCTTCCTGTCATGTCTGGTCGAACATATTGATTTCTGACTTTAAATCTCTCTGCAGTCTATTTTTTTTCATTTAAGAAGCATTGAGGTGTGAATTTTAAACGGATGTGCAGTTTTCCAGAATGCTACGTAGTGTTCTTAATAGATTGGCCCTTATTTGGCTCATCATCTACTATTCATTTATGCATCGGCCATGGACTTTGCTAAATATACACGTGACCAGCTAATGTAGAGATTGTTGGGAGTGAGTTTGTAGTTTAGAAATGAGTGGCGTGCACACTGCACTCTAAGGCTCTGAGTGAACCTCCAAAATGAGTCGTCAAAGGTAGTGGTTAAGTATAGCAGACTAGGTTTTAATTTGCTTCCTTGTTTTGGCATTTACATTACAATTCCTAAACCATACCTGCTGTAGCATTATTTTGTTTAAAACTTGCACCCCTCGCTTGAAATATGACATATGTATTGGTTTTGAAGTCAATCCGCATTATTCAAGAGTTTAGTTTTTCAATTTTAAAAGCTAGTATTAGCCACTAGTTGATTACATGTTTGGAGATGATAGTGCTTGTATGGTGGAGACATTTGCAGGTCTTTGACTCTTTCTTTATAGAGCAGGATATTGTTGACTTTATCCTCCTTTTATAAGTTTTTTTTTTTTTTTTTTTATGATTCTTCAAGTATGTGAGGGGAAATGAATACAGAGACTATCTACTGTATAGGGGAATTGAATACAGAGACTATATACTGTAAGCATGGTTACGATGAAAGCATTCTGAATTCGAAATGCTCATTTTATCTTTCGAACAGGTTTAGGTATTTCTAATAAACAGCTATAAATAATTTACTGTATTACCGTTAGCCAAACTGCCTGTTATACCTATGAAATTTATTTGATTTCGGATATCTTCTATTCAGTTGGCACCAAACTGATAAAGCACCACTATCACAGATAAGTCCGTGCACTGACATATGCCATTACTTTGTTCATAAAAGTATGTTGTTTAGTAACACTGGTAGCGACGTATTTGTTCCAGCGCTCTGTAGTGATTATGGTGCTAGAAGTGCCCTTGCTCTTCCTCCAATGTAACTAGTCTACCAGTTTAAACACTTTTTTTCCTTTTCTTAACCAAGGTCTGGTGGGCACCAGTCCCTAACTTTATGAGAGCCAGAATGTGTGTGCCTGCGCCAATTACAGGCGCTGCGCCAATTACAGACGCTCAGCCAATGAACTGGCCCTGCATTGCAGGACTTTGCTGAGGAAGGTAATGGAAGCTCCTAAGTAAGAGCTTCTATCTCTCTGCAGTTGAGAGAGTGGGGGTAAAGAGTGGCACCCAACAGAGCCTTGGTAAGAAGACTTACAACTTACATTGGGGACGTGGGCGTGCACCAAAGCACTCCTTGCACCATAACCACTACAGCTTGCTGTAGCAGTTATGGTGACAGGAGGGTTCCTTTAATAATTGAAAACGTGTGTTTCCAATCATCCTTCACTTTTTTGAGCTTGCCAAAGTGTAATTTCCTGTCTCTCCTAATTCTGTTGCAAGTAAGTGTAATTGTGTGTTGATTGTCTAGTTGTGCTGGTTGTGCCTTTATTAGAATACAGAATGTAGAAAGCACTGCATAGCACTTTTGTTTGGTTGTCAGAATTTATAAAAACACTATGGGATTATTTCAGTGTGGGTGGAACATACATTGTAATTATAGCACAGGCTATTCTTCTATTTCCCCATTTTTATAACAAAATTGCATAATGTTACAGACACTTCCACAGATGGTCTTTTAAGTAGCACGCAGAATTGTTGGGAACTTACTGATGCAGCCTAGAGTACACGGTTTGTGTATCACTGGTTGCAAGTGATGGCTAAAATTACTGTATCATTTGAGAATTGTCTCCCTAATCCAATTCCTGTACTTGATAAGCAGATCCTGCAAGTATAATAGCCAAGGTGGGGCCAACCAACACAAGAACAGTGTAATCAAAGGAAGCTTAGCTGAAAGGCAGCCATCATTCAGACTATATAACAATGCCAAGTGCATTTATTAAAAGACATTTACTATTCAGATTTCTAGACGTTAAGTCAGTCTCATGGCAATATAACTGCAATAGTCTTCCTGTCTGTCTGACCTGCAAAGTAGAGTTCATGGTTTACTTTTTCAATTTCTTTTGTATTCAGGGGGAAAAAAAAGTAATAAACATTTAAAAAAAAAATATTTAGCCTGTCTGTGTTTTTATTTGAATCACTTAAGTGAAAACTTATGTCAGCATAAAAAGAAACACACATCATTATATGGATTTTGCAGTGGGTCAACCATTACACTCCATGCGAAATGTGGTTTTAAAAATATGAAGTTGTGTTCCTGTTGCTTATAGTTGATACCCCAGCTTATGGGAAATATGTGTACCACAGCTGTTTGCAATGCAAATTGTATGTGTTTAGATGGAGCGTGGAAGGCATGTGCATGTATTAAGAATGTCTCTTATGAATAAATGCCACAGTACCCACTATTCCACTGCAGGATGTAAATAAATAAGCATGGTTTTATGAACTCTTGTATTCAAGGCAGATGTGTTGCGTCTTCAGGATCTCTGCAAGTGAACTTGAACGGATTTCTCTGCAGCTCGGACTCTGGAAAGCTGCCGAGTTACACTATATTAGTAGAAACTTGCAAATTTAGTAAGTTAACGTATAGTTCCTGAAATCCCCAAGCACAAAGTTAAAATTCATGTTTGTGTCTTTTTTTTTTTTTTTTTATGTGTATGTTTGTGTATTAAATAAAAATACACTCCTCTCTTGGCTAAGTACACACATTCTGTTCTTTTTAAAACAAATTAATAATTCTAAATGTATCTTTCATTAGATTGAAATAGTCTTATAGAATGAGTCTATAATGTCAAGTCTAAAGAGGTCAAGACAAGACACCTCTTTCCATTGCTATGTATAAGCTAGCATAGGTTGTTATGGTTCTTGAAGTGACTCTTTTTAAAGGGACACTATAGTCACCAGAACCACTACAGATTAATGTAGTGGCTCTGGTGTTCTAGCCTGCCTCTGCAGGCCTTTTAATGTAAACACTACCTTTCATAGAAATTTCATTGGTGCCTTTTAACACTTCTAGTGGCAGTCACTCAGACCATGCCGCACTGATATGAGTCTCTCTCTCTACACTCTGCTTGGAGGTGCTAAATGTTTCCCATAAAGATGCATTGATTCAGTGCAACGTTCTGCAGCACATATGCAATAGCCTCCCAATGCTCTCTTGTGGGAAAGCTTTGGATTGGTGGAGATAATCAAGATTGATGATCTCCGCCATGGCAGCTGAGCAAGCCTTAGTGAGACCAGTGCAAAGTGGGAGAAAGTGAGTAAACTTATCTTTTCAAAGTGAGGCATGGGGGACTGTGCACACAATAAATCCTAATTGCATTTAGGAAACACAAGCCAACTAATAAGTTTAGTTATTAAAACTACATAACATAGCCATGCTAGTTCAAGCAAACCTATGCAGAAGAAGAAAAAAACCTCTGGGGTCAGAAATGCATTTTTTTTGTTTGTTTAATCTCTCATGATCTTTAAAGAAAAATGTCGTTCCCCCCCCTTTTTTTTTTATTGTCTCCGGTTTCAAACTCTTGAAAGGTACTCTGCAGACCACTAGAACACTACAGCTCTACAGCTTGCTGAAATGCTTTATGTTTACTAAGTGTCTCCTATTTTTAATTTTACAAAAGGTGCTGATTTCACTCAAAATTGGCACTTGTATAAATTAACCTTCTTACAACCCCTTGCTTTTTAAGCAGACAGCAGGTCACGTTACTTCCTTGTTGTTTAGCTCAGTGGAGCTAAACAAAGAGGCAGCAATTGCTCAGAGCTTCTGCCTAGTAAAGACTTGTTATTGAGTTGCATTGGAGACATCTGTGATTGGACAGTCACAGAAAGTCTAGCCTGGGATTTTAGATATACCGCCAATCAAAAAAATGGTAAATCAAATGTATGCATGTTCACTTGGGGTAGATCTACTAAACAGGGATGTTTCTGTTTGTTTGGGCAGTGGAGTGCCCATTTAAAATTACTCGTATCAACCAGTTAAAGAAAAGTCAAAATGCATTAATGCACAAACTACATACACATGACTGACAGACATCTATGGGAAAACTGATTTTAAAGTGTACAGAATGTTTGTGATTTGACTGATTGTGTATTACATTTAAAGAGACATACTGCACTGAAATAATCTGTACAATTCTCATTTATAAGGCAGGAGATTGAACCTGTTTTAATTTAGCCATAAACCTTTCTATTTTATTTTCTCCTTTTTAAAACATACTGAATTGGTCATTTTGTTTTGCATTGTGTCATAGGCCAAGGCTCCTCGATACCTAATCTCCACGGCTTGTGATTATTCTGCAGCAATTACACTGCGAAACCATTGACATGCAAAGCAAGATATGAAACCCTCTGCAGGAGAAATTGTGAGGTTTATTATTGAGCTGACCTCATTATGTTATCTGTTTACCACGTAAACTACCCCAACCAGGAGGGTGAAGACCGTCACCAGCATGAGACTTTACAGAACAAGCTCACGTGTTGTCAGGTGTTTGTTTTTGTTTTTTAAATGCATGTACTGTAGAAATATATGTAAGATACATTAGCAGAGTACTTTGTATCATTCTGCCATTCACATTGTATTTTTATACTTTTTGGCAGCATTAAATATTTTTCTAAAATGACAACGTTCTCTTCATTGTTCCCCTGTTTCTTTTATAATATTCACCGTGACTTTTTTGCCAAACTACAGGCTTTGTTTATCTTAAAGGTTTCTTCAATATCATTGAACTCTCTTAGAAAAATGGCGAGTCAGTGTGTTGGCAAGTTTGGATGAGGAACTGCAAATACAGCAGTGATATTGGCTATTTGAAATCTCAACAGCTCATCTGGTAGCATGTCCAGCACTTTTCAGAATTTGTGTAAGTTTTGGTTTTTTGATCAGGCCGTCCACTACCATAGGCAAAGATACATTTGGTCTTCACTTTTAAAGGGAAACCACCACTTCTCTGGAAACTGCTACCATTTGAATCAAATGTTTCAAATCAAAGCCTTGTCTTAACCCTTTTTTATCATGTGAAGCTCCATTTGCTGTTAAATTTATATTAAAAGATTTAGCAATTGACATCACAGTTCAGTCAAAGCACACCAGAGGTTTTCTCTCGAAGTGAAGAGAAATAAAAGGTTATTTCTCGTTCTCTCTGCTTACTGCCGGGTGCAAAAACAAAGCATGTCCAACACTCATAGTGAAATATGATTTATTGGCAACCCAAAGCAGAAATGTTTTGATTGTGTCTTTATCAAGCAATCTAATCTTCTAATCACATGGTCCACTAAGTGGCATATCAAGCCCATTCAAAGTTCTAGTTTCCATAGTGAAAGTAACCATAGTGATGTAAACAACAATAATAAACAAAGTGCAATGTGCTAACAAAAAACATGTCCCATTTAATATTGGTAATGATAAAGTGCATACAAGATAATATAATTCATTGCAAAATATAAATGTTCTAAAAATAAAGTGTATATTTGTACCTAAAATGAAGTGTGCATTAAAAAAAATAGAAAATATTAATGCTTGATTATTATTTTTTTATATATGACAAACCACTATTCCAATATTAACTGTATATATCTCCTTTTTTTATTGTGATATATATATATATAATCTCCTCTTTTATAATGCAATACAATGGGTTAATTCTTTTTCAGAGGTAGATAACATTTGAAAAAGGCTTCTTATAATTCTAATAACTTTTGATGGACATAAATACGGCCTTCATGTTTACGCAAAAGGGGGAAAAAAGGACTTTCTTAAATGGAAAGCCAAATTAGCCAAAGGACTCAGGCATTCTGACATCTTCATAACAGACCTAAATGAAAACAAAAGAAAAGAGTGGGAAAAAAAAAATCAATCATGATTAAAAAAAAGTAACAAAAAGCAAGTCGAATCAAAAATTGACATTTTGTATCTAGAGGTTCTGAGTTCTTGAATCCAGAAGATTTCTTTGTTTTAGCAGCTTAATCCATTCCCTCCTCTTTTCGATTTTGTCTTTAACTTTGAACCTTAATTGTGAGACCATGTCCTGCCTCCTTAAAATTCGAAGGTATAGGTAACTCCAATTTAACTTTCCTAATTGTGGACCTATATTTAGACAGTCTCGTTAAAATTTGTTTCGTTTTTTTTAATGGTGTTATAGCCACTGTTAGTGTTTTAATATTCATCCTAATAAGCATTTCTACATATTGGGATAATTCCCAATAAGCCACCTATTATATATGGTTTTCCTGTCCGAAGGGGTATAATAACTTAATCACCCTTGCTTACATAATTACGTGAGATACATCCAAGACACGGAAAAGTACCACTTTTTAGGGTTTCCTAAAAATAGTTTTGGCATATTTAAAATTCTGATTTTATTATGAGTTGTTACTAAGAAGAGTGTGTTTGCTAGCAGTTGTGGGATTGGATATCCGCAATCAGATACTTGGATAGTGCAAAGTAATGTTTGTATATATGTACATATTGAGCCTTGTATATACACAATCCGTATACTAAATTGGTATAACTGTACATATATGTATACACACATAATAACACACTGTGTTACTTTCTATATAAACAGTATGCAGTATCCAGCCTGAAACTAGGGACATGAGATCTAATTCTTTCTATAATTTAAGTGACAATACAGTACTATTACTTATGGAATAGACATGGGTCATTATAGTAAGGACCTATGTAGTCCTTGTGCTATATATAGTGCTGTCTCTCTCTCTTTATATCTATATATATCTATATCTATATATATATATATATATTTGTGTGTGTTGTGTATATATCTATATATATATATATATATATAATATAAAATTTAAGTCCACTTAAACTCTAAGTGATACATTGAATACTGTCAATAATTCTGTAATTTGAAAACCAGCGAGAATGTGACTTACTTCCTTAGTTCGGGAGCCAGCTTCAGATAATTCAGATAAACAGACCGTCACCTAGACAACGAGTAAGAGCTAGACTAAGCGTCTCTAACAAACCAGAGACTAGGTCCGCCCATTGATACGCCCAAAGGGGCGTGAATACACATAGAAGTTAAACGCCCCTATGCTAAAGTGATCAGATAGTATCTTTTTGGCGCGATCAAGTGGGAACGCCAACCAGCTCTGATGGGAAATATGAACATACCTCTACACAGAAATAGCCGCATGGGTGATTGCACCCGATCACTGCCTTTGAGAAAGGCCCTTCAGTAGCGCCGAAACGCGTTAGGCTATATGCCTCTTCACTTTTTATTTTAAAATTACGGTACCTTTTTGTTTAGCACGGTAGTTAGTATGAGGATAGACCTTATACAATTCCTTTGAGATATGGGGGTACCTTAGGTTTATTTATCATGGTGTTATGTGAGGACACTTTATCAAGGTTACATATTCTGAGGACTTCTTCTACAGAGTCACTGCAATAGCATGGTCGAACATTTTAGCTCCGTGATCTGGAAGGCAGTAACTTCTCTGCTCATTATTTGGTAGAACGGCGCTTGTGGGATCCAGTGCAGACTGCTCTAAACCTACTGCTAAAAATTCAGAAGGCATTAATACTTCTGCCTTAAACAAGGTCAAATAGTATCTGCAGAACCTAGTGTAAACTGTTTGCAGTCCTTTTGTTATTTTTTTCTGACTGGCATTGGGTGAAATTGTAGCAATCTCTCAGGAAGTTTCTATTCTTGTTAACAAAGTATCCCATATACTTACCAGTATATATTTATTACAGACAACCTTAGTCTGCCTGCTACTCACCTTTTTATGTCCTGTCTCTTAGTTCAGTCCAGCTACCCACTAATCAGATACCCCCATTAGGTCTTTTGAGCTTGTTAGATGTGGAGTGTATAGGTATCTTGATATTTATTATTTTTTTCTTTTGTATCTTATTAATTTAATTTTCCCCCATATTTTTGAGGGTTCCTCTTAAGTGCCCCTGGGACCTCCTGTCCTAGGTACACTTCTAGTTTTTGTTCTTTAACTTGTTTAAGGGTTACCCCCTCTGAGACGCTCTCAGGACACACTTAAAGCTCCTGTTTATAGGGGCTTTTGTTCGTTTTTCTATTATGAGTTTCCTTAGAGATCTATCTTCCCATATGCAATCTGGAGTACGTTCTAATATTCCATTACATCTGGATAAGTATCTTTAAAAATTGGTCAGTATGTTTTGATAAACTTAAATACTTTTGATTATAAGTACCAGATTGTGTGCTAAGAATCAACCTTTTGGTTTCAACATTGGTCTTTGGAGTGATTGCCTCTCTACTATAAGGAGTGCTGGACATTTTTTGTTTGGTTCCACCCCACCAGGGAAATATCTAAATAGTCTTTTCAGACTTAAAGGGACACCCCACTAATCATATTAAAATAAATACAAATAGCACTGTTGAGCAGATACAGCATTAATGAAAACATACATTTGTGCATTATTTTTTCTTTTTTTTTTTATTATAGTTTTATTTGTTTTCAATTCAAATACAATAAGTAATGAGAATATACATATTACATATATCCATGTATAATAACAAAAACAATTAACATGTAAACATACTGTGCAATTTAATACCTTTTGAAGGGCATGATTACAGTCTGGTAGGTCTGGAAAGTGTTTTTATGACACATGTATAATTTCCTTTAGCCTGATGTATGTAATGCATGAGGAACTTACTGACCCTCCAATTTCTTTGAATGTGTGGACCGAAATATTGTGTACGTTATAGAGCTACTCTAATCATTTAAGGCTTTAATGCTGACTGTGAGTGTTCATCCTCCTATCTCGATATCTTGACATGTAGAGCTCTCGTCTTTATGTAATTGCTGATTGTGTCTTTCCTCCCCTGTGTGAATAGCACCCATGGGTGCCACGTCGAGTGGAACAGATGGTATTTGCCTAAGTTGGACATTCTCAGTTCCTCCATCTTGTGTACATTATCTATTTTGAGGAACCATTCTCTCCTTGAGGGTCTGATCTGGGATTTCCAATTCCCTGCTATTACTGCCTTTGCCGTTGACAGGAGATAGTATAAGAGAGAACGTTTAAATTTGTTTTGTGAGATTGGAATGTGAAAGAAAAGTATTGTTTCGGGTTCGAAAGCCAGGGGTACCTTGCTAAGTTGTTCAGTTACTCGTGCCACTTCCCTCCAGAAGCCTACTACCCTTCTGCAGTGCCACCAGATATGTTCCCTGTTCTTTCCCACAACTCCAGCATAAAGGTGAGTATTGTGTACAGTATTTACTGGCGTGACATACCATTTCGTGAGAAATTTGTAGTTTCTTGTAATGGTATGTTTGGGTGAGTTTTCAGCATTTTCCTGAAAATGTGGGACCAGCATTATTATTTTTTTCATTTGGCGTATCTAAAAACTTGCAAAAGTTGCTGTTCTCTTGTCTGCAGCTTTGCAAGCCTTCCTCTTCAAACCCCGCCTAGACTCTGTGGCTGACCGATAACAGACTTTCCAGTGCAGCTGGGTGAGAAGTCTTTGCAAGGCTGGAGCTCTGGGCAGTTGCCTGCCTCTTGATGTTCGCCCCATTGAGCTAAACAACTAGGAAATAATAGGACCTATTTGCTCGAAAGCCAGGGGCTTGTAACAAGGTTAATTTATAGAAGTGAAACCTGCACTTATAAGTGAAAAAAGATGCACACTTTTCATTCACAAATTATTGCAGCAAACTAAAGTGCTTTATGGCTTCTGTACTTTCCCTTTAACCCCTTAAGGACACAACTTCTGAAATAAAAGGATTGTGACGGAATATTTCCGTCATTTGTCCTTAAGGGGTTAATAGAAGGTGGGTGCAATTCCTACTTGCGTTGTTTGCCAGGTGCAAAAGGTATAGCTTATAATAATTGACCAGCAGCGAAGATGGAGCTGTATTTTTTCATTGTTTCTCTTGGCATATTCGGGTATCTAAGTAACAGACTTTATTCTGCTGCCTTTGGAGTTAGCTCTCTATCTCCCCCCTTTTTTATTTTTTCCTGTTGTACGATGGAGCTGCCCAGTTGTAGAATATAGAGATGTTTATTTTTACATTCTTAACATAGTAAGAATCCTAAAATTCTACTGTTTGGACACTAACATACATAGTAACATCCCAGAAATGTATTCAGAGACAATCATTTTTTTTTATTTTTTTTTGCCTCATAAATTTGTTAGCTCACTCTTCTACTTGTTGGATGCATGTGGTGTGGTGCATTTCATTTGCAAAGCTCAGGATAGAGAGCCTAGCTACAAGTTTTCCCTGTGTGCTGTATAAATCTCAGGTGTATAGATCTGCATTGTAAGGCTTGTATTTTTATCTCTTTACTACCTCAGTGATAAAATATATTCGGACATAAGTATTTTGCATAAAGATGTTAAAGCACAGCCTAGGAATTCAGACCCTATAGACCAAACATGTCAAACTCCCAGCCCAAATCCATTTCTTTGCGGTGGACACAAAAATCACTTGTCAAACTGAGCATCTCCCCCCTCCCGCTCTGCGTAGGGGGGCCGGGTCACATGACTACCTCAGTCTGTCACTGTGCATCGCTGGAGAATGAGAGGCCCCCCTCCCCTGCTATGTCAGGTGAAAAACAGCAGGGAGGTGGGCAGAGCAGAGCCGGCGCCTTCATAACCTTGGGTGCCGGCTCTGTGAGGGGAAACAACCAGAGATGGAGGAGGGAGGTATGAATGGAAGGGGTAGGAAGGGAGACCTGAGTCGGGAAGATATGAATTGAAGGGTGGAGGGGGAAGAGACCTGGATGCAATGGGGGGATGAAGATGTAGGGATAGGATATGGAACGAAAGGAGGGTTGTGGGGAAAAGATATGGAATGGAAGGAGAGATGTGGTGGAGAGATATGGAAGGGATGGAGAAATGTGGGGAAGGGTTATGGATGAGAGAGGGTAGAAACGAGCGATGTCGACTGTGCAGACCCACCTTACTCTGCATGGAGTTTGTAGAGAGACTGAGGGAGCGAGCAGAGCGGCCTCTTCATACAGTGTCATTACTACTGAGATAGTAACTTGAGGTGAAGCTTTTGAGTGAATTATATGTATGTACCCAGGATTACATATTGTCTGTATGAGAATGATTCAAGTAATTTTAGTTTGAGTTGGTCCAGGTCGAACTGGTCATTTATTTTTTGCGGCCCACTTAAACTTAATAATAAAAATCCAAAAGATGCAGGTGCGCAAAGTTGTTTAGCAAATAGCAACCAGAGAAATATACTTAGACAGATATGTGAGGTATACCAATATATACACACACAAGTATATGCAGAAATAAAAATAAGATCAGTGGGCAGCTGAAGCATGCATAAAAAAAAAAAAAAAAAGTGGTCAGGCAAAATATATAAAATGTAATCGTCAAATGTATACTTGTATATAGGAACAGCTTAATCTAGAATACATAAAAGCAAGAACCTAGTGCAATATTGTAAAAAGTCTTTAGTAAAGTATATGTAGAAGTATTTAACTCACAATTGGGGAGTGGTTGACGTACCACTCCAAACTATCAGGATCTGGGAGGATCAGGCCCTGGAGAACGTAGGATCCAAGTGCAGTGTGCTTGATGAACTCACTCTCAACCGAAGGGTTGAAGTATACAAAAATATTCTAGTTCTATCACACTGTGTGTTCCAGCTGATCGCAGACTCTCCATCCACGTGTAGTGACTTCTGGGTTCTCAAGCAACTATAATGGTTATGATGTTTGGAGTCTCATTTAACAATCTCCTAAAGTGGTATATTCTGTGAAAATCTCTGTTGCTGTTCCTGTTTTCTAAGATGAAATCCTTCCCTTAGACACCTGGGAATACGTGTTTCCTGATTTTCATGTCCCTATAGCCTCCCCCCTCATTGTCCGTGGTGGCTAATTTATAAAAACAATTATCTCCCTTACTAGGAGTCTCCATGGCAGTCTCCCCCCCACTCTCCCCCGCTAGGAAAATACCCTACCCATCATTAGGTTTCTTCTTCTTCAATCAGAAAATAGAAAAAAAGATGAGGAAAACAAACAAAAAAGTAATCTAATGGTAAATATTAAAGTTTTACTTTACATGAATTTAGTTTATTGCCCCCATTCTAACAAATATTAGGGTTAGTTAATATATTTATGGAGGGTGGGGGATTGGGGGTTGGACTAGGGCTCTAGCCATAGTCACAGAGGGAAAGGCCTTAGTTTAATAGCCCACACTTGCAGATAGGGACTAGGCCCAGTTAATCTATTAGGTTACCTTCCATGGGTCCACCTTTATTGGTCACTAGCCTTTTTTATGACTGTAAATGTTAGTAAACATGCCCATACCTGCCGTGCTGTAAGGAATTAACCTCATAGTCCAAAGGTGAGCAAGGGGGAATTTAGATTTTTTTTATATTTTAAATATTAGCAGGATTGAGCCGCAAGGCAGTAGCTCCCTTCTTATGATAAGTAAAGGAATGAAAGAACGAATTGAATGGATGAAATTTCATCCAACAAGCAATTCGTTCTTCATTTGCCTTGTAATTTGCCTTTTGGACAAATGGATGAAAATTCAGACGAAAACAAGTTTCTGCAAAAACTAATGCCTAAGGCTTGTTTATACCTCTCTACTTTCGTTCTCCTCTTACAACCAGGTACATTAGGCTATGGTGCAGTAAATGACTGCAGGCCCTAAAATCATCATTATCTAGTCCCTACTAATTATTCAAACTCCTCAATTTGTTCCATATTAATCACAGGGCTAATAATTACAATCTGTCCATATTCCTGGGTTGGAATGGACTGACTGGAGACCATGACTACTCCATAATCTCTCTTTACAGATACAGGCTTTTCACCTTATTAGAATAATTTGCAGTGGATGTTACTAGTTTTGACAACTGTTCTCCTCCACATCTTCTCCATTTGCATTACTTTTTAACACAACCAGTCACGCAGACAAATTGTCTTTTCTGCTTCTACATGCCCCTATTTCCTAGCATAACAAGCTAAATTACCACTAAACGGGATGATTCTCTCTCTCAGCTATGGGTTTCCAAAGTAAAAAGTAGCCCACACAGGAATATTCACTCTGAAGGAAACATAACTACATAGGCTCCACTATTCATGAGATTTATACTGATGTAATGTGTGCATAAAAAAAGACAGCAGTCTGCTCAAACTAACTTTCCAAGCCTTGCATGTTTTATACATGTTGGATTAACAGAAATACTATGTCAAGCATGTCAAACTCAAAGGCTAGCACGGGCCAAATAAAGGTTTAAGTTTATGTGGGCCGCAAAAAAACAAATTTTTATAGCATTCCCCTATACTAAATGCCATTTGCCCCTTCTGTACTTTATCCCAACCCACCCCCTCTACTAAACCCTGGCCCTTGTTTAAAAAAACAAAACAAAAAAAAAAACAACTATTAGCCAACAAGCAGACTCCACTCACATTGCCGCTGCCAGTATGCGACTCTGGAGTCCAGCCTCTGGTATACCCACAATGTCACAGTATGCAGCCTGTGCCAAAGCAGATCCTCCCGCTACTCCTTGAAACCCTGTGAATGTGTAGCACGCTGACGTCATGTCGGAATGTGACGTGGCATGCCTCTGTGCACCTCCAGGTCCTACACTGATACACTCACTAACAGACACACATTTACACATTCTTGCACACACAAACATCATTTTATTTATTGTTCCCTACCTTTGGGAGCTGGTGTGGGGCCTCTCCCTGGGGTCCAGTGGGGGATCTTCTCTCGGGAGATCTCCCTTCCAGCTCCTCACTGCTCCCTCACATGCGCAGTTTAGTGGTGCCGGAATGACGTCATATTCCGGCACGCGCGAGGGAGCAGGAAGAACAGACTGAGCTCCCTCGCTGACGCCAGTGACCTCTCCTCCCAGTCAGGTAAATTTTAGCAGAGTAGGCACCTGCAATGTGGGGAGAGCAGGTGCGTACTCTGCCTTAGTAAGCATGGCAAACTCGTGGCTCACCGGGCCGCAAAGATATTCATTGTGGGCTGCCAGTTTGAAATGCTTGCTTTATGTATTTATTTTTAGGCCATATTAAAGAACAGGACCACCTTTTGCATAATTGAAGTGCTTCGTAGATTGCAGTTTATATTTGCTGTGATAAACACATTGCCACATCTGAAATTAATCTCTATATTGTACATTCTTACCTCCAGCATTGTAATGTTGGACTCTGTTACAAGTCTCTGTATTGCATAATCCACAACAGAAGGTAGAGTGTAAAACGATTTTATTGCCCTAAAACACAAGTAACATGTCAGCTTCTGTGTGTTTTTTGAAATTGTCTTTTGGTGACCTGGTGCAATAAAGTCCTACCTGGAGTCTGGGGAATATATTACATTTCACTTTTTGAAATAACCGTCTTATGGGATTTTGTACCATTCAACAAAGATGATCATAGAGAATGTGACGGACCGCCTGGCACCCTGACTGGGTACCTCCGTCAACTGCTGCTTCCTTGTAATCCTTGAGTACCATAAGCGCTGCACACCATAACCACCCTTAACCCCACAAACCACCACAGCTTGGTTGGGGTCTCGCTGCCCTCCCCCCTAGACCAGGATTAAGCTTCCATTGGGTAGACCTCTCCTAGTCCAGATAGCAAAGCAGGCTGCAAACAAGAGCAATTGTTGTAAGCCAAGGGAGTATAGTGATTATAGCAATGCCCAGAGTGAATATAGCTCTCCAATCTCCCAAACACGAGCCTAGACTTCATGAAGGGCAAAACAAAATCTGTTTAATGGCAGCCACAACTGGCTTTATATGGAGGTCCCCATGCAAGGTCCATTCCCCCCTGTAGACTACAGCAAAAACACACACGATTACATTGGCTCTTAAGTCCAGGACACTCCCATACAAAACAAGATAATCTTTTCCCTGTGCCTGGGAAATAGAGTCAAGCACTGTATTAAAGTCAATTATTGCCAGGCACAAAAAAAAAACCAACACATTTTTACAACACCCCAAAAGTACCTTTAAAACACAAAATCCCATGTGTAACATCCTGACTAGGGACTGACTGCACACCAGGATTTAGGTACACATGCTCTTATTCTAGGCAGGTACAACACCAGTGACAACCAACTGTGAAATGTGGTATCTCATGCACTGTGTGTATTGGGTTGCAAGAACCTTGTGGTTTGGTATATAGCTTGCAGAGCTGTGCAAATATCTTGTGTTTCCCCCTCCCCCTTTTCTTTTCTGTACCCCATTGCCGTTCATTCTATCTAAAAGATTTCAATAAAAATCAGATATTGAAAGAAAAAAAAAAACACAAAAGTTACATGACCGGATACCCCGGATCTGGGTGACCAATATATGCGTTCAGGGGTTCAGAAATTTCCTTGAAGTCATAATTTGACCGACCGCACGCATGGTCCCATGCCGAAAATGGTTCCATAGAACTTAGTGCCCGCTGAGGACCGACCGGGAACCGCAAAGTCTTCATGCCAAAAATAGTTTCAGGGCATTCGTGGCCAAGTCCCCCTGAAGTCTATTCGCAGTTTTGGTCCATGTGAAAGGCCGCCAGGGAGCTAGCGTTCGGTTCTATGCGCATGAATGGAAAGTGCCGAACCAGAGGGAATAAAATATGGTTCTTCACAGTCGCTGACCGGGCCCATAGTCGGTGGGCAGGAGGCCAGCTTCCACACTCCTCCAGGAGCCCATGGCAAACATCTGTGGAAAGCAGCATTTGTCAAAAAGGACATCTGTAATATTTCACTTACCGGATACCAATATTTTTGTTTTTAGTTTCTGGTGAATTTGGTTGTGATTGTCCAGAAGTAGTCTACATTCGCCAGTGTTCTATCAGAAATCTATATCCATCAGATTTCTATACCAATGAGGTGAGGTGAGATTAGCTGCGAGCATGCTAGCAGGCCTAAAGTATAGAATTTTAACAAAGGGGTCATGTGATCAGCTGGGCCACTAATCTGAAGGGTGTGCCGCACGCATCCTTCAAATAGAGAAAAATGATGGGTGTACTGTACATGCGTATGGCCCATCCTTCAGATATAGAAATCTGATGGGTGTACTGCGCATTCGCGCAACCCTTCCTACAGGTATAGTAATCTGATATACAAATCTGATGGGTGTACTGCAGATGCGCACGGTACATCAATCAGATTTCTATACCACAGCTTTCACTGTGTAGAAACATACACAGTGTAGGCTAATGTGGGGTTAAAAAGGGAGATGCAGAGGGTATGGGGGTGGGGTCTCCAGTAGGTTTCTATGGATTGAGTTAGCAATCTTGGGATGCCAGGCTTCAGCTTAAACTTGTAAGTGGCTTGCCTTTATATTTTTCTTTTAAGTTCTTGCAAACCCATGCACTGTAACTAGTATCATAGCATGTTTACACTGAAACCTGAAGCAGAGCTCTTTTTACTTAAAGCGCAACGGTCACTCCTCCTGCAAAATTTTTATTATTTTTATATATATATATATATATATATATATATATATATATATATATATATATATATATATATATATATATATATATATATAATATATATATATAAAAAACAAGAGGGGGTTGGTTGCACTCACCTTAACATGCATAAATGGGGGTGCTGCTGGGGGCCAAATAATACAATACACAAGATCCAGCGCACTCACCTATCCACTAAACAGCAACTTCAATGTTGAAAGATTTTATTTGTTTTTTTTAAAACACCTAATCTAGGCAAAAATAATGGGAGTTTAGTTACATTATATGATCATACAGTGCATAAGCCTGCCACAACGTCAATGTACCCCATCTTTGGCAGGTCCTACACTAACAGCCTAATGTCTGCTCTTATGAGATTAACCTACTTGGGAAAAAAAATTCCATCTGGGGCTCTCTGCAGTACAAGGTTAAATAGGGCCCTGGGATGAGGCACCTGTGACAGGGAGGGGTGCAAAACCAAGGAGTTGGCTAGACTCCCAAATATATATAAAACAAGAGGGGTTGGCTGCACTCACCTTAACATGCATAAATGGGGGTGCTGCTGGGGGCCAAATAATACAATACACAAGATCCAGCGCACTCACCTATCCACTAAACAGCAACGTCAATGTTGAAAGATTTTGTTTTTTTTTTAAAAACACCTAATCTAGGCAAAAATAATGGGGGTTTAGTTACATTATATGATCATACAGTGCATAAGCCTGCCACAACGTCAATGTACCCCATCTTATATATATATATATTTTTATATATATTTGGGAGTCTAGCCAACTCCTTGGTTTTGCACCCCTCCCTGTCACAGGTGCCTCATCCCAGGGCCCTATTTAGCCTTGTACTGCAGAGAGCCCCAGATGGAATTTCTTTCCCCAAGTAGGTTAATCTCATAAGAGCAGACATTTGGCTGTTAGTGTAGGACCTGCCAAAGATGGGGAACATTGACGTTGTGGCAGGCTTATGCACTGTATGATCATATAATGTAACTAAACCCCCATTATTTTTGCCTAGATTAGGTGTTTTTAAAAAAACAAATAAAATCTTTCAACATTGAAGTTGCTGTTTAGTGGATAGGTGAGTGCGCTGGATCTTGTGTAATATATATATATATATATATATATATATATATATATATATATATATATATATATAGTTGACAATCAACAAGGAAGGCTGCTCTCCGGATTTAAAACAAAAAAGTTTATTCAAACATATTTAAAATCCACGACCAATGTTTCGGTCCCCACTCGGGACCTTCCTCAGGGTCAAAAAACAGAGGAAGGTCCCTGACCCTGAGGAAGGTCCCGAGCGGGGACCGAAACGTTGGTCGTGGATTTTAAATATGTTTGAATAAACCTTTTTGTTTTAAATCCGGAGAGCAGCCTTCCTTGTTGATTGTCTACTACATGTCTTGGAGCTCTGGTGGTGCGCCCGGTTTTGGACCTGATTGTAAGCGTGAGTGCAGGGGACATTTGGATTTATATATATATATATATATATATATATATATATATATATATATATATATATATGTGTATATATGTGTATATATGTGTGTATATGTTACATAGCTGAAAAGAGACTACAGTCCATCAAGTTCAGCCTTCCTCACATATGTTTTTGCTATTGATCCAAAAGAAGGCAAAAAACCACAGTCTGAAGCGCTTCCAATTTTGCAACAAACTAGGAAAAAAATTACTTCTTGACCCCAAAATAGCAGTCAGATGTCCCCTTGGATCAAGCAGCTATTACCCCACTAATTAGAAATTATATCCCTGTATGTTATGTTTTTGCAAGTATTTATCCAATTGCCGTTTAAACTTCTGTATGGAGTCTGATAAAACCACCTTTTCAGGCAGAGAATTCCATATCCTTATTACTTTTTTTTTTAATTCTATATATTTCCACGATCCCAGCACTCAAGTTCCCCGGTGCCAACTCCAGCCATGGCATAGGATACAAGATGAGTGCACTCTGGGGTCGGTAGTAGGTACAAACGTGTGCATTTATTCAGCACAATAAATCATCTTTTCTATGTTTGGTATTTAGCACTTTAACAGAGGTTGATGAGAGACAACCTTGTCTTATTTGACTGCACATGTAATGCACTTTCTATAAGTAGTAAATGATTGACTATTTAAAATGGCAGAAGAGTAAGTTCTTGTCTTAAGGGATAAGTGGCATTATATCAATACTGTATGTCTCTTTAGTCCTCTTATTCTGGCTATCATATGGAAAGGGATTTGGGAAGAGATATTAGAGGGTACAGACAGGGAGAGTTCCTACAGCTTTATAGCTGTACCACTACAGCAGTAATTATTATTATGTATGTTGTGCCAACAAGTTCCATAGCACTTTACAGTGGGTGGACGAACAGACAAGTTGGACACTCAGGAACAGAGGGGTTGAGGGCCCTGCTCAATGAGCTTACATGCTAGAGGGAGTGGGGTAAAGTGACACAAAAGGTAAGGATAGTATTAGACTAATGACAGTTGCAAGAGAGGAATCAGTCGGGAGCTATTAACAATTTAAATTATACGCTTTTATGAAGAAGTGGGTTTTTAATTTATTTTATTTTTTTTGAAGGAGTGGAGACTGGGTGAGCCTCTAACGAAGGAGGGAAGTGAGTTCCACAGGAACAGTGCAGCCCTTGAGAAGTCTAGAAGGCGAGCATTAGAGGTGGGAGTACAGACAGAAGATAGACATAAGTCTTCAGCAGAGCGTAAGGACCTAGACGGGATATATTTGTGTATTAGGGAGGATAGATAGGTGGGAGCAGCATTATGTAGAGATTTAAAAGCAAGAACCATAATTTTAAATTGAGCCCTATATCTTACAGGAAGCCAATGTAGGGACTAAAAGAGGGGTGAAGCGTGGGCAGTGCGGGCGGACAGGAAGATGAGCCTTGCCGCCGCATTCATTATGGACTGTAACGGTGCAAGTAAGACCACTGAGAAGCAGATTATAGTAGTCAAGGCGAGAAAGGACAGTGGAATGGACCTGCACCTTAGTCGCATCTGGAGTTAAGTAGGGTCGGATATGCGCAATGTTTTTGAGATGGAAGCGTCAGGATTTGGCGATAGACTGAAGATGAGAGGTGGAGAGGTCTGAGTCAACGAGAACACCTAGGCAGCGAGTCTGTGCGGTGAAGCTGATGATAGCAACGTTGACTTGGAGGGAGACAGACACAAGAGTAGCAACACTTGAGGGAAGAAAGGCCAGAATTTCAGTTTTGGTCAAGTTGAGTTTAAGGAAGTGGGCAGCCATCCAGTTAGAAATAGCAGAGAGGCAGTCAGAGACACTAGGCAAGAGTGGGAGAGATCAGGAGAGCACAGATAGATTTGCGTGTCATCCGCATAGAAATGATAGTCAAAGGAGCTAATGAGTTTACCAAGGGAGGCAGTATAGATGGAGAACAGTAGGGGACCAAAGACTGAACCTTGGGGGACACCAACAAAGAGGAGTTGGGGAGAAGAAGTAGAGCCAGAGAAAGAAACACTAAAAGAGCACTGGGAGCACCAGGAGAGAGCTACCGTATTTTTCGCTCCATAAGACGCACCTCACCATAAGACGCACCTAGTTTTTAGAGGAGGAAACCCAGAAAAAAAAATATTCTGAACAAACTGTTCCATAGTGTTTCTTACCATGGGACAGTTTGTTCAGAATATTTTTTTTTCTCCCCTGTCCCATAATGATCTTTAACCCCCCTTTCCTCTGTCCCATAGTGATTGTTAACCCCTCCTACCCTGTCCCATAGTGATTGTTAACCCCTCCTACCCTGTCCCATAGTGATTGTTAACCCCTCCTACCCTGTCCCATAGTGATTGTTAACCCCTCCTACCCTGTCCCATAGTGTTCTTTAACTCCTCCTCCCCTTGTCCATTAGTGTTCTGATCCCATAGTGTCCCTCCCTGCCCTTGTCCCATAGTGTCTCCTCCCCTCCCCTTGTCCCATAGTGTCTCCTCCCCTTGTCCCATAGTGTCTCCCCTCCCCTTCTCCCATAGTGTCTCCCCTCCCCCCCCTCTTGTCCCATAGTGTCCTCCCTCTCCCTGTCCCATAGTGTCTCCTCCCCTCCCTCTCCCATAGTGTCTCCCCTCCCTTTCTCCCATAGTGTCCCCCTCCCCTTGTCCCATAGTGTCTCCTCCCCTCCCCTTGTCCCATAGTGTCTCCCCCTCCCCTTGTCCCATAATTACTTACCTGTCTTGGAGCGTGGGCCGGCTTCACAGCGCGCTCCGCGGTCCAGGAACTTCTATTTCAGGTTCCGGTTTCCGGCGGGACTGAAAGGAAGTGTGCACACTTCCTTTCAGTCCCGCCGGAAACCGGAACCTGAAATAGAAGTTCCTGGACCGCGGAGCGCGCTGTGAAGCCGGCCCACGCTCCAAGACAGGTAAGTAATTCTTCACATTCGCTCCATAAGACGCACAGACATTTCCCCTCACTTTTGAGGGGAAAAAAAGTGCGTCTTATGGAGCGAAAAATACGGTATATCTTGTAGACCAATATGGCGGAGGATGAGAAGAAGCTGTTGATGATCAACAGTGTCAAAAGCCGCAGAAAAGTCAAGGAGAATTAGGATAGAGTAGTGACCACAAGATTTTGCTGCGAGTAGATAATTGGATACTTTGGTCAGTGCTGTTTCCACAGAGTGCTTAGCATGGAAACCAGACTGAAACGGGTCTAGCAGAGAACTGGACTCGAGGAAGTCTGTCAATCTCGCATACACAACTCTTTCAAGGATCTTGGATACAAAAGGCAGTAGCGAGATAGGACGGTAGTTGGACGGGGAGATAGGGTCAAGGTTAGGCTTCTTTAGAATTGGGGTTACAGTTGCATGTTTGAAGGGCGATGGAAATATGCCAGAGAGAGAGATAGAGAGTACGGATGAGATGCGAGGGAATTGGATCTAGGGAGCAGGTGGTGGGGCGGGAGGACTGGAGCAGAGCAAAAAACTCTTCTGCTGTGGCGGGTGTGAAGTAAGGGGAAGTATTATAAGGGAAAGAAGAAAGATGAGCGATCTCTTCCCTCATTGTAGAGATCTTGTCAGTGAAGTGAGTTGCAAAGTCTGAGGCGGTCAAGTAGTAGTTTTATGGCTAATATTTATTTTAGTGGGAGTGTGAGCATTAGCTAAAATTCAGAAGATGGATGAGGGTTCACCTCTATCCTAGGTTTTTAAAAATTGAAGATACTATGCTGCTGGATAAACTGACAATAACTAGAGACAAGTTTGCGAAGATGTGAATTTTGTGGCTTGAGTATACAAAAAGTTCTGTCAGGCAGCCACAATGCAACCTACGCCCCCAGCCCCTTCCCTCAACCCCCATCTCTTTCCTTATTACTTTGTTAAAGGCATCAACATAGAACATTTGTTTAAAACCACTGACAATTCTGCATTGTCATATATTTAAAAAAAAAAAAAGCGGAGTTTTATATGCTCGGAGGTACTTTCATGGTTGCCATGTTGGTGAGTATGGAACCCTTCTGTTACACTGACAGTAACCTTCAGCTGATAACTAGTAAACTGTCTTTACAGACACCCACAAACCTTTCAGTGAGGAGATACACATTTTTGCTGCATTAGAACTGCCGGTGCATCCCTGAATAGAGATATATTCATTCCTTAAATTCTGGCCGATGTCAGCTTTTACTCTTAACTGCTCTTGTCCTTGCTCTGGGTCACAGAGATGACAACCCCCTCTACAAACAACTTCTCCCTTTTTTCCCCCCTCAACCAGAGAGATTAAGATTTTTTTTAAAACAACGAAGAATTAGGTTTAACTAGTTCCAGAATGGGTTAATTTGTGACTTGGTGTTCGATTTGCATAAATTCTGAATCATTGCTCTTCCACTATTTTTGGAAAAATAACATCTTTTATTTTGAACTCTTCCCGGCAGAAAGGATGCGGACTAGACACAGTATAATGTTTGAGTGAAGATTTTACAGCAGTCAAACACTCTCGACCACACAAAGGGCTAGTTCTAAATCTTCAAAATCAACAAAGAAATCTTGGTATTTTACCCATACACCAATTTCAGGGAAGGAATGCAGTAAGAAGGGCTGGTCTTTATATAAATATTGTTTAAAGCTCTGCTTTATATCTCATTGTTAATCTCATGTTTAAGTACACCAGCCATACTGTACTACAAAATATTAAACAATTAAGAGCAGGGAATAGTGGGGCATGTTAACATAAAGTGGTTATTTAAAGTAAAAAGCTCTGCCGGACAGCCATTATTTCTAAATAGTTATTCGATGGACATGTTTTGGAGCCATTTCTTGGTGGCTGGGATTAATGTTGTGTGACCAGTCTGTGTGTCTAGAGAACTGTTAAAGAGGTCCATCTAGCACACATGCCTTAGGCCAGAAGTGCCTAATTATTTAAAGGTAATAACAGAAATTCTGTGTTCAAACATCAGAAGAGAGCAGGTGGCAGACCGCTGCCAAACAGTAGCCTCCAGGAACTTGGCATCTTCCATTCAGTAGGTGAGTCGACATCCTGTTAAAAAAAAAAAAAAAATGAAAATATGAAAAATCCAGTGAATGAATTGAGAATTTTCTAATACCCATGACTCATCATGCATCTACCATTCAAAATTTTCTTGCAAAAAGTAAAAAAAAAATTTTTTTACTTGTGTATCCAACAAGACAGAAAAATTCCTGTAAAATATATTAGAGGTTAATTACTAAACAGTGAATTGTTAATTGAAAACCAAACGACTAAATTTAGGACAAACAGTCAAGCTGGGAAATCAACTGAATTCACTGTTTAAGGTTTATTCACTAAACTAGGGATGCCCAAAAAGTACATCCCCATAGGTTTTAAAACTGTACGCTTTGAGAATGACAAAGCACCATGGACACTGTAAAGGCATACAATGCATCATGGGAGTTGTAATTCTACAAGATCGTGGATCTACTTTTTGGCCACCACTGCTCTGAAAGTATGGTAATTGGATCATTTCTTTTGTAACCTTTTAGCAGACAGTTTTTTTGTTCTAGACAACATGAATGCATTAAGCATGATCCTCTGAAGTAACCCCTGATTTTGTTCATGTCCTCTTTGAAATCACAAGGAAAATTAGGAGAGTTTAAATTAATTGTTTCAGAGCATCAGGTCTATTTGAAAATAAGTGAAAAGACGAATAGAGATATTTCAAATGTAGTAATTGACAAGGGTGATTAAATTTTTAGACACAAAAAAAAAAAAAAAAAAATCATCGACCTGGAAAAAAAGTTATACAAATCAGATATGCTTTCAGTTCAGCTATTTTAGACTTAAACGTTCCTTTCCTGATAATTCTTACTGTAGTGAATAACTGCAGGTAGAGCAAAGTTAGCACAATGTGACAGATGGCTATGACCGATGCTGCATTCGGTTGATTTATCCAAAAAGGAATTTTTGGGAACAGACAATTTGCATAGTTCAAGTTACTTACTGAATGTGGAACTAGATGGAGCCATTTATTAGCATGATTAACCAATGCAAAAGCATCTGGAATGTTATCGCCTTCTGAACAAAACTTCAGCACAACTGCCATCTGGATCTCTTCTGAACAACTGTATTAAAGGTCAAACATTAGTTTCATTTGCTTTGGCTGTGGATACATTGCTTTGCTTTCATTTTTGTGGGGGAAATGTACATTCGGCCTGAGATTAGCACATGTGTTGGAGACGTGCCATTTAACAGTTCTAGTATCATGGCTAACTGGACTCCTGGTGCTCTATCTACCCATAGGAGTACACTTACCAGTCACTGTAAAACCGCTTCGTAAAACCTCCCCCAGGGATGGAAATCTGTTTTTCTTCATCATTTATACCAGGATATGCTGACACCTTCTCCATTTGCTTCCACTCCAGCTCTTTCAACAGATCTGCCACAGATCTTTCCATGTTGGGGGTTAACAAGTAACGGAATGGTGGTCTATAAATATCAGATTAAACATGTATAAATGGGCTCAGTACACATGCTGACAAACCGAACACAAGGGCTTAAGCTTTTTACATTTCTTGGTAAAGTAGTTACAAAGCAAATAGAAAATGAACCCAAGGCACACCAGAATTTGTATATAAGTTATACAGATCATACAAAGGCAGTAATCCCAAAACCACATAAAAATGACAAAGTGCAAAAAAGGTCAACCAACACCTATATAAATGGTATACTGGCCAAGAGCAGGAGAAATAATAGCCCCCACGTTATATATATATATATATATAAATAATCTGCCTACCTGTTGGGGGACGGGTTTTTTCCCCTTAACAGCACCCAGTACCTTGTATACCACATCACTTAAACACCCTCTCTGGGTCTCTCTCAAGACAGAAAAAAAGTGAATATGAAAAAGTTGTCCGTGTGCGGTATTAAAGATGTCAAAGTGGTAAATGTTACATGAAGAGGTACTGGGATGCACATCACGACTCGACAGGGTGGGGGCAGATAATTGAGCAGTGAAACTACACCAGGGGAAGGCAACATTTGGCACTCCAGATGTTGGACTAAATCTCCCATGATACTTTGTCGGCAATAAGGCTGTAAAAGTATTATAGGAGATGTAGTCAACAACATCTTGAGTGGCGATGGATGCTTTCCAATGTTCTATACACTAAAACTGCTTCATTAAGCTAAAGTTTTTTTGGTGCTCAGAGTATCCCTTTAACTTTTTTCATGAGATGCTTCTTTTTTTATTAAAAATTTAGAAAATTGTATATTCCAGTTCAGACAAGGCAAAACCAGGGCAAACATTGCAAATGGAGATTACGAATGAAAACACTGTTTTATTTCTCCTCCTCTCTGCATGTTATCTCTATACTGACTGCCAGTTGCAAAGGACAGAGCTTATAGCAATGAGTGACATGGAGTCAAGATAGAGGCACACAGATTCTGGATAAAGAGGTATAGATGTCTACATTTAATTTTCACACCTCACATATCAAATATAGGGTTAAGTAAACCATATGATAAAAATCCGGGAAAGCTCAAGTATGTACAAATTTCATCTGTTTTGTACTGGGGGGTTCTGTTGTACTCGTGAGACATTGCTGAATACAAATGTGTATTTCATTGCAGTAAAAGCCAACATTATTATGACATTCACAGTTAAAAGGCTATGCAAATAACAAAATTTCTTAATTTCACACATTTTTTTTAAAAAAGATTCTACTCCTATTAAATCATTTCTCATATTAATATTTGATGTAAAATATAAGCCTCATTTCTCCTGAACAAAATGATATATAATAAATGTAGGTGCACTTAATATGAAATGTAAATTACAGGTGAACAGATTGTAGCTCAAATTCAAGGTTTTGTTTTGGTCAAAACTTGTCAATTACATCCTTGCTTAAGGGGTTAAATGGTGAGAGCATCGTTTAAGAGGGGTTGCAGTGGGAGGGTGGTTTTCTTTGGAAAGTTGCAGCATGAATATGTTATTTCTTTAGGCAAACAAAATTCATCAGTGATTTTTTTTTAAGCTTGTTTGCTTTTGCTACTGTACATTGTATGATTAAAGGAACAATAACGTTAAAGTGTATTCCAAACACTATGGTGTCCCTCTGGCTCATAGAGAAATAGATTTATTGTTTAAAATTGTTTAAAATGTTTAAAGTCCCTCTTGAATATTAAACCAGAGGAGGTTAAATGGAAAAAAAAAAATTAAAAAAAAAAAATTAAAAAAAAGCTGCAGTCAGGATTAAGTTAAGGCTAGCCAAGGTCAGATATGCCATGGCTGGGTAGTTATATAGTGTTAAAATATAACAGAATGCAACACTAAAGAACTACGAAAAAAACAAAACAGCAACGTGTCCCCTGTGGTATAGTTTTAGTATCTATTAATGTTCTGCAGGATTTTAAGTGTGCCAGCATACCACAGTGCGCATGTGCAGAGGGTAATAAAAATGACACAAACGGGAGGCAATCTGCATCACATATACTGCTGTTGTAGGACAGAGCAGATGTACGCAGGATAGTAACCTACACAATGCTACACAAACTTAACTTGTTTGAGAGTTTGGAATGTATCGCCAGTTGATTATACAGATTTTACTCTGAATGCTGCAGATCCAGGTCTGCAGTGATAAAAAGGTGGTAAATCTTTTCTGAAACAAACACACTAAACGAGAAACACAGATAAGCACCTGTCTCCATTTTACACACAGAAAGCCTTCACATCAACAAAGAAGGTAAATTACTTTCACACGATCCCAACTAAAGCCTATTCACTTTAACCTACCCGAAGAGTTGCTGGTCAACACGTTGGTACGCATGGGTGCTCGAGAACAGGATCACTTTGGTAAACCCACACCTTTTGATCCAGCAAATCAGAGCCTGCCGAAAGGCTTTGGATTTTTTCTTTACATAAAGATAAAAAGTTAAACTATTAAACATGAAAAGTGAAAGATTTAAATGGAAATTCTAGACCTGTACATTGAAGACAAACAGGAATATGTAATAAGTCATTGTTTTGCATTGAAGAAAAAAATAAAATATCACAAGGAGATATATATATTTATTTTCCTCCTAAATGAACTTCTCCCCCTGCCACTTTGACATTCAGAGAGCACACCAGGCATTCCCTCTCAGAAATAAATTTGATCCATTTGTGTATGCCCAGAACAAGAGCAATCTACTGGAAGCCAACCTACAGCTACACAAACTGCTCTCATTACTGGGAGGGGGATGGACTTTTCAATGCATTGAAAGCATAATCCATAAGAAATAAATAGTTTGACCCACGCTGTACAACAAAGAATATGTAAGAAAAGGTAAAGGTTAATGAATCTTTCTTAAAGTGGAATTTGTCCACACTGAAGTGTCATTAATTGTAGGATAAATACCTTATAGGAAATGCCTCATTTGCTCATGGCTAGAAGTCAGCTGGGTCTACCTCCAGCACAGATAATAATCAAACACGCACAGCACACCAAGGCCCTTGGCTGCAAATCAGACCTATCTAGACACCAGTCTTGTTATCTGCTTGTAAACGAGCAAGTAGTGTTAACAGTAATGAGGTTGTGTTGCATTGTAAATTTTTAATACCTTTAAAATGGAAACTCCAGTGCCAGGAAAACAATCTGTTTTCCTGGCACTGCAGGTCCCCTCTCCCTCCCACCCCCCAATCCCCAGTTGCTGAAGGGGTGACATGTCCCACGTCGCTGCTGCTTCCTCCGCCGCCGCTCCTCCCAGTGATTGTGTCGGCCTGTGGGCAAGACTGATCCCGCCCACCGGCCGGGGAGACCTAATGCGCATGTCTAGCAACGCTCTAGCACAGGTTTTCTGTGCTATGATGCAGGAAGTGCCCTCTAGTGGCTGATAGACAGCCACTAGAGGTGGAGTTAACCTTGCAAGGTAATTATTGCAGTTTATAAAAAACTGCAATAATTACACTTGCAGGGTTAAGAGTAGTGGGAGTTGGCACCCAGACCACTCCAATGGGCAGAAGTGGTCTGGGTGCCCCTTTAACAACTACTTGGAAGTATATTACTTCCTATAGGTTTATTAAAGGAAGGGATTACTTTTACAACGGTTATTCTCTCTTTTGGACTTTCAGTCCGTTCCTTCTTTACTTGTTTATCGCCTAACTAGTGGGTTATTCCCACACAGAGAATAACAAGTGGGTTTTCTTTGGACCTATCCATCTGGTCCCTTTATTTATAGGGACCCTTTGGACTCGCTCCTTTATTTTCTATTGCTTTATACTTGGAAGTTTGTTATTTTAATATTATTGCAAAACAGGAAAACAAGCCTAAAACAATATTGTACCTTTTACTAGACATAAGTAAAAGCTTATTGGTTGTAAGATGATTGGCATTTTAAGGCAAATGTGTAAATGTGTGTTTATCTGTGTCTAGGACACAGTAGGCACCAAGTCACTTCAGCTCATTGAAGTGGTTTGGGTGCAACTCCCATCACCCTTAACATGTAATCATTGCAGTTTTTATAGACTGCATCAATTACCTGCTAGGGTTAACTCTTCTATTGGCTGTCTACCATACAGCCACTAGAGGGACTTCCAGGTGGATAGGCGACTTTTGTTTGCCTAAACGACGCTGGACGTTCTCACACTATGCATGAGGACTTACAGCGTCACTGGAATAAATGCTTTCCTATGGGGAAATCCTAATGCAAGCACAGCCATGGAGGGCTTGAGCGTGGGTGGGGGTGAGCTAGCACCGAGAGACATTAGTGCTGGACCCAGGTAAGTGACAGAAAGGGTTATTAACCTTAACAGAGGGGGAAGCTATAGTGTCAGGAAAACGAGTTTGCTTTCCTGGCACTATAGTTTCCCTTTTAAGTTAGAAACAACTGCAGCAATACAGATGTGTGAAAACCAAAATGTGCTCAGGTACTTTCCCAACCAAAATTAGCATGTTGCTATAAGGCCAAACCCCATTCTCAGAGCACATTTTACCTTTATTAATGGTGATCTGATCTGCAGGACAGCAAGCTTTCTTGAGGACAATGCATATACTGAAATAAAAAGAATATCAATATTTGTTTATTTTTAACTACATATGCAACAAGTCAGAGCATGCGGTAAAGAAAACATTCTATTCAGAATGAAGTGGCCAGTGGCAGTCAGTGGCCCAGCTAGGCATGGATATACATACTTGTACACACACATCTATATAATAATTCTCCGTCCCTGGGAATGAAGTGACCTACTTTAGTGATACTGCCGGCTGCAATTTAAATCCTCCTTAGACAGAGTCTAATTACTCCATATGCAGACAGAGGCAGGGGGAGGGTCTTACATCCTTTTCCCACCTCCAGTCACGCAGAGCCCCAGCAGCGCAGGAAGCAAGCTGATATGAAGGGGAGATCACTAGAAGTTTAAAGTAAGAATGGAATGGGGAGAGTTAATGGTGATATTGCATAGAAGAGACAAGTGGGAGTGGAAAATATGAGTAGACTCAAAGGGCAATCAGTAGAGACAAAGGAGTTTGTATAGAGGAGAGAAAAAAAAAGTGGAAGATCTAGGATAGACATGTGGGGGAAAATAGTTTGTAAGACACTGGGGACTGAGGAGATAAGAGTCACACAGTAACATTCAGTAAAACACCACAGGACACATGTTGCTCAAATAGAACAATGCATGCACGCACAGTTACATGCAGTAAAATACACTTCTGTATTGCAATACTTTCATGCATTCACTGCATATGCACGCATTAGAAGGACACTAAAATCACCAAAACAACTTTAGCTTATTGAATCAGTTTTGGTGTATAGATCATGCCCCTGCAGTCTTTTAGGTAGTTAAATCATTTTGTTTACGCAGAATAAAGCACACCTCCCTGGATGTGACTTACACAGCCTTTCTAAACACTTCCTGTAAAGAGTCATCTAATGTTTACACTTTATTGCAAATTCCGTTTACTTTAGAATTTCTTATTTCCTGTTCTGTTACCACCTTGCAAGGTCCAGCAAGAGCCCCCCGGTATGTAATTAAAGTTCAATTTACAGAGCAGAAGAGTTAAAGTTACATATGATTGAAAATGAAAAATAATTTTTCCATGCAGGGTGTGTTAGTCATAGGCAGGGGAGGTGTGGCTAGGGTTGCATTGACAGAAACAAAAATGATTTAACCACTAGATGCTAGAGAATTGAGCAGTGATACTGCAGGGGCATGATCTATACAGCAAAACTACTTCAATAAGATCAAGTTGTTTTGGTGACTATAGCGCCCCATTATCATCACACACAGATATGCATTTGAATTAACATACATCTGTAAATACCTTTCTTCATTACCAATGCATCGCCACAAAAATCCACACACTCCATCCAAAAGCGCTGCTGTGTTCCAACCCTGCATTCAGGCATTAATGCTCAACACAAATACATGTCTGGAATATAAAGATGTAGACAGACACACACACACACACACACACACACACACACAAAAAACGCAATTATGGAAATCTGACATGGGGATCACACATTGTAGACTACATTTACCAAATTGGCTCAGCTATTTTGGCCTAAAGGTTTCAGTTCTTTCCTTGTCAACCCTCCAATATTTTTTTGCTAACCAGCTGTAGTGTTCATTCACTAAAGAGTAAACTGAAAACAGAATAGCAAAAATCTGGCTAACAAAAATAAAGCTACATTGTAACTATGGTGAAGAATTTTTCAAAGATCAGTAATTTAAATATCAGGTTACTATACTGCACTCTTTAGTGAATACATCACATATGTATCGGACTTTAAGGGGTCCGGTGCCTACATTTGCCCAGAGTGCAGTCAGTCCATCCCTGGCCAGGTTAGATTGTGTATTTTAAAGGATACTCCGCATAAAACATTAAATCATGCATATTTCAAAAGTCATTAGGAATTTTCCATAAGTGTGTAGGGGACAAACACACATGCATCACACCAAAAACACAAGAAACACACTCCTGTCTCTCATGTAATTCAGCCCAGGAAACAGGGTGTGCATCTCCCTCCTCTATAAGAGCCAGATATACCATTAAGCATAGCAGAGAGCCACTTACCGCTACATCTGTAATATAGGAGCTGCACTTCCCCACCTTTTCTCAAATTCATTTTTTCAACATTTAATGAAAATTATTTTTTATTAAAAAACACCTACACAAAACATTTCACTTTTTATCTGACTGAGCAGCCATGTTTGCTCAGATTCTACTTGTGTGACCAACTTCAGCTTAACCTACCTTGCCTGCTGCATACAACATACGATACAAAGTAACCCTGATACTCCTTTGCTTTTATATATAAACTGATGATGCATTATCCATATCAGCAGCAAATAAATATCATTATTTTCCTTTAGTTGCAACTGTATTGTAATTTTTGCACTACCAAGGACATATTTGAAAATAATGATTTACTTTTACTGATCACTCTAAGCCAATGAGCTAAGCCCTGCATTGTCAGACATAGCTCAGTAAAGAGAGCTTCCAGCTACGTAGATGCACAGAATGGTGCCCAGCAGACCTCAGGTAATTAATCAAAAACTAAAAAACATTTTACTACTTACATTGGGTGGGCACCTGTACAGTCCTTTAAATTACAGTAGTGGTTATGGTGCTTGGAGTGTTTCCTTAAACCAGGGAGAAGGAGAATACCGTATTTTTCGCTCCATAAGACGCACCTCACCATAAGACGCACCTAGTTTTTAGAGGAGGAAACCCAGAAAAATAAATATTCTGAACAAACTGTTCCATAGTGTTTCTTACTATGGGACAGTTTGTTCAGAATATTTTTTTTTCTCCCCTGTCCCATAATGATCTTTAACCCCCCTTTCCTCTGTCCCATAGTGTTCTTTAACCCCTCCTCCCCTTGTCCCATAGTGTTCTTTAACCCCTCCTCCTCTTGTCCATTAGTGTTCTGATCCCATAGTGTCCCCCCTCCCATTGTCCCATAGTGCACTTTCCCTCCCATAGTGCCCCCCCATTGTCCCATAGTGCACTTTCCCTCCCATAGTCTCTCCCCCTCCCCTTGTCCCATAGTCCATAGTGTGTCTCCCCCTCCCCTTGTCCCATAGTGTGTCTCCCCCCATAGTGCCCCCCCATTGTCCCATAGTGCACTTTCCCTCCCATAGTCTCTCCCCCTCCCCTTGTCCCATAGTGTGTCTCCCCCTCCCCTTGTCCCATAGTGTGTCTCCCCTCCCCCTTGTCCCATAGTGTGTCTCCCCCTCCCCCTTGTCCCATGTGTGTCTCCCCTCCCTTGTCCCATAGTGTGTCTCCCCTCCCCCTTGTCCCATAGTGTGTCTCCCCCTCCCAGTCCCCATGGTGTGTCTCCCCTCCCCTTGTCCCATAGTGTGTCTCCCCTCCCCCTTGTCCCATAGTGTGTCTCCCCTCACCTTATACAGGTGTGTCTCCCCCCTCCCCTTGTCCCATGGTGTCTCCCCCTCCCCTTGTCCCATGGTGTCTCCCCCTCCCCTTGTCCCATGGTGTCTCCCCCTCCCCTTGTCCCATGGTGTCTCCCCCTCCCCTTGTCCCATGGTGTCTCCCCCTCCCCTTGTCCCATGGTGTCTCCCCCTCCCCTTGTCCCATAGTGTCTCCCCCTCCCCTTGTCCCATAGTGTCTCCCCCTCCCCTTGTCCCATAGTGTCTCCCCCTCCCCTTGTCCCATAGTGTCTCCCCTCCCCTTGTCCCATAGTGTCTCCCCTCCCCTTGTCCCATAGTGTCTCCCCCTCCCCTTGTCCCATAATTGTCCCACTTACCTGTCTTGGAGCATGGGCCGGCTTCACAGCGCGCTCCGCGGTCCAGGAACTTCTATTTCAGGTTCCGGTTTCCGGCGGGACTGAAAGGAAGTGTGCACACTGAGTGTGCACCTCCTTTTCAGTCCCGCCGGAAACCGGAACCTGAAATAGAAGTTCCTGGACCGCGGAGCGCGCTGTGAAGCCGGCCCACGCTCCAAGACAGGTAAGTAAATCTTCACATTCGCTCCATAAGACGCACAGACATTTCCCCTCACTTTTGAGGGGGAAAAAAGTGCGTCTTATGGAGCGAAAAATACGGTATATATTTCCTCCCAATTTACTATGTTTAATATTTTATAAAAAGTACAAACATTGCTATGAGTGCATTTGTGAAGAGTTGAAGGACCACAACAGTCACACAGGCCACTTAATCTCAATGAAGTGGTGAGGGTTTAGAAGATGTTAAAAAAATAAATAAAAAAGTTTTAAGAAGTTTTACATTGCAGGGTTAAATCCACCTCTAGTGGCTGTCTGACAGCCACTATTGGGAATTCTGCAGCCCTGACCAGGTAACGGTCAGTCACGTGACACAAAAGCTTATAATTAATGCTTTTGTACACGGTTCCCAATGGTCCTCTATTTGTATTTGTGTATGTATTGGGCTTTGAAGGGTCCGGGGCCTAAGGACGAGAATGATTCCTCTTTGACGTCGCAGGAGGTGGAGAAATAAGAAGGACCAAGGGAAAAAAAGTAAATCCTTTATTTATTCAATATTTTTTGGCTCAGAGAAAACAAACACACACCTTTAAAAAGGCTAGTGACAGGGGCACTATAATGTTAAGAATATAGGGTTGTATTCCCAAAGCTAGTGTTCCTTTAATTCCATTTACTGTTTACAAGACTCACCTTCAGCATTTGTACAAAGCTCCTTTGCATTCTCCTCATTGGTTGCATAAGGGTTATTCCCAACCATTGGTACAAGGCAGTCTGTGTAGAAATAGCCGACCTTTGGCATATTCAGTGTTGAAATAATAAGATCGATGGCTAACTGGCCCACATTTCCCACGGATACGGCTGGCTAAAGCAAGAGGAAATAACAAGTCTTAAAAAACTATTTGGATATGGTTTTGGTATTGCATGCCAACAAATGATGAACAATATCCTCATGAAATCCTCATAAGAGACATCCCACAAAATTTTTAAGAGATACGATGATATACTATCAGCTTTGCTACAGATCATTTGTATGCACAGTACTAAGCCACAAAAGTTAGAGTCTTGACAGTTTTTATCATTAGAAGATTATAAAAACATTGCATAAATGCATAATACGGTTTGTAAGATTCATGCTACATAGCATAAACCTTAACCGTTCAATTCCAGAAATGAAATAGGAAGGAACAATGATGTCAAAGTTTATTTGTCTAGGGACATAAAATTGTGGTCTACATAGATATTGTGAGAGGAACTGCAGATACCAGTTCAGAGACATGGCACAAAGTAATTTCAATTATGTAAAATAAAGAAATAGCCAACTACAGAATATATCTATAATATATATATATATATATATATATATATATATATATATATATATATATATATATATATATATATATATATATATATATATATATATTATACACACACACACAAATTCAGACAGGAGCACTCACTTGGATTTTCCAATAGTGTATTAACATTGTTTCGACCCTTCAGGATCTTTATCAAGAAAATGACAGTGATAGATATATCTCATAGAGTTCTCCCAGCATCTCAAAACACTCTGCAAAATCCTTTGTGGGAATCATCAGCTGTCTCTTAGTATGTACCTATATCTCATCGACGGTCTGAAATCTCCTCCCTTTCAAAGGTGATTTTAGTTTTGGAAGAAGCCAGAAGTTGCAGGGTGCTAATCTTTCAACTGATTCTCGACCACCTTTGAAGCGTTTGAGTCAAACTTATTTGCGCTGCACCCATTTCCTAGTCACCGAAAGCCTTCTGAATCATCCAAATAGTTTCCGGAGGAATGTTTAAGCTTAAACGCAAAATTTAATGTGGATTCATTGCTTTACTCTGTCATTTTAAATGCGAAGGCCACACAGTACACATGCTCAGAAGTCTAGCACTAATATAGTGAAATTGTAGTTGTTCACGCATGCGCGTCCATGTCCACTCTCCTTGATGTAACCTGGCAGCCAATGTCACGCAAACCATTCTCGTACTAATAGTGTCTTGACTTTTTCCAGACAGACACGTACAAGTACATGCACACACAGTATGAGTGTGTGTCTGATATAGATAAAAGCACACAGTCCACACCACATTCCATCTATGCAATTGCACACAATTTGGAAAATCTATTTATAAAATTGCTGCCCTAACATTTTTTGCATAAAGGAACACTTTAAACAAAAAAAAACAACAATGTAATGGTTTGATGTAGAAAGATAATGAATCCTTTCTGTAAATATACTTTTTAAAGACCAATCAACCAACTATGCTTACATGAAATGGCCACAGATTACTTTGATACCATACATTACTGTATGTAGCTACAAAAGCTATGACTGGCTGAAAAAGCCTTTGAGAAGTCTCTGTGGTTAACAATTTGGTCTGCCTTTCAAAAACAATCAGCAGTGCGTTCCTTTTACAGTAAGTCACATGTGTAAGAAAAAAAAGAGAAAGCAGTAGTTACATCTGTAAGCAATCTTCCCTGATATCTTGAAACTGCATTTATATTCACAGCACTTTATCTTACTGTACACATGCACCTGTTATGGTTGAATATATTTATTACCAGTTATGTATTAAATTATATATATATATATATATATATATATATTTATATTTATTTTTTATTTTTTTATTTTTTTATTTTTTTTGCAATATTGTACCATAATGTATGAATGCAATATTTTGTGGACCCAGGACATACTTGAAAACGAGAGAAATCTCAATGTATCTTTCCTGGTAAAATATTTTATAAATAAATAAATTTCATTTGCATAGGTAACCAAAGTAGACAATTTTACACAGCTCTGTAACAAACATTTTCGATAAAAGAAACAACTAAACTTCCCCATTAATATATGGCAAGCTAACCGAACAGAAGTCAAGGCTGAACATCTTTTTTCATGATAACCTCAAACACTCTACATATTTGTGGCTACAACCATGAGGTTATGATTGCAAAGATACAAGGTAATAATAGGTTTACTCAATTCACTTACATTGTGTGAGGAGTGGGACATTGAGTTGTACTGAGTAATGAATTGAAGACTGAATTACAAACGTTTGGCAAAAATAGCAAACTCTTGGAAAAATTCTCTCCAATATATAGACAGCTTGGGAATCAAACATCTTTTTCCACAAGGTCCACTCGGGAATAAATGGGACATTTAGAAATTGCATTAGATGCGAGCCTGCACAAGCTAGAGCTTCCCCAATTCAGTGTTTAACAGGCAATTAAATACAACGTTGTAGAAAACATTAATTGGCCAAATAAAATATAAAGAAAAATATAAAATAAATCAGATTAGTCTTTTTGTGCAGACAATTAAACAATATTTAGAGTATAAGATTTTTGGGGGAGTTAATCACATTGAAAAACTAAAGTTTGTGTATGATCCTTATTTCCACACACACACATACTAGGTTTTTGGGCAATGGTAAAATAAAAGGATGAACCATCTTTGACAGGCCTCCTATAAAATATTTCATAAAGCGAATATTTGTTTTAGGTCTTGCTAATATTAAAACAATAATGGAAAGGAAACCACGTGTTTAGCAATGCATCTTCTGAACGTGTTCGATTTCACATCATTCAGAAACTGAAACCAACAGACATTTGTTCTGCTCAGTTAGACACTGCTTCCCCCTATTGGTAGCAAATACAGTAGATATTGATTGAGCCTACAGCAATGAATTAGGCTGTTTAGCAATCGTGCAGCAATTCCCAAACTACAGAAAAACAATCAAGCAACAAACTAAAAAAACAAAAAAACATTAGAATAAAAGAAGCATATATTGACTTGGCATTCCATCTTATTATACTATCCAATTCCTGGAATTCAAACAATTCAGACTATACATTGTGCTATGGCATTGCAGTACAGTCTGCCACCTTGGAGGTGTAGGGCAGCTGCACATGTTACTCCCCACCTTCATATGACACAGCAAGATCCCATAAACCCTCCCATAAATGTGCCTGCATGCTTTTATCTTTCCATCCATACACTTGTTGTTAATTTTTAAATCACATCATACAGACGGTAAAACATACCTTCCTTAAAGGGACACTCGTCACCAGAACAACCACAGCTTATTGCATTTGTTCTGGTGAGTACAGGTGATACTCGAAAAATTAGAATACCGTGCAAAAGTTCATTTATTTCAGTAATGCAACGTAAAAGGGGAAACTAATATATGAGATCAGGGTCGGTGCAAGGATTTTTGCCGCCCTAGGCAAAAAAAGATTTGCCACCCCCCATATGTCCTGCCCACCATGTGACATCACAATGCCCCGCCCATATGCTCTGCCACATGGGCCAACACCAGTCTTCACAAAGTGTCTTTTATCTGAAAAGACAGTGTGTTTACATTAAAAAGCCTACAGGCACAGGCTATAGACACCAGAACCACTACATTATGCTGTAGTGCTTCTGGTGACTATAGTATCCATTTAATGTGAGGTAAATTAGAGATTAGTGCCACTAATAATATATTGGATTGCCTACTTACCACCAGATGAGGAAAAAAGGCTGATGATGGGCTCAGTCTGGCTCCACATGTCTGGTGTAGAAGAGGCTCTCTGGAGACTGTTTTTAACAGTGCTCACAACAATGAACAGGAAGCAGCTCCATTTTTTAGGGCCCCTTACACAGCTCAAGGTCTGGGCCCCCAGGGCTTGACCGTGAGTATGCCTACAATGCCCACCCATAAATTCTCTCACAGGAAGTGGAGTGTATGTGTGTAGGGGATGTTTTGTGTGTTACTGTAGAGGATGCAATGTGTGTGTGTTCTTATAGAATGTAGTGTATAGGGATACCAATTTCTGTAAGGGATGTAGTGTGTTTATAGGGGATGCAGTGTGTGTTTGCATGTAAGGAATGCATTGTATGTTTCTGGGTGTGTGTGTGTGTGTGTGTAAGGGGTGCAAGGTGTGTTTCTGTGTATGTAATTGAATGCAGTGTGTGTCTGTAAGGGGTGCATTGATTGTGTAAGAGATGCATTTTGTTTCTGTGTGTAAGAGAATGAGTGTTTGTGTGAACGTAAGGGATGCATTGTGTGTCTGTGTGTGAGTAAGAATGCATTGTATGTTTCTGTCTCTGTGTGTGTGTGGGTATGCATTGTGTGTGTGTGTATTGTAAAAGAGAGGGTTTGTGGGGTAGGATAGGGACTGAGAGGGGAGCAGCTCTTTACTTTTTTTAAATTTTTATCATAGTGCTCTCCCCTCCTGTCAATTATTGATTTCCCCTTCCCTCCTGTCCTTCCGTGTTCTCCCCTTCTGTCCCTTAGTGCTCTACCTTGGCTCCCTGTCCCTCTGCAGTCCCCCCTTGGTGATGATCTCACTCCCCCCTCTCACCCTCAGTGGTCCTTACTCCCCATCCCCCTGTGTTCCTTCCCCCTCTCCTCCCCCAGTGGTCCTTACTCCCCTCCTCTCCTCCCCAGTGGTTGTTACTCCCCCCTCCCCAGTGGTCTCTCCCCTCTCCCCCCCAGTGGTCCTTACTCCCCCCCCTCTCCTCCCCAGTGGTCCTTACTCCCCCCCCTCTCCTCCCCAGTGGTCCTTCTCCCCCCTCTCACTCCCCAGTGGTCCTTACTCCCCCCCTCTCTCTCCCCAGTGGTCCTTACTCCCCCCCTCTCCTCCCCAGTGGTCCTTACTCCCCCCCTCCTCCTCCCCCAGTGGTCCTACTCCCCCTCTCTCCTCCCCAGTGGTTCGCCTCCCCCCTCTCCTCCCCCAGTGGTCCTTACTCCTCCCCCCCCTCCCTCCCCTCCCCTCCTTGAAGTCCAGTGTGAAGTTTCCACAGTCTGTGTTGATTTGGGGAGCCATGTCATCTGCTGGTGTTGGTCCACTCAGCTTCATTAAGTCCGGGTCAATGTAGACATCTACCAGGAGACTGCTTCCTTCCGCAGACTAGCTTTATGGGGATGCTGACTTCATTTTCCAGCAGGACTTGGCACCTGCCCACACTGCCAAAAGCACCAAAGCCTGGTTCAATGACTGTGGGATTACTGTGCTTGATTGGCCAGCAAACTCGTCTGACCTGAACCCCATTGAGAATCTATGGGGCATTGCCAAGAGAAAGATGAGAGACATGAGACCGAACAATGCAGAAGAGCTGAAGGCCGCTATTGAAGCATCCTGGTCTTCCATAACACCTCAGCAGTGCCACAGGCTGATAGCTTCCATGACACGCCGCATTGAGGCAGTAATTGCTGCAAAAGGGGCCGAAACCAAGTACTAAATGCATATGCATGCTTATACTTTTCAGAGGTCCGATATTGTTCTATGTACACTCCTTGTTTTATTGATTGCATGTAATATTCTAATTTACTGAGATTGTGGATTTGGGGTTTTCATAAACTGTAAGCCATAATCATCGCACTTATAACAAATCACGGCTTGAACTATCTTGCTTTGCATGTAATGCGTCTAATATATTAGTTTCCCTTTTACGTAGCTTTACTGAAATAAACAAACTTTTGCATGATATTCTAATTTTTTGAGTATCACCTCCCTTCAAGTTTTTTGCAGTAAATACTGTCTTTTTCAGAGAAAATGCAGTGTTTACATTACAGCCTAGCCCTAGATAACTCCACTGGCCCCTCCTCAGATGGCTGCTAGAGATGCTTCCTAGGGCAGTGCTAGTGATTAGTTCACTGTGAGCAGCACTGCCATTCAGTGTCTCCACCCTCTGCATGGAGACACTAAAAACTTTCCTCATAGAGATGCATCGATTCAATTAATCAATATGAGGAGATGCTGACTGGCCAGAGCTGTGTTTGACGTGAGCTGGCTCTGCCCCTGATCTGCCTCCATGACGGTCTCAGCCAATCCTATGGAAAAAGACACTGATTAGTTCACAAAATCATTTCTGATGATGTTTGCAGACAGGTCAGAGGCAGACAGGGGCAAAGTCAGCAGCTGCAGACTTGGATACAAGTAAGACTTTACAATATTTAGGGGGCAAGATGGTGGTTTAACACTTTAGGGTCAGGAATACGTTTGTTTATTGACCCTATAGAGTTCCTTTAATGTGAAATTAGCAATTCTATTTGTGGATTCAAGCTTCACCTTCAAGGGATCCTATAGTGCCAAGAAAACAAACCTGTTTTCCTGGCACTATAGGCTCCTGTAGTGCCCCCCTCCCTCGGGGCTGAAGTAACCCCTTCAGTCACTTGCCTAGATCCAGCACTCGTCCCTCGGCATTGGATCAGGCTCCGCCCACACTCCACTGCCGCTGGCAGTCCGTGAGGATGTCCAGCGTCAGATAACGGACCTAAAATCCGTTTAAATTCCGGAAGCCCTCAAGCGGCTGTCTGTTAATCAGCCACAGAGGACAGACTTAGAGCTGCAATGTAAACATTGCAGTTATCTGGAAATGCAATGTTTACCATTGCAGCACTAAGTGCAAAAGAGACAGTGCCCCCAGACCACTTCAATTAGCTGAAGTGGTCTAGTCCCTACAGTGTCCCTTGAACAATCCTGTGCCACAGAAACTCTGTGCTCTACCTACCAGATGAGGAAGAGCTTGAATTGCATTACTCCACTAATAGCTCCAAATGGATCAACTGAAATCTTTAACTCACATCTCATTTCATTCCTGGGAAAACACGTAATTACATGAACCTTTCAATAAGGCCTATGTGTCAGTCCGCATCCACTTAATGGTCTATAAGTAGAGCAATAGGCAATGTTTGGAGAGGATGCTTCATGATGGCCTGGAAGCACCATTCACAGAAAGATAGGAATCAAATCTGTGGGAAACTGTAGCATTTAAAAAAAAAAAAAAAACACACACACACACACACACACACACACACACAAAATCAGAAAAAGCAAGAAGGTTTATTCACTAAATATCAAATTATAGGGAAGTGAAATCTGAATGACAAATTGTGGACCCAAAAAAGTGCTGACTCTTGAAAATTTCTGAACCTCAATTTAGCCACAGCCTGGCTACTTTAGCTGAAATTTTATTTTCAGAAAAACGCAATTCAGTGTTTAGTGAAAATCCAAGTATGAATATGAAATTATCTGCATATTTAAACATGGGGCAGTCATGATAACCCTTTAAATGCCAAAGGGCATCTATTACTCTGTTCTGGTGTTGACTGTAAATGTCTGCACCTCACCCTTCATAATCTGTCCTGGAACTTGTTGGTGTTTATGACATTTCCAATCCTACACATGACTACAGCCTTGTGCCTCATTTTGACTGTTCAATGAACACTCTACATAGGGCACACTCTACATAGCAGCAATTGCCTCAATCAGGAAAGAGAAGCACTGGATGCAAAATTGCATTACCAGCATACTTTACATAATGACATCAGACGTAAAATAGAATTATTGAATGCATTTTAGTCTGAAGCCCGAGATGTTGTCTGTCATTTCATTGAGATGAAACTACATTTTATGCTTTGACTGTCCCTCTAAGCATATGGCCTGTAATAGGGATAGTTTAAGCAGCACTAGGTAACAGAACAAGTAATAGCATTACACTGTACTGTTCACAAGGTCTGCAAAAGAATTCATACTTCTAAGTTATCAATACTGTAAAAAAAAGAGTTGGCACATGGATTGTACATGTACGTTTTACATACTGCTGTAAGAGCTATTTTATTTAAATATTTAATTCGTTGTAAAAAAAAAAAAAAGAAAAGAAAACCACCACAAAGTCCCCATGCTTTATGAGTTTGCCATCTTCCATTTGTTTTATGTTTGCTTGTGGTCCTTCCTTGTATCACACATCCTCTCAACTTGCAGGGAGTACAAAAGTAAACACTAGAACAACTTCATTTATGTAGGAAGTACCAAAAGTAATCTGTGCAAACCAGAAAAATCTATGTAATAGCCCTAAGCACAACATTTAGCAAAAAAAGAAACAAAAAAACACTGCAGCTCTAAGGCTATCCGTTATCCCTTAGCTATGAAAAGAATGTTTACTTCCTCTAACTTGTATGTTTGATGCATGCATGTGAGGCAGTCACACGTTGTGTTGCTCATTTCTTCCTCCATCTAATCCAAAGCTAAATACACGTGTTTAGCTAGCATCTTGGGGTAATGTTCTGCATAACTTTATCCATAACCGTATTAACAAACATGTAAATGGATGGTCAAACTGCAGTATGTCAAATACCGGCTGGTTGCCTCTTCAGAGCTGATAAATAAAACTACAGCCAAACTACTTATGGCATAAATCTATAACTGGACATAGGAATTTGGAATAAGATCAGACCACATAGAGTAGAGTGAGAGGCCTCTGTAAGTCTGGAAGAAGCAGTCTGCTCCTGCGGCTCTCAAGTGCAAATGCAAACTTTAGGAACTTGAAACAGGGAGCACATTTTTATTTTTCCTTTTTTGAAAATCAAAGGTTACTTTAAGCCTGCAGTCCTTCTTTAGGAACACTATGGGCATCAAACCATATTATATCAATTAAAAGTGTATGGCGTAATCACCATCTAGTGTTCAACCATCTTCAAATGGGTTAACACAGAGGGATTGTCCTCAAGAGCCAAGCCTCCTCTTCTCCTTGGACTGATGGGGAAACATTAGCTTGAGCAGCAGTGAGAGCACTAGCTGACAATCTCGACCTATGACTGGCCACCTGTCACCAGTACAGGTAAACAAAATGTCCTTATGCTTACACATGATGAGCAGCCAGTAATAGGCGGGGAGCGTTGGCTAGTGAGCTGCGGAAACAGTATCTCAGCCTATCTCTGGCCACCTGTCACCAGTATGGGTAACAAAATGCACTTATGCTTACTCATAATGAGCAGGCAATGATAGGCTGAGAGCGTTAGCAAGTGAGCTGTGAAAATATGATCAAAGCCTATCGCTGCACAAGCTAATGATTTCACAGCTCAGTGGCAGAGTTTACAACTTCATTAAAAGGTGGCATTGTGCGTCTGGCAGGACCCCTGGTAAGTGTTCAAACCTTTCTTAAAGCGGCACTGTCATGCCGAACTTACCTTTCCCCAATCGCTTCCTCTTCTCTCAGGATCTGTTATGCGTTTCTTCCTATCTGCTCTAGTTTTCTTTAAAACATAAGATAAAGTAGGGACTACTTTGTCTTATGTATTTTTCCTACGCCTGACCAGCTCTGACCTACTTCCTGAGCAGCGGGTGGAGCCCTAAGTACCAAAGGGGGGGTACCTATTGTCTCCATCCGTCCCCCCACCCATGAGCGGCGGGTGTAGGCCGTAATTATCAATAGAAGGGGGAGACCTATTGTCTTCCCCCCCCTTTCAGCGCCCACCCATAGTGGATGCAGTGTGTGTGTTTGTGTAATGTGAATATAATGAATGCAGAGTGTGTTTATCTAGTATGTATTTAATTAATGCAGTGTAGTGTAGTGTGTGTATAGTGAATGCAGTGTGTTTGTGTAGTGTGTGTATAGAAGCCCAGCACACTTTTACCTCCCTTTTCAGCAGCTCCCCTGTCTAACTCTCGCAGCCTGTGTGCCGCGCGGAACATTGCCATGGTAACCCATGGCAACGCTCTGACGGCTGAGGGACTCACGAAAGTTAGACGGGGAGCTGAACGGAAGGTAAGTAAGAAAGTGCTGGGCCCCCAGGACCCTGATGGCGACCCTGGTCTTCATTATCGGCAATATCGGTATCTTTATTGGCCAATACCGATATGGCTGAAAATACAGATTATCGGTCGATCCCTACTTATAATAGCTGCCCCCCCACCCCCCGTTACTTAGGGCCCCCCACACGCCGCTCATGGATGGGGAAGAGAATACGTCCCTCCCCCTTTGTTACTTGGGGCCCCCACCCGCCGATCATGGGTTCCATTGAATAGCCCCCACTTTGGAGGCTATGTTAGTTATTTTAGAAAATGCTAGGTCCCCCTTTATTTGACTTGCGGAGCTTTTTTTTTTTTTTTTAATCTCTTAAGACCGGAGGGCGTACTATAATGCCCTATTTTAGAGGCTCTCTAAGCGCCAAGTAATAGTATGCCCTCTGGTCTTTAATCTACCAGCGATGCAGTTGGGGGACTCAGGGAGCCCCCAAGCAGATCTTCCTGGCAGCCCCCCCGGCCATGTGAGAGTGAGGTCCTTGCAAGGACCACACAATCACATGGCCGGGATAGCTGGCTGCAGCATTGCCAGCAGGGGGCTTGCCTGTAATGACAGGTGGTCTCCCTGCTGGCTGGAAATAAAATTAAATAACATTAATTAAAGTTAAAAAGTGTAAAAAATAAATAAATATATACTTAGATCATATATATATGATCTAAGTGTATATATATATATATATATATATATATATATATATATATATATATATATATATACACACACACACACATATATACATATATATATACACACACACATATACAAACACATATACACTGTCTAGGTGTATTTTACTATATATATATATATATATATATATATATATATATATATATATATATATATATATTAATATCAAATTACACGTAGACTGATACTGATTAAATATATATATATATATAATTACTGTTATATATAAAAAATTAAATATGCAAATACGTAAAAAAAAATTTTTTTTTAAATAATTAAAAATAAATAATTAAATATATAGATGTGTGTTATTTCGTTCTAACTGTATTGTGATATTAATATATATTTATATCAAAATACACGTAGAACAAAATAATATATATCTATATACATAAATATATACATAAATATATATATATATATATATATATATATATATATATACACACACCTATATATAAATAAAAATATTTTTAAAATATATATACACACACACACACACACATATACTAATTCTACATATATATTCATGTAATATTTTTTACATAATTAGGTATCTTAATTATATTACAATTAGCGGGACCTGCCTGACAACCCATGCCGAAAGTAAAGGGAATTTAATTTGCTAGCACTATATTTAACCCTATAACTTTCTAAGACACCATAAAACCTGTACATAGGGGGTACTGTTCTACTTGGGAGACTTCGATGAACACAAATATTAGTGTTTCAAAACAGTAAAATGTATTACAATGTTGATATTGCCAGTAAGTGTGACGTTTTTTGCATTTTTCACGCATAAAAAGCACTTACACGGACGATATTATTGCTGCGATACTTTTTACTGTTTTGAAACACAAAGATTTGTGTTCAGCGAAGTCTCCCGAGTACAACAGTACTCCTCATGTACAGGTTTTATGGTGTTTTCAAAAGTTACAGCGTCAAATATAAGGCTTGTGTTTCATTCTTTTCACATTAAAATTCACCAAATTGGTTAGGTTGCCTTTGAGACCCTATGGTAGCCCAAGAATGAAAATTACCCCAATGATGGCATACCATTTGCAAAAAAAGACACTTTTTTTAGTAGCCACTTAGTCACAAACACTGGCCAAAATTGGCGTTTTTTGCATTTTTCACACACAAACAAATACTAACGCTAACTTTGGCCAGTGTTTGTGACCAAATGGCTACTAAAAAAGACTGGACATACCCCATTTGCAATACCTTGGGTTGTCTACTATTGCAAATGGTATGCCATTTTGGGTGTAAATTTCATTCCTCGGCTACTATAAAGTCCCAAAGGCAACGTAACCAATCTGGCGAATTTCAATTTGTAACGTGCTATATTTGACCCTGTAACTTCCCAAAACACCATAAAACCTGTACATAGGGGGTACTGTTTTACACATGAGACTTTGCTGAATACAAATATGTGTATTTTATTGCAGTAAAAGCAAACAGTATTAAGACATTGACAGTTAAAATGTCATGTAGAACTAAAAAAAAAAGAAATCTTATTTTCTTCCATTTGTTTCATATTAAATTATGTTTCATAGCTAAATGTTTGTTTTTAAATGAAAGCCCTGTTTCCCCTGAATAAAATGATATATAATAAGGGTGGGTGCATTTACTATGAAAGAGGTGAATTACGGCTGGACAGACATGTAGCGCAAATGCCAGGTTTTGTTTACATTTTGTTTCATTCACAACGTGTACATTTGGCTCTGTCCTTAAGGGGTTAAACAGTGAGCAGCCACTGGCTGCTCACTGTTTACTAGATAGATTTTAATCTCCCTTATCCTAATGTGGGGGTCATATTGACCCTCATAGAATGACAGGGGGCATGGGGGGAGTTAGAAAGTGGCAGGGAGTACTGCTTCCCGCCGCTTATATTTTCAAATATTACAAGGAGGGAGCCACGAGCCGGTAGCTCCCTCCTTGTAATAAACCTAACAAATGAATGAAGAGGTCTTCGTTCATTCTTTTGAAATTTCTATTAATTTATTCATCTTTCTGACGAATGAATGGATTAAATTCCCGCCTAAATGCCCAAGTGTTTAACTGGGCATGCGTAGGAACTTCACAGCGCTATCTAGTGTGGGCAGATGACATGTCCCACCGGGCCTTCATCTGCCCACACTAAGATGGCGGCGTCCAGGACCTAAAAATCGGTAATATGGGGGACCTAGGGACATTTGGAGGTAACTATGGGGGGGCAATTAGATGTAGGGCAGTCGGGAGGGGGGTTAAATAAAATAACGGATGCGGCCCTACTTACTGTGGGGGTGCCAGGGAACTCATGGTGCCATAACCATTCCAGCTGTCTGCAGTAGTTATAGTGGTCAGAATGCAGCTGTCTGCAGTAGTTATAGTGGTCAGAGTGCAGCTGTCTGCAGTAGTTATAGTGGTCAGAGTGCAGCTGTCTGCAGTAGTTATAGTGGTCAGAGTGCAGCTGTCTGCAGTAGTTATAGTGGTCAGAGTGCAGCTGTCTGCAGTAGTTATAGTGGTCAGAGTGCAGCTGTCTGCAGTAGTTATAGTGGTCAGAGTGCAGCTGTCTGCAGTAGTTATAGTGGTCAGAGTGCAGCTGTCTGCAGTAGTTATAGTGGTCAGAGTGCAGCTGTCTGCAGTAGTTATAGTGGTCAGAGTGCAGCTGTCTGCAGTAGTTATAGTGGTCAGAATGTAGCTGGTCTGCAGTAGTTATAGTGGTCAGAGTGCAGCTGTCTGCAGTAGTTATAGTGGTCAGAGTGCAGCTGTCTGCAGTAGTTATAGTGGTCAGTAGTTATAGTGGTCAGAGTGCAGCTGTCTGCAGTAGTTATAGTGGTCAGAGTGCAGCTGTCTGCAGTAGTTATAGTGGTCAGTGTGCAGCTGTCTGCAGTAGTTATAGTGGTCAGTGTGCAGCTGTCTGCAGTAGTTATAGTGGTCAGAGTGCAGCTGTCTGCAGTAGTTATAGTGGTCAGAGTGCAGCTGTCTGCAGTAGTTATAGTGGTCAGAGTGCAGCTGTCTGCAGTAGTTATAGTGGTCAGAGTGCAGCTGTCTGCAGTAGTTATAGTGGTCAGAGTGCAGCTGTCTGCAGTAGTTATAGTGGTCAGAGTGCAGCTGTCTGCAGTAGTTATAGTGGTCAGAGTGCAGCTGTCTGCAGTAGTTATAGTGGTCAGTGTGCAGCTGTCTGCAGTAGTTATAGTGGTCAGTGTGCAGCTGTCTGCAGTAGTTATAGTGGTCAGTGTGCAGCTGTCTGCAGTAGTTATAGTGGTCAGAGTGCAGCTGTCTGCAGTAGTTATAGTGGTCAGAGTGCAGCTGTCTGCAGTAGTTATAGTGGTCAGAGTGCAGCTGTCTGCAGTAGTTATAGTGGTCAGTGTGTTGATGTAATATGTGAATGGCCAGGAATTTAAAATGAGCAATAAACAAACTGCAAGTGTTATGGCAGGCCAGGTCTGAAATTCACATTGAATTATCCCACAATAGCCCTGTCTGGCTTCCTGTGCTGCTCACTAGAATTAACATTACCAGCAGCAGAGTGCACTCCGCCGGGATAGCCCGATCCGAACCTGCAGGGAGCAGCATGACTGGCTTCACAATCTGACGTCACGCCGCGGCGACGGCGCACTCGAAGCGCGTCACCGGCCTCCCCTCGGCGGCCTTCACGGTTCTGTAGTGACAGTTTGCTGCCCGTTCATTTGCCTGTATTAAGAAAAAATTGTCAGGCAGCGGCTGGGACAGCTTCCCGCCCGGCCTCCCGCTGGTTACAGCACAGTGCTGTGTGTTTACTGGGAGTTACTGGCAGCTGTATGGGCTGGGATACACCTGGCTTTATAACAGACACCACCTGGAGATACACACAGGTAGGGCTCATCTGCTGATACCCAGCAAATAGACTGTGTGTGTGTGTATATATATATAGATAGATAGATAGATAGATAGATAATTAACATGGGAGAGGACTGGGACTAAGCTGGTTTATTATCAGGGCTTATATTGCCAGGGATTCAAAGTGAATGTCAGAAATCTCCAAGGATGCTGTATTATGTGCAGTTGAGCTATTTTGGCATCAACATTGGAATTTACTTTGGTTTACTGACAAATCAAACTAGAAGTGTTTATTCACTAAACTACGAATTGTTTTGAGTTTGCAATAAAAAGAAGGAAGTAAAAGGTTACCAAGGTGCTGCCATTAGCCGAGTTGGAGAGTCTCTGTAGATTAGTTACATTTGATGAAATGTTGTTATTGGGATTTTAATTTGACACAATGTGGAGTTTAGTTATGGGACAGTATCATCGATAGATCCTGCCTCTGCAGTGTCACTGCTCAATTCTCTGCCATCCAGGACTTTTGTTTCAGTTTATGCAGAACTACTCACACCTACCTGCATGTGTAGCTCACCTACCTGTTGTGTAGCTCACACAACCTGCCTACACTTCGTTTAAAGTGTGATCTAATGTTTAAACTTCCTTTATTGCATATTCTGTTTAATATGGAATTTCTTATCTCCTTCTCTGTAAATGGCATTCTAGACCCTGCATAAGACTCATGTTTGTGATTAACCAATATATATATTTATATTGTATTTTCCTGTTTATGAAAACGCAAAATAAAGGTTGTCAAAAAAACAAACAAAAAAAACAATATATATATATATATATATATATATATATATATATATATATATATATATAACTAAAACAAGTTACCATCTGATTGAAAATGGAACAATTTTGCATTCAGGCTGTGTCAGCCACATTCAGGGGAGGTGTGACTAGGGCTGCATGGACAGAAACAAATGTGATATAACTTCTAAATGGCAGAGAACTGAGCAGTGAAATTGCAGGGGCATATTACAGCCGTTTACTTAATAACTCCCCAAATTGGCATTCTTGTTTGATACCAAATTAAGGAGCTGTTTAGTAGATAACTCATTTTTTGTATCCTTATGGCAATCCCTCAAGGATTAAGGAGAATCTAAGAATCTGAAAGACCATTTCTTTTCTTAATTGTGGTCTTTCAGACAACTTTACTAATACTCTAAATGGTTAAATCCTCCCTCCTGACCCTACCTGCCTTCTCACAAGTAGGGGCATGTCTACTTAACAGCAGGCAGCCAGTGGCTGCACGCTGTTATAAAAAAAAGACAAGTGGCTAATAGAATAATAAACTAGTGTCACCCCTTTCCCAACGAGTGGGGGCTGTTAAACTAAAGAGGGAGGACCTGGTGTCCCCCTCTAGTCCCTGGATGGGCGCTATTTAAAATAAATTTTAAAAAAAAGCCGATAGCTCCCACCTTGTAGCTAGAACGAATGCACGGACAAAATTTAGTCCAAAAAGCAATTAATTTTTCGTTTAATTTATTTGTTCATTTGTCTTTTGGACAAATGGACAAAAAGCCCAAGTCAGTAGGAATGACACAAGAAGATCTCGTGAGACAACAGAGGAAGGACAGGACAGAGAGGTTGAGTGATGTGGGAAAGTTTTTCTGTAAAAAAGGAAGTGGAGCTTGTTTAAGTTCTACCCTTCTGTCATATTTGTCAAGAGTAGAAAACTGAATTAGACAAAGTAATCCCTACTTTGTCATGTATTTTTTAAAGAGAATTCCGATATTAAGAAAATAAGAACAGATTGTGGAAGATGAGAGGAAACATTAGGAGAAAGGTTAGTTTTAGGTGACAGAGCCACTTTAATTAGTAACATTTGCTGAATATGTGAAAATGTGGTTGGAATTTAAAAAACTAAAAAACTAAAAAGAACACCAGTGTAAATATCTAGTGCCTATAGTAACTCATAGTGTGTTTTACTTCTACAGGTTTCAATGACAATGAGAGATTACTGTTATGTGTAAATCTATGTCCTAAAATTAGAATACTCTCTTAAAGCAAAATGTCTCTGTCTCCTGAGAAAGCAACTGAGCTGAAACAAATCATCCACGAGCAACTGACCCGGGTAAGTTAATGTAGTGAACACTGCTTACTGGTTTATGTCTAAATGCTTGCTCATACAGAAAATAGTATAGACTGCATGGTGAGCAAATATTTATGGTCATAGTTTAACTTTAGTTAATAAATCAAATTTGTGGTTTCATTTGTGACAAGCTTCATGTGTAGTTAAAAAAATAAAATAAAAAAAAAATGCAAGCAATATTAACACTCCATACAAATTCAGTAAAGTCCTCTTATTCGATTCTTACTGTGGACTGTAAAATCACAGTGGAAAGCATTTTAATCATAAAACAGAATTAAATAGTGACTGGTTTTATTGCCATATTCAACAAAGTTGTTTTGTAAATACATTCCCAGCGCATGAGATGTAATTGTTCTAATATCCTACCAACAAGCATGTTTTAAACTTGCTAAGATACTATAGGAATGGAGTGACAGATGTCACTCGGTTATATCTCCGAAGCTTTGGAAAAGAAGCCAGCAATGTTGGTGTCATGGGGAGGATGAGAGAAAGTTGGCTTAGAGGGTGGGTGTTATAGTAGTGCAACACCCACAAATCCCCAATCATTGCAGCTCCTATCTTTCTGTCTGTGAGTGTGTTTTTGTTTTGTTTTTTACTTTTAGTAGTATCTGTCCATAAAACACAATTCTATTTACTGGCTGCTAAGCAAACCACACATTTGACTTTCTACTTTTGGCAAATATAATACTACTAATGATAAGTATCTGCATTTACATATTAGTATTTTTTCATTGGACAAAACCCACCATATTGTTATACAACACAAACATGTTAAAAATGTCTTGATCCTCTAGAATGTAAGCTCATTGAGCAGGGCCCTCCACCTCTCTAGTCCTGTACGTCCAGTTGTCTGGTTTCAATTACATGTCTGTTAGTCCACCCATTGTACAGCGCTACGGAATCTGATGGCGCTATATACCTTTAAATGCCATGTTTCCTAACAGAAACGTTATGCTTAGAGACAGTGCCCACATGGCTGTTTTGTGACAGGTACATTAAAGAAAATAGTTACACATTCACACATACTCTCCCTACACCTGTGCTCTACGCAGGGCCGGCGCTACCTGTAAGGCGGACTAGGCAGCTGCCTAGGGCGCCCCTTGGGAAGGGGCGCTGCCCCCCCTCCCCCCATGCAGCAGCCGCCCGAGTGCTCTGCAGAGAGCCTCAGGCGGCTGCAGCTTTGCCCGGGCGGTGCGTCCATGAGAAATTGGGAGGGGAGGGGGGGGAGAAGAAATTGGTAGGGGAGGGGGGAGAAAAATAAATTGTCGGGGGGGAAGAAGAATAAATTGTCAGGGGAAGAAGAAATTGGTAGGGGAGGGGAGAAAAATAAATTGTCAGAGGGGGGGCAAGAAGAAATTGGGAGGGGAGGGGGAGAAGAAGAAATTGGGAGGGGAGGGGGGAGAAGAAGAAATTGGTGGGGGGAGAAGAAATTGACGGGGGTGAGAGTGACAGTGGAGGGAGGGGCAATGAGAGTGGGAAGGGGGAGGGGAGAAGAGAGTGACAAGGGAGAGGGGGGAGAAGAGAGTGACAAGGGAGGGAGAGGGGGGAGAGATTGACATCCATCACACACACATGCAATGCACCCCTTGCACACAGAAAAACACACAATGCATTACACACACAGACACACACACACACACACAAACAATGCACCCCTTACACACACTCAATGCACCCCTTACACACACTCAATGCACCCCTTACACACGCACACACTGCATCCTGCACATACACAGAAACACACCTTGCAGCCCTTACACATATAAACACAGATTCACACAATGCATTCCTTACACACATATCTTGACATCCCCTACACACTCCACCCCCTGTGAACAAACTCATTGGGGAACATGAAGGTGGACCCTGGGACCCAGACCTTGAGCTGTGTAAAGGGCCCCCAAAAAATGGAGCTGCTTACCGTTCTCCCAGAACATTGATTTTTGTGACCACAGTTACAAACAGCCTCCAGAGAGTCTGTTCTACACCAGACCAGTGGAGCCAGACTGCAGCTAGAGCCCATCATTGTCCTCATCTCGTTGTAAGTAGGCAATCTACTATATTATTCGTGGTACTAATCTCTAATTTACCTCACATTAAAGAAACACTATAGTTCCCAGAACCACTGCAGCTTAATGTAGTTGTTCTGGTGTCTATAGCCTGTCACTGCATGCCTTATAATGTAAACACGGCGGCACTGCAGCACTGGCGTTAGTTAACATGGCAGATCATATGGGTGGAGCATTGTGATGTCACATGGGGGGGGGGGCGGCAAACTTTACTTTTGCCTAGGGCGGCAAAAATCCTTGCACCGGTCCTAGCTCTACGTGTCCTCCCTGGTTTACTTGGAGACTACAAGGCATCTCATCACATTTGTTTAAACATGGTCTATTCATTAATAAGATATCCCTAGTGGCCAGAAAGGCTCTGAGTCAAGCATGGTTGAAAATGAAAGTCCCTGGGTTAGCAGAGGTGGAATATATGGTACAGGACATATATCTTATGGATAAACTGATGGCAAAAGTTCCCCATTCTAAAACTTTTTTCAACAAAACATGGCAACAGTGGATAACAAACAAGGGATTATAATAAGACAGAATGTAAATATCCTTTGGACACCACACTTCCCCCTGGCATTTTCCCCTCACCCCTGCAATATTCCTCTCCATATCCCTTTTCCCCTCTTTTTATTACTCTGAATGTTGACATATTTACACTGATTTCTGAGAATTAGACTGATAGTCGCTGTCCACTGTCATTAGTATGTATTCCAACATCTATGTCTATGCCACTTTATGTACATGTACTTCTTGTTGCAATGCCTGGTTTGTCAAAAAAAAGGATTTAAAAATAAAACACAGTTCTATTAAACACAGCTCTCTCTCCATATGTTGGAGAGAATAAAAGAAAAAGAGCATGGGGGAAGGAGTGTTGTCAAAGACTGTAATGTACCCACTCAATTGGGGAAAACAAGACCACCCAATTTACAACATGTCCTACATTCTTCCGTTGCACTACATCATCCTTTTTCCATGACCTCTATTTTTAATACCCTTGTTCTTAATTTCAAATTCTATTCTTTATGGAACCCTATAAAGTATTCAGTCCATGCAAACCACATTACTGTATATTTCCTGATTCTATCTTGCAGTGAAATGGTCATCTTCTCCACTGCCCTAATGTCCTCCTCACTGTTATTTCACTGCTGTGTAGCTGTCTAGAAAAGGGGAGAAATGACTTTGCTGCATATAGAAAATACCTAAAGGGATACTACAGTCATCAAAATTTTAGCTTAATGTCACAGTTTTTCTGTATAGATCGTGACCCTGCAATCTCACTGCTCAATTCTCTTCCATTTGGGAGTAAAATCATTTGTGTTTCTCTTTATACAGCTCTAGCCACCCCACACCTGGCTGTGACTCACACAACCTGCATGGAGAAAAAGTTACCCTTTTCAGTCCTATGTTAACTTGTTTTAGAAGTTTTTATCTCCTCTTTAAAATGAGCTTTAATCACACACAGTGGGCTGGTGCAGTGTCTAGGAGGCAATTCACGAAGCAGGAGATAAGAAATTCACGATTAAACAGACTGTGCAATACAGGAACCTAGAATATCTAGGTTCCTTTTTAGGAAGTGTTTAGGAAGGCTGTGCAAGTAACATACAGGGCTATATAAACTAAGTGATTTAAATCCAAAATGGCAGAGAATTGAGTAGTGAGACTGCAGGGGCATGAGCTATACACACAAACTGCTTCATTAAGCTAAAGTTTTTTGGTTCCTATAGTGTTCTTTTAAAAAGATAATGATTGTATTTGGAAATAGGCGTGGAAGCGGAATACAATAACATAACTTCTGGAGCAAAATCCAGTGGGAAGCCCACAATTCCTGCCATATCAGTATTTCCCTTTCCTTTATGTTATAATAATAGAGCTCTCCTATTTAACACCTTTATCTTTAATTTATTTAGATGGACGTGCATGGTAAAATACGAGCAGTTTTGGCTGAAACATTGAAGGATGAGTTCAAGACAGACAGTCAACACTTTACAGAAGAAGATTTAATGATGGCCTTAAGACAGCGGGGAGTGATTGAGGACGTTGTAAATGAACTACGTTTTAATGAGGTAAAAGTGATGCATGGTTGTAACAATATCCTGCCTTCTACACTTATTCAATAGGGGAGCAGCTCTGGTGGTACATCTGTAGACATGAGTCTTTTAGGGGCTCCTATGTAAAGAGAAGGGTGTGAAGAATCAGTGCATGTTTGAAGGAGAGTCTTCCTGACACCATCAAGCAAAATAAAATAATAATTTGTGTTGATGTTGTAATAAGACAATACCAAAATTATTTTATTCCAGTGTAGGATCAGTGGTAGGGGGATTCGGTGCTTGGAAAAATATTTTTATGCCCCAAAAAAGTTATTTACAATTGAACAGTGCAAAAATCAATGAGTAATATTTGCTGAGGCTCCTACACACCTATAGCAGTAGCTATTCTCTGCTAAACCCTGGAGAAATGATCTCTTATGGGAGAAATAAGCATGATGGGTAATTTTTTAAATTATAATCTATATATTTTTTATTAATTATTTTAAGTTTCCAAGCATCGAATCCCCCTACCACTGATCCTACACTGGAATAAAACCATAAACAGTTTACAAATACTAAATAGCACGCCACATAGTGTTTAAAAAGTCTCCATAAGGAATAGCAAGTATAGGGATATACAGATTAGTCATCTGAGAGCACAGATTTAAAAAAACTGATATATGAAGCATCTTTATTCCAAATTTTATTATACAGATACAATGTCACCCTATGCCACTGAGATTCCAAAAGAAAGATCCAAGGTGTTTAAGTAACCTTTCCTCAGAAATGAATAAAAGTAAGAGTAGACATTGCATTGGGTATAGAAGTCTTTATATACAGGCATTTTTATTTTTTTCTACATGACAAACGAATACCTGCAAAGCTACAAAGTAATTGTATGATTGTTGAGTTGAACTAGTTTTGTTGTTGACTAGACATTGTCTTTAGTGCATGGTGTCATAATTTACTGTGTTTTGTTTTATTTTTAATTTTTCTATTTGCATTTTACTAACTGTCCATTTTGTTTTGATTTGCACAGCTCATGTTTTTGTTTTTTTTTACCATTTTAGGAACACATTTCTAGGAACTTTACCTCCACACCAAAACCAGCAACACATTTTATCGATACAGAACAAAGAACACTGAAAAAAAGTAAGCAAAGTTGCATACTTAAAGGACCACTATAGTGCCAGGAAAACAAACTTGTTTTACTGGCACTATATGGTCTTTAGGTTCCCCCCCACTCTCACGGTCCCACCCCTGCTGGACTGAAGGGGTTAAACACTTACCTTTCTCCAGCGCCGGGCTCCCTCGGCGCTGGGGAATTCCCCTCCTCCTGCCGTCAGTGCCGAATGCGCATGTGCAGCAAGAGCCGCGCGCGCATTCAAACAAATCATAGGAAAGCATTTCTCAATGCTTTCCTATAGACGTCCAGCATCTTCTCACTGTGATTTTCAGTGAGACAGCCACTAGAGGCTGGGTTAACCCTAGTGTAAACATAGCAGTTTCTCTATGTGGTCTGGGTTAACACTAGATGGACCTGGCACCCAGACCACTTCATTGAGCTGAAGTGGTCTGGTTGCTTATAGTGGACCTTTAACTGAATCTCCTCTCTTTTTCAGAGTGGCATTAATAATTGCACAACTTTTTTAAAAATGCAGTTGATTCTATAGCTTTTTTTTTTTTTTTTTTTTTCTTTATTTTTGTCATTTTTCTTTTGCATTTGGTTTTAGGGTACAGAATTAAGAGAGGGTAGGGGGATACAACGTTTCCTTGTCATATATACATTGCAAGCTTATTCAGTTTTTAAGATTTCATGTTTGACAGTTCGTTGTCTGTAGCTTCTTATATATGCCACACTCTTTAGAAGACCACCATATAAAGCCATTACCAAGTTATATGTAGCCATAAAGCAGCGTTGTCCAAAAGTTGAACATCAAGCTGTTTTAGAAGTACTTATCTACTTTGGCAGCTTTCATTCATCTACCCATTTCCTATTCAACCTAAACACATTTTCTCCATGCTCCAGTTCATCATATTTATTTGAATTACTCACTTTTAATTTGATTAAACTGAACTTTACATTTATCATCCTTTAATGCTCCTTTACATTTTTGTTTCTTCTTTTTACCATGGTAGCTAATATTGACCCAATGCGGAGATATCTTCACCTTCAAATCCTGGGTGGAAAAGCTTTTCTGGAGCATCTTCAAGAACCAGAGCCTCTTCCAGGACAGGTTTGCTCCACCTTCACAATCTGTTTGCACTTTAGGAACCAACGTTTTCGCTCCAAACCTGTACCATGCGCCTGTGAACCAGACTTTCAAGATGGCTTCTTGCTAGAAGTTCATAAAGACAACCTAGGTATGTTGTTCTTTTGTGATATTTAACTGACAATTTAACTGTTTGGAGGTTTATGAAATAAATCCTCTGATTTGCTGTATTATTTGCCATCTAAATTTTAGAGAAATCACACAAATGAGTTTGGGCTTTATTATCCATTTTCATGCATTAACAATATAATCCTTCAGAGCACATGAATCTTGCTTTCTATAGACTTTATAAGAGGGAATATTTACAGGCAAAAAGTGTCAAACTGGCAATATTTTACAGATTTGCTTCTTTTCTGTACATGATCTGATGACATTTTGTTACGGTGATTATTTCCTACTTGATTTGGGTGTAAGCTTCATTCTTTTTTCTGTGCATTTTCTGATTAATCTGTCCTTTATACTCATTAACATTTAATACTCTCTTAGGTGATGGGAGCCGAATGGCAGATGCAACAACCATGCTGTCAATTTGTGATCCTGTGCAGTTGATACTAATCAAGTTGGACACCTCTGGTGAAACCACCTTAGTTGCATCCCACTTTCTCGAATGGCGCTCTGTTCTCGAATCAGAAACTGGGGCAACAAGCCTGGCTGTGGAGCTCCTGGGAGTTGGTGAGAATCATTTGTTGCTGTAATAGTAAAAGAGATGTGATAGTTGCACTCTGTAACATGAAATTACACTTTTTCCACAAGAAAATAAGTTTCTACAAGAAACACTTTCTCCATTTATTTTAATCTGTAGATTATCGGTGTGCGCTCACAGTTCATAAGGAAGGCGCCTGCCTACCTGTGTATCTCTTCCAATGTTTGTCTTCTCTCCACTTTGCTTGTCCTTTCTATTTCATTGTACAAGTTTGCACACCATAATATATTTAAAATACTCAATAGCTCACTTTGCAGATCATGTTTCTTTTGCCTTAATGAAATCAATACAGTCCCCTGTGCAACCTTTGTCCCTCTTCGCTGTAAATACCTTAATATAACTAAATGAAGGTGTCTAATCTCCATCCCTGTTTCTTAGGCCTAATACTGAATTTCTTCATTATCTCGAAGTAGTTCCCGACTATCCGCCCGTCCACCTGTCCTCCAGCACACCCAAGGTTCCTTTAAAATTTATAGTATGCTCTTCCAGCTGTTTGAAATCTTATACTTAATTATCTCCACATCCCCTTTACATTTTACCAGTAGTTGCAACTTGCCTTTAATTTTCTCTCATCACTTCCAAATTTCCCCATCTACCATTTGTCTCAAATCCCCATTTTAACCTTTAGATTGTAAGCTCACAGGCTATATAACTAAGCAGTTTGTATAAAAGAGCTCCAATCGCTAGATCTCAACTCACGGATAAGGCCATCTTTGTCTTTTTTATTGATCTGTGTATATTGTACTCTTCCCCACCCAATTGTACAGCGCTGCAGAATATGTTGGCGATTTATAAATACCAGTAATAATAACACTGTGCAGACTGTTTTGCTCTTATAGATTCAGGTATACACACAGGTATATGCCAAAGGCATTATGCTTCCCATAGACTTGATGACATATCTATGTAAACCAATGGAAAAAAGTAAATAAATAGATTTCAGTCTAAGTAAAGCTGGTTTGGTGTTGGATTCTGTTTTAAATCCATCAGTGGCCATGACTGCCCTAAACAGAGCAGTTTAGTGTAACCGTCACTTCCTCCATTTTGACACATTCTAATTGCTAATTAGAAGTTTGCTTTAGCTTGCGCTTAAATTATTTAAAAATTAAATTTGCCTGCTTTGCCGGGAAAAGCTAGTAAAGTATGTAAATGACTTAAATGGATACTTTAAGCACCAAAACAACGTTGGCTTAATGAAGCTATTTTGATTTATAGATCTTGCCCCTGCAGTTGTATTGATCCATTTTCTGCCATTTGTACGTTAAATAACTTTTTTCTTTATTTTTATGCATCTCTAGCCACACTCACACAGCCTGCATAAAAAAATGGTTTTATTTTTAAACAGATGTTAACTTATTTTAGAAGTTTATAACTCCTGGTCTGTCATTTTACTTTAATCACACACATGAGGCTCCTGCTGAGTCTAGGAGGTTATTAACAAAGCAAGAGATAAATGCTAAATTAATTTACAGTCCAGGAGGTAAAAACTTCTAAATTAAGATTTAACATCTGATTGAAAATTAACTCATTTTTTTCATGTTGTCTGTGTGAGTAAAAGCCAGGTGCAGTGTAGTTAGAACTGCCTCCACAAAGTGGTTAAACTTCTAAATGGCAGGGAAATTGAGCAGTGAGACTGCAGGGTGATGATCTATACTATACACTAAAACTGCTCTATTAAAGGTACACTATTGGCACAAAAATAACTTTAGCTTAATGAAACAGTTCTAGTGTAAAGATCATGTCCCTGAAGGCGCACTGCTCAATTCTCTGCCATCAAGGAGCTACATCACTTTGATTATGCAGCCCTAATCACACCTCCCTGCATGTGTCTCAAACAGCTTTCCTAAACGCTTCCTGTAAAGAATGTTTAATTTAGAATTTCTTATCTCCTGCTCTGTTAATAGCATTCTAGTCCCTGCAGAATCCTCCTGTGTTTGAGTAAATTTCAAATTACAGAGCAGGTGATAAAATAACATATAAAAGCAAATTAACATCTGACTGAAAAGTAACTTTTTGTTTGTTTTTTTTCATGCAGGTTGTGCGAAATCACAACCAGAATAAACAGAAACAAACATTATTTAAGTCCTAAATGGCAGAGAATTGAGCATTAATACGGTAGGGGTATGATCTATACACCCAAATTGCTTTATAAAGCTTAATATGTTTTGGTGCCTGTTAGGTTCCTTTAAGCTAAAATTGTTTTGGTGCTAGGTGTCCCTTTAACTTGAAGTGTGTACATACTGCACTGCTGGAGAAAATGCAATGGGCACATGCTGACATACAGCATTTTCTTTGAGCCCTCCAGAAGCATCAATAACTCTCAAATTAACTTCCGTTAATGCTGCGCTAACACATTTTACAGCTATATATTCCTTTTAATTAAGTTGTTGCATTTATTTTAAAGGCATTTCATTTCAGTAAAATCTAATAAGTCTTCTTTGTGGATTTTTTAATTATTTGTAAAATGTATGTAATACTAAATGGGGTGTTGAGTGTTTTCCAGTTTCCTTCTCCTGGTGATGACTCGGTCTGTGTATAGGTTTTTTTTATTTGGCTTTTGTATTTGAATCCAAAAACTCTATAGCCCTCTTGCTAAAAAATGTTTTTGGTTCCTAGGAGCCGAATGCAAAGTTTCCGTTGGCATTTTGAATGTGAAACTTGAGCTGTATCCGCCATTAAGCAAGATTCTATCTCAGGAAATCGTTAAAACTCAGGTAAAGGGCCTTTGTTCGTCTTCCAATTGCAAGTTGACTTATTCCACAGAAACTGATTTCCTTGAAAGAACACTGTAAGCAAGCACTATCACCACTACAGCTTTTTGTACTGCGAATGATGCTTGAAGAGTTAGACACTGGCTTTAGTGTTTTTATTAATCTATTTTTAAGCAGTTTGACAAACAACAGAAGAATCCACGGCACCCTAAGGATTCCCATTCTCTGCAGAAAGGCACAGGAAGAGGCTCTGTGCCCTATATTATTGGAGAACCTGATTAGGTTCTTGGACTGCCCTTTCTGAAATACTAAAATTCCGCAACTAACAGGCAGTACCTTCATTGCCTCTAATCAAGACGATATCTGAATCACACACTTGTTTCTAGTTTATAGGCTTTCTCTTTGAATTTAAATAATGTTACTATTTAAAATTGAATTTTAAAGAACATTCATGCATGTCTGCACTTTGTTCCTGCATCCAAATTTGCAGAGCGAATGACTTTTCATTTTGTACCCCTTTGGCAGCTTTCCATAGAACGTCAGAAAACAGCAGAGAAGGAGAGGCTATTTCTGGTCTATGCTAAACAGTGGTGGAGAGAATACTTACAAATTCGACCTTCACATAACACAAGGCTTGTGAAGATATTTGCACAGGTTGGCATTTGTAGCATTGAATTCAGAAAATAGCTTTGCTAATATGAATTATCTACATAATCTATATTAAATTTGGATTTTAAAATTTAAAGGGATACACTAAAACAAGTTTAGCCTAATGATGCAGTTATGGTGCACACTGCTCAATTCTCAGCTGTTTAGGAGTTAAGTCTGTTTATGCAGGGCAGAGCCTGACTGCCGTGTTGATCAGTCGCACATCCCGAAAGCTCCGGGGAATAAAAATAAAAAACTTGTCTAAATCGACAACTATCAGTCCACAGTTGCAGACTTCAGGCAACCAACGCTGGTTGGTAACCGGGTGGACCCCTCAGTGGCTGTTCGAGCTGTTCCTCTGGCCAAATTCTTCGGACCTCGTTGGGGACTGACCTGCGGCCTAGCAGGGGCCTACTCACGGATGAGGGCAGGGAAGCGGCGGATCCCTCTACCATATGGCAACAAGACAGCTCGGGGTCTCCCCACTCTTTTCCCCCCCTAACAGTGAGGGATATCCAGGTAATCATTACCTGTGCTGTGGTGACAACCTTCCAGCAGTACCCTCTAGGCTGCAGCCCACCTGCCTCCTATGCCATGTGTGAACTCACACCACAAGACCTGAAGCCCTCAATCCTGGACAAAATAGACAGACTGTTTGCAGACTGTTGGTCTATGCTCGCCTGTCACATGGAAGCTCCGGTGGAGATTCAGAAAGCACCTACCCTGCCTCAGTCAACTCAGCAAAGTGCACCTCTTCCTCATGATGGCGGTACCCGCAAGATGGCTCTTAACTCGACTACATCAATGCGACGTAAGCCACGGAAACCGCACTACCAGCTGAGGTAGCAAGTTGTGGACCGACGTCCTGCCTGCTGCTGCCATGGAGTGCTGAGTTCCTCTATACAAGTGACTGTACTAAGCTACATGAAAAGACCACCACAGTCACCTCTGAGTCACCCCTCATGCTTTCTGTGGCCGGGCATCTCCTCACCAAGCGTGCGTTTAGCTCCCTGGCAAGTCACTTCTATGCTGGACAGTTATGTATACCCTGTGGGCATAGGCTAAAAGGGGTTAATTGGATGATGGACATGTAGTCCCGGGGTCCTGTCTCTACATTTTACACCTCATGGGACATTGTCACCGCAGGCAGAAACCTATGCCTCTGATACTCACCTCCTGCATGTGTCCAGTCCATATTTTAGTTTAATTAACATTTACAAGCTTTATACCATGCTATATGATTCCTTCTTTATTGAATTCTAAGCAACTTACTTCTTCTTGCAACCTATACTTTAAACATAGTGCAGTAACCTTGACATTGCTAATTCTCTCTAACACTCCATACTGTTGAAATATGACATGTATATCTGTGATGTTGAACATGCACTGGAAAAATACAGAATTTAAAAAAAAAAAAGGCTGTTTATGCAGCTGTAGCCAAACGTCCTCTAACTGTGACATTATAAAATTATATTAGTGGTAAAATGTTTTTTAAAAAATTGTGCGATGCCACATTTGATGATTGCTTACCTGTCTGTGGTTATAATAGGAGGTTGACTGAATAATTACCCAAAATGCTATATGTCATATTATATAATAGGTTGCTTTGTTTCTCCTAGGATGAGAATTGGATAAACCGTCCAGTGTGTTCCTATGTTCGTCCTCTCAGAGCAGGGCGGCTCCTGGACACTCCACGGCAAGCGGCACGATTTGTCAGTGTCCTGGGTTTTGAGAAGGCTCCGGTTGTTGGGGGTGGTGGCAAACAAGAACAGTGGTGCACCCTGTTGGCTTTTCTTTGCCGAAATAAGGTATAAACATTATAATTCCTAAATTGTATGTGTAACATTTTTTGTATGCCATTCCCTAGCTTTCTGTCAGTGTTTTCTAGTAGGTTGACAAAAACATGGGCTCTTCTCAACAACCAAACCCCAGCCCGGCAGTACTGATCAAAAGCTGCTTAAATTTAAATGGAATTCATAAACTGCGAGTGGTAAGTGCTTGCAGCCTGTGATTACAGTTTAAGGTTCGATGTCTTAGGACAGACAATGAGCCAGTGTTACTTCTGCATTATCTGAACAGCATTAAAGGGGACAAGGATAGCCAGATTTCTGTCGAACCGCTCTAAAATGGTTTCACAGAATACCACAGAAATATACACAAAGTCTTGTTGCACTATTACCACTTCAATGAACTATAATATTTAGGGTGTGCAACCTATCTCTTAAATTGTCTTTCATTACCTAATGGTGATGTCTACTCTTTAACACGGGGCAAGGATCTATACTGTGAAAAAACCCAACTTCTGTATATTACGTAAATAAATCTATGTATGTATACCAACTCACTTGCTGCTGTTCTAACTGTATTTCTGGTACCTGTTAAAACCCCAGCTAAATATGTGCTAGCTTGCTAATCATTTTTATTTAATATATATATATATATATATATATATTTCATAATCCTGTAACTCACGTGGTGATAAGTTGATTGTGGACTGTATCTAGTGCATAGAATGTGTGTATGTTAATGAATGCTTAGTCCACCCCTAACAATACAATCATGTTGGTTCCTAAAATTAATTTGTTCAAGGGATAATAGAGAGCTAAATCTTCTACTGAATGCACTCGCAAATTATTAAAAGTCCACCCAACCTCCATACTTTTGGAAGAGCTGGAGTGAATCACTTCCCAGGGGTCCAATTGGGGCTTGTGCAATCTTCGTGCCCTTTCAGCACTGCTCCCTGCACACAATTTAGTGATGTCAGCATCACCGCAGGTTGCGCAAGGGAGCAGTGCTGGAAAATCATGAAGATTACAGCTCCCTCACCGCCTCTATTCTCCCTTCGACACTGTAATTGGGCAGAGTAGACACCTGCCGTCCAGATAAGCGGGTGTCGTAGCTCACAGCCAGTCGCCACCTTGGGTTGCTAAGATGGCCAGCTCTTGATGTACTACCTGCTGTTAGTGCACGTACCCTTTGGGGAACTCCTATCACTAGTTGAGAAACAAGGATATATCGCATATCACGCATGGGGGAAGAATCAAACTTAAAGAATCTGGACAACATTACCATGCAGTAAAAATATATATTAATCTCAACCGAATCATAGCCTTTCTAAATAGCTAACTGGAGCTTGTCCCAGGCCGTAAAGCAACAATTGCATAAAGGCTGAAGTTGGCTGTGCTAGGGTAGATTATAAGGTCTAAAAAAACAGAAGACTGAGTCACTAATAGAGGTGTATAGGTGAAAAAGGAGCTATTATGGTGAACCTCACAACACCACTAAACCAAAAAAACAAAAACAAGTACTTGTACACAGTATAAGGGGAACAGCTCACTGCAAGAGTTAGGTGGAACAGCAAACAGTAGCCCAACAAAAGATACAGGGAAGAAAATGAACAATAAAATCAAATAAAAGTCCCACAAATAGTATCCAACGCGTTTCGTCCAGGTTGTGGACTTTCTCGGGGATCTGGGACATTGTCCAAGTTCTTCATTTATATATGCTTCTTAATTTCAGACCTTCCAATCAGCTGGCGTTCGCCTGCGTTCCACTGTGGAACGCAATTTACTTCCTGTGTATTGACGTCACTTTCGGCTCTGTCCACCGGGTATATTAAATAAGAAAAGCGCATGCGTGCGTGCAGATATCATCATGCACTCGCGCCTATAATAAGAATCTTGAAAAACGGCAACATTGGTATTAAAACAGCAACATGAACATAAGAAAAAAAAAAACATACTTAAATATACCAGAATAGAGTCTCCAATACACTTATAACAAATACAAGCATTATGCATGGATTGTAAATGGGTATGGGAATCCCGGAGGATAAAGCCAAAATATATATGTATCTATATATAGAAAAAAAGTATGAAAATACATAAAAAATGGAAACTAAATAAAATAAAATGAAATAAGAATGAATACAAATAAACATAAAGATAAAAATACATGCAAATAATAATAATAATAAAAAAATTAAATAAAAAATAATAATGAATAAAAAATAGAAAAATATGTATATATAAAAATTACAATATGTAATATAAAAAAGAAGAAAAAGCCCCAGAAGATGTCCGTTGACAATCCATCCATATGTAATGTTATAATAAGCAAAATTAGATAGATAAAAATTAAGAATTAAATTAGCCCAGCCAAATCCATATCTATATTAAGACCTGACTTAAGGGTTTTTAAAATTAAAAATCCACTGGGCTTCTTTTTTGGCCTCTCCGAAAGACCTATTTCCTCCTCTCCAATTTATTGGCATCTGATCTATTCCTATGGCTATAAAATTATGCCACTCAAAAAATGGACATGTATTACAGTGTCTGGGGACACTGATCAGTCTTCCTTTTTCGTATATTATTGAAATGTTCTCGTATTCTTACGTGTAACTTGCGTGTTGTTCTACCCACATATTGGACCCCACAGCCACATTGTAGCATGTAAATCACGTAAGAAGACAAACATTGTATAAACTTTTTAATTTTGTATTCCTTCTGAGTGTAAGTACCAATAAAATTCTTTGTAACACTCTTTTGATGTACACATGTTGAGCAGTTACCACAACTATAGAACCCCTCTCTGCTTTTCATATTTGACATTCTTGTTCTTTGGTTCTTATTTTTACCATCTGGAAGCAAACTTGGAGCTAATTTTATTTTTGAGGTGATCTGCTTTTTTAAATATCATAACCGGACGGTCAGGGATGATCTTACCTAAGATGTTGTCATTTTGGAGGATATGCCAGTGTTTTTTTTTTTAGCACCTTTTCAATCTTTTTTGCATGGACACTATATTGGCTTACAAAAGCATATTCAAACTTATTTTGCCTAACTCGTTTTCTGTTTTTATTTTTATTCTTATTTTTATTATCTGTAAGAAGTTCCGATCTATCTAAATTCCTTACCGCTATTTCATCTCTCTCCATTCTTTTGTAATTATACCACTTATTAATATACCTAGCTTTTATTAACTTGGATTGTTCATCAAACATTCTTAGGTCAGAACAATTTCTCCTGACTCTTGTCATTTGTCCCTTAGGAACATTATCTAGCCATAAGGGATGATGTAAACTCTTACTGTTAATGGCAGTATTGCAATCAGTTGGCCCTTAAGGACACATGAAGTTTGGTCCTTAAGGGGTTAAAGAAGGTTTTTGAATGTAATTGACCTTTTTCCACATACAAGGTTAGATCATGGAAATTGATCTGTGTTGCATGTATGGAAGAGGTAAAATGGAGATTATAATCATTATGGTTAATGTACTTAATGAAGGCGGGCAAACTTTCAGATGATCCCTCCCACACTATCAAAACATCATCTATGTAGCATCACCATAGGACGAGACCGCCCCCCGAGACAAGGGCCCAGATGGATACATAATGACTCCCAATGGGAAACATATAAGTTGGCAAAACTTGGGGGAAATCTCGTCCCCATGGCTACGCCACACAGCTGTACATAAAAAATGTAATCAAACCAGAAAAAAATCCTGGTAAGAACAAAATCAATGCATTTAACCAAAAAGTCAACTTGTATATCACATAAATCACTTTGTGGTTCCGAAATCTCCCTAATAGCTGTAAGGCCCTTCAGATGAGGTATATTAGAATAAAGGGATGTCATATCCACTGTAGCTAGAAGATAGGAAGATTTCCATTCTAATGTTTGTATAATCTGTAAAATATGTTTGGTGTCTTATATGTCAGGGGGTTAGAGCAACCAGTGGCTGAAGAGAAGAATCAACGTAAGCTGAAAGGTTACACGATAAAGAATCTATGCCACTAATAATTTTATGTCCTGGAGGGATTAGTAGATTCTTATGAATCCTAGGCAAGAAGTAAAATATAGCAGTTTTGCAGAAAGGGTTAAAGATGAAATTAAATTCTGTTATTGATAAAATATTCTGATCTAAAACTATTTGTAATAGACTCCTCAATTTATTTAGCTCTTGGTAGGGTCCTCTTTGAAGACTTTATAGGTATTGGAATCATCCAGGATATTGCGGGCCTTCTTCATGTAATAATCCTTCCCCATAATCACTGTACTGCCTCCTTTATTACAAGACCATAATTTTCCATTAGACTTTTTATTGCCTTTTGTTCTCCTTTCGTTACATTTGATTTTGGAAAACATGTAGGGATCTTTTCTAAATCAGCTTGCACCAATTCATTAAAAACTTCCCAAAAATTGACCTCTCTCATGATAGGGATAGAAGTTAGATTTATTTTATTATCATGCATGTACAAAAAAAAAATGTATAAGGTCGTTGCTCAATTTGATAAATGTTGTGAAATTATATTGAAATAGAAACTAACATAGTAGAAGGTCATTATCAACATATTTTTGTTTTCATATTTCTGTTGTCAAGGGGGACTGCGAGGATCATTGTAACCTTCTGTGCAGCCTGCTGCTTGGGTTTGGGTTGGATGCTTATGTCTGCGTCGGGACAAAAGGAAAGGGAGTGGCTCACACTTGGGTGATGACATATGGGACGGATGGCACGGTCACATTCTGGGAGAGCTTGAATGGACACAGGTTGGTACATTGAAGTTTATTTCTGCCAAAACACATAAGGCACTTTTGTCAAGTGTGTGTATATGTTTTTTGTGTTTGGTTTTTTTGGGGGTTTTTTCGGGGTGAACTACCTGATGGTTACTATTGACAAACTTTCGGTTGATCATCATTTAAAATGTTGTTAATTCTTGCACATCTTGATCCTGCAGATATTTGCATAAACCAATTAATCCCGATGCCCCACCAATGGTTGAACAGCCCAAGTGTGAGTACCCATACCGCTCGATTGGCTGCATCTTTAATCACCAGTGTTTCCTGGCCAACTGCCAGCCATCGGATTCTGTTGAACTATGTGTTTTTGATCTGAGCGATGAGTCCAGATGGAAGCCTATGAGTGAGGAAGCCATTAAATCTGTGTGCTCCCCAGGATCTACCACTTCCCTTCCTCCATTCCCCCCGCTCTGCAGTTCAGTGGTTGATGCTGCAGCAGAAAGTAATGACCTTGAGTTACAACTGAGATTCCTTGTGTCGGAGTACAGGAAGGTAAGGTTCATAGACTAATACTACTTTGTCATTATTCAATTTAGTTTAGATAAAATAAGTGCACCTCAGGGAAACTCAAAGCTACAAAAACAATAAAATTATTCACAAAAATAAATTATTACAACTTAAATTCCTCCCCATAATAAACTGTGTTTTAGCATAAAAAGAACATTTGAAAAGACCAACATTTATGATGTTGCTCCTTTAAGAGGGAATTGATTGTGAAAAGTTATTCTAATCTGATCTCAAATAATAATGTATAGATTGATCCCTATAGAGAATCAATAAGTCGTGTTGGGGAGCTTGCAAGGGCATAACCCATAGAGCATTGGAGAATAATAACTAATTCCAAAGGACCCCTACTAAAAGAGGAAAATGGAAATGAGCAAGTCCCTACAAAAATGATATGGCAAGTTTATTCAAAATTGGACAAAAAAATGTATTGAAATCAGAAGTATTCAAGGACTCAAATAATCAGTAAAGAATTATAATAAACCCATTACCTAACAAAACAATATATATATATATATATATATATATATATATATACACACACATACATACATACATACATACATACATACATACATACATACACACACACACATATGGAGTATTCTAATTAAATCTCAGTCTATGGAGTGAATATAGGGAGGACATATGTTTATAATCACACAAAGTACTCCAACATTCCATGACTGGCTCAGAAGAGTAGAAGAGATCTGCCAACTGGAATAGGGGGTTGTCGCAACTAAAGGAAGACTGAAGAAGCATGTGGAGAGCTGGAGAACCTGGATTTACCACTTGGGTACAGACAACACATAAAGCACAATGTGTTGTGCCCGTAAAGGCGACAGGAGACTGCGGGGCCATGGGGGCTCCGAGGAGGCTGGACGGGAGCACTAATTCAGGACAACTATTCTGCTATATTTTCACTCTCCCTCTCAAGGTGGTTCCTCACAAGAGCCCACTTACCAGGCTGCACAGGTTGGTAACTCGCAGAGGGTGCAGGTAGCTGTGGTTTACGCTACGACCGCCGGGCCCTAGGCCCTGGCATCAATGTGACCCAACAGTGAACCAGGTAATGGTCACGGGGCAGAGAACTGGCGAACGTGAATAGGGTGGATGTTCCCATGCACGGGACTAGGATTTTAGCAGTATACATGGAGATTCCGTGCACAAGGGCAGTTACACAAACTGAGTGACAAACCAAGCATAAACAATGCCCTTGAGCACGTAAGATGATACCTGTAGACCTGAACCTCTCCTTGCAAACCCACATTTAGTACCACAGGGGAGTAGTAATACTTGTGGTAAGGGGGGAACGACCTACTTCTGTAACTAATTCCCACCTGTATGCTAGGACTGTATGTAGTAATACATTGAGAAACTTTCAATGAAAAACTGAGATTGTCAAAAGGATAGGGAGGAGGGAGAAAGAGGGAATAGAAAAGAAAAAGCGGCACTCTAACCACTCCGTTACCTACATTATACAATTGTACATGTATCCTTAGGTACAGGGATTGCAGAATCAAGGTATGATTTATGTTATTTTTTTGTAAACGTTGGTCCTTTGTCTAACTACTTTCCAAAAAAAAAGTTAAATAAATATTGTCCAAAAAAAAAAATAATCGCACAAAGGTACATGACCCAGCAATATAAACCACAATTGATCCTTAGAAAAATAACAAAAACAACGGTTTCACAAAATGCTACTTAATTAATCTAGATACTCAGTGGTAGTCAAAATATTAATCTGTCTTGATATAATGATACTTGAGGTAACTATGTATCAATTGAGGGTCTGTAACACTAACAGTAGTAGTGATTAGGTATAATACATATGACTACATAAACCCAGGAGATTTGGGGGAAAAGGTAAAACAAACCAAACACACAACTATAAAAAATAAATAAGTGAATGGCGCTTACACAATACAAAAACACAAAAGTGGTGGTGGAAAAAGTGTTCCCCAACACCTTAAATACAAAGTATGCAATAGAAGATATATGGACACTGAATACACAAATGCCACAAAAATCCACACACCACTCTCTTAATCCCAAAAAAGTGAATGTATACAGTACTTGTAAATACAGGGATATATACTGGTAGTGTTCCATGTACTTGGACCCTATAATCACATAAAACAGTACATAGTGTAAACTGTATATGGAAATGACAATAATGAAAATATAATGGATCCACTCACGAATTTTAGAGCCGTGCCAGGCTCTATGTTGAATGCCCAAGGGTGCCTGTACAGGCTAGGTGCAGAGTCTTCACAATACCCCTCAAAGGCAGGAGAGACAGCAAGGATGGTATAAAAAATGGATAAATTTATTGCAAATAAAAATTATAAAAACAACTAAACAAGTTGTATAAAAAAGTGCAAAAGCAATATAATGTATGCAGACGCGTTTCAACTCGATCAGAGTCTTCCTCAGTGCATAAGAAAGTCCATCCAGCTGGTTCTCTTTAAGTGTACCGCTCGTCTGGCTGCCGGTCACAAGCCGAACTTCCGCCCATGTGACCGGCAGCCAGACGAGCGGTACACTTAAAGAGAACCAGCTGGATGGACTTTCTTATGCACTGAGGAAGACTCTGATCGAGTTGAAACGCGTCTGCATACATTATATTGCTTTTGCACTTTTTTATACAACTTGTTTAGTTGTTTTTATAATTTTTATTTGCAATAAATTTATCCATTTTTTATACCATCCTTGCTGTCTCTCCTGCCTTTGAGGGGTATTGTGAAGACTCTGCACCTAGCCTGTACAGGCACCCTTGGGCATTCAACATAGAGCCTGGCACGGCTCTAAAATTCGTGAGTGGATCCATTATATTTTCATTATTGTCATTTCCATATACAGTTTACACCATGGGTCGTCAACCTGGTCCCTACCGCCCACTAGTGGGCGTTTTGGGATTCCAGGTGGGCGGTAGGGACTTTGGAGGTTAAAACCTCCTTTTGAGCGAGCGCGCGAGCGGGCGGGCGCGCGAGCGGGCGCGCGAGCGAGCGCACACATCAAGAAACCAACGCGAGCGAGTGGGCGGGCGGTGCAGGCGGGCGCGAGCGCACACATCAGTCAACCTCCTTTTGTGTGAGAAGTTGTCGGGCGGGAGCGAGCGCACGCAAACACGTGGGAAGAGGAAGGGGAGGAGTTGAAACTGATAGCAGGGACAGGCAGAAGCAGGCTGAAACGGAGCAGAGGAGTTGAAAAAGAAAAGTTATAGGCAGGAGAAAGAGAATTGTTTAGGGGAGGAGTGGAAACTGATAGCAGGGACAGGCAGAAGCAGGCTGAAACAGAGCAGAGGAGTTGAAAAAGAAAAGTTATAGGCAGGAGAAAGAGAATTGTTTAGGGGAGGAGTGGAAACTGATAGCAGGGACAGGCAGAAGCAGGCTGAAACGGAGCAGAGGAGTTGAAAAAGAAAAGTTATAGGCAGGAGAAAGAGAATTGTTTAGGGGAGGAGTGGAAACTGATAGCAGGGACAGGCAGAAGCAGGCTGAAACGGAGCAGAGGAGTTGAAAAAGAAAAGTTATAGGCAGGAGAAAGAGAATTGTTTAGGGGAGGAGTGGAAACTGATAGCAGGGACAGGCAGAAGCAGGCTGAAACAGAGCAGAGGAGTTGAAAAAGAAAAGTTATAGGCAGGAGAAAGAGAATTGTTTAGGGGAGGAGTGGAAACTGATAGCAGGGACAGGCAGAAGCAGGCTGAAACGGAGCAGAGGAGTTGAAAAAGAAAAGTTAAGGGCAAAGAGAGAAAGAGAATTGTTGGCTAATAATAATAAGTGGGCTAACTAGCTCAGCCTTACTTTTGTCGCTCAGGAAGGTAAAAGAAAGGAGATAAAAAGGAAAAGATAAAAAAAAGGAAGAAAAATAGAAAAAAGGGGATAAAATAAAGGAGGAGAGTAAGCAGTGTTTAGTCTGGCTCATAAATTAAGTTTTGTTATCTTATAAAATAAAAGAAAAAAATAAGTAAGGGAAGGAGAAAATAAAAAAAAGGAAAAAGAGATCCTTAATATAGTGATATACTATAAGGAAGGTAAAGAAGCAGGCAGGAAAAGGAATTTCTTTTGATGGTGACATTAATAAAAATTGGCACCTAATACAGCATTGTTTTTGGTGTTAGTAATAAAAGGGAAAAGAGGAGGGAAAAAAGCACTGTGTGGAGTGCAGATCAAAACGTAAGAGTAAAAGTAGTTGTTAAATTGTGAAACAAATTTAGAACCCATGTCTGAAAAAAAGAAATACGCTCGTGGCTATTTACCAGAGTATCTGAAGATGGGTTTCATTGAATCTGTTACAAATAAACAGCTTCCAATGTGTTTACTGTGCCACAAGACATTATCTAATGAAGCAATGAAGCCAAGTCGATTGCGAGAACATCTTACTACAAAGCATTCGCAAGATAAAGATAAGCCCATTGAATATTTTCAAGAAATCTATAAAAGATTTCAAAATCGTTCAACAATAGCTACATCCTTTCAAAAACAACATGCAAAGAATGAGGATGGATTAACTGCAGCTTATCGTATATCACACTTAATTGCAAAAAGTGGTAAAAGCCATAATATTGGAGAAACTTTGATAATACCCTCTATCAAAGAATTTATCTCAACAGTAATGCATCAGGATATACCTGAAGTTTTAAAAACATTGCCCCTTAGCGATAACACAGTAAAGAGACGCATTGATGAAATGGCGGCTAATGTTGAAAATAAACTTATAGGTATTCTCCAAAATTCGTCATTTTCTATACAATTGGATGAGTCTGTCATTGCAGATAATAATGCTCTACTGATGACATATGTACGGTACCTTGATGAAAACAATACATTGCAAGAAGAAATGCTATTCACTGTCAATCTGATTACAGATACAAAAGGATTATCAATATTTAATGCTGTGAAATCATACTTTGCAAAAAACAATATACCCTTGAACAATATTGTTGCATGTGCTACTGACGGAGCACCATCAATGGTAGGCCGCTATCGTGGGTTTGTTGCTTACTTGAAGGAAGAAGTGCCAAGCGTTTTGTGTATTCATTGTGTTGTACACAGACAACATATTGTAGGAAAACATTTAAGTACAAGTCTCCATTCATCATTAAGTATTATAATTAAAGCTGTAAATAAGATAAAATCTAATGCCAAGTGTGATAGAATGTTTCGACAGCTGTGCCAGGACAATAACGAGCAGTTTATTAGGTTACTTTTACATACAGAAGTTCGATGGCTCTCAAAGGGTACATGCTTGACTCGTTTTGTTGCATTATTTGATAGTGTCGTACAGTTTTTTGAAAGTGATAATGAGACTGGTCTCTATGAACAGTTAAAAAACGTAAAGAATGATGCCTTTTATTTGGCAGACATTTTCAAGAGATTTAATGACATTAATTTGCAGCTTCAAGGAGCCAATATAACTCTTATAAGTTGCAAAAATATTGTGTCATTATTTATCGAAAAGCTTGATCTTCTCCGTCATAATATTTTCAAGAGAGAATTTCATCAGTTTCCTGAATTGTCCTCTATAAACAATGATGTAAGTCCGGGGGATATTGAAAGGTTCAGTAGTCACCTCAAGGAACTCAAATTGGATATGGAAAAACGATTTCAAGATATTTTGAACTTAAAGGTGCATGACTGGATGATAAATCCTTTTACAGCAAATGTTGCTGAAGTTGATATAACTTGCCAAGAAGAACTATTAGAACTTAAATATGACGAAGAGAGTAAATGTAATTTTGGCAGTGGTGGATACCAAAAACTCTGGCAAAATAAAAAAATGCCTGCGTTATATCCAAATATGTGGAAAATGATGTTCAATTTATTGATACCTTTCCCTACCACATATCTTGTAGAATCAGGCTTTAGTGCTGTTAATCATATTATGAGCAAACAGAGAAACCGTCTGAATATCACCGAAAGAGGAGACCTTCGTTTGTTCCTTACGAAAATCGAACCAGATATCAAATATTTAGTCTCGCAGCATCAGCCTCAAGGATCTCACTAGTAAAGCTAATTTCAATTTACTTTATTGTTTTCTAATTAAACTTTATAAAGTTAAAAACATTATAAACATGCATAAAGTAGAAATAAAAAGATAAGTGTACGTACATTTATTTATTTTTTTTAAAACAACCTCCTTTCTAAAAAATATTCCGCGCTTGCGCGAAAACTGGTGGGCGGTAAGGAAATTTTTCCATCAAGAAAGATGCATTAGTGGGCGGTAGGTAGAAAAAGGTTGACTACCACTGGTTTACACTATGTACTGTTTTATGTGATTATAGGGTCCAAGTACACGGAACACTACCAGTATATATCCCTGTATTTACAAGTACTGTATACATTCACTTTTTTGGGATTAAGAGAGTGGTGTGTGGATTTTTGTGGCATTTGTGTATTCAGTGTCCATATATCTTCTATTGCAAACACACAACTATGTAATGAAAAAACGAACATTTATTTGCAAAGGATAACTTATACCTAATGCTAAAAGGATATATTGCAAAGCATATAGCCTCCTAATACCACAGGCTGGATCTCCGATATAGGAGATCCAGAGTGCTACCACGACTTAACCACGTATTTACATTGCATTGCTCAAGGCTCTCCTATCAATGGTTAAAAAAAAAGAGTCAAATGTAGCTTTGCAATTACACATTCCAAAATATCAGATTATAGCTAGAGACTACTACAGACAAATCACCACTCACATACCATGAAAAGTTAAAAACATCTAAGCTACCCAAGTATCTAGCTCTTACCACCCTCCTGCCTCCCTCCGTGCAATATTGGGGTGAAAAAACAAACAAACTTCATTATGAGAAGCCTGTAGCTGGATCTCGTCTGGCCCCAGTGATGTCAGGAGGGGGCATGGAAGAGCAGTGCAGGGAAGTTCGGGAATACATTTTTTTTATTTTTTTTACAGATTTTACAACAAATTGAGAGGGGTGACTTTCTCCACAGTGCCCAAAAGGGCATATTACAATGGAAAAGCCCCCCTTTTTATTTGGCTGCCTGCATGGATGAACATTTAAAGGAATACTATAGGCACCAAAACAACTTTAGCTTTATGAAGCAGTTTTAGTGAACAGGTCATGCCATTGAAGTCTCACTGCTCAATTCTCTGCCATTTAGGAGTTAAATCACTTTTGTTTCTGTTTATGCAGGCCTTGCCACACCTCCCCTGGCTGTGTCTCTAACAGCCACAAATGAAAAAAAGAGTTAATCGTATGTTAAACTTTCTTTAGACGTTCTTATATCCAGTTCTGTAAATTGAATTTTAATCACACACAAGACTCTTGCAGGCTATTGTAGACCATGCACAAGATTAGATTTTTTTAATTAAACAGAATGTGCAGTAAATGATGTTTAGACATTTGATCTCTCTTAACAGGAAGTGTTTAGGAAGGCTGTGTAAGTCACATGCAGGAAGGTTTGAGTAGGGCTGTGTAAACAAAGTGATTTAACTCCTAATTGGCAGAAAATTGAGCAGTTGGACTGCAGGGGCATGATCTATACACCAAACCTGCTGTATTAAGCTAAAGGTGTTTTGATGCTTATAGTGTCCTTGTAAGGTAATTCACAAAATCTGAAAGGGTCAGGCTTGTACCAGGAAATTTAAAAATAACTGGGCCAGAATAGCAAGCATGGATGTATTCTGCAACAGTTCCAGCATCTATATTTTGCTATAGAAAATTTCCAATTCGTTTGACAATTTCTGGTTTAGTGACTTACCTTGTTTTCAATTGGAGTTGGATCCTCATTTTAAACTATTTTGCTAGCTACATGCATCATTGAAGTCTGACAGGTTACTTTCAGTAGTAGTCTAATTCAAATTTTTTTCTCCCAAAATGCTAGTAAATTTTTATCTCACAGACTGGGACCGTACGAGGCTTGTCACAATAACCTACAATTGTCATGATTTTGGACTTTAAAATGAGCCACACAAGAGTTAAGGTCAATGTTCATTTTAATTCCTTTAAAATTGGTGCATTATGGTACTGACCTTGGTTTAAGCAATAGTCAGCTATGCAAATAATTAACATGTGTGATATATTGTATTCCCCGTTCATTTTACTATAAAGGATTTAGGTCTCACCACTGTCTGGGAAGATCATCTATCCTACCTCTTAACGCCTGCATTAGCCTCATATGAGATTGAGCGGACCACAGGAATATGTGCTGGGAATGAGGAGTTTCAGGATTCCATAAGAAGGGCTGTTCCCAATGGACACACTTTTAAGGGATTCCCTATTCATTTTGTCCATAGAAATTCAAGAAGAGCATTTGCTACATGTCTGAGGTAATTATTAATGGTAATTTTATTAATGATTAACCTTTAAATCCAAAGATAAATTAATTAAATGAAAACCTGGCACTATCGGCTCTTGGAGAGCCCCCCTCCCTCGGCACTGAAGGGGTTAAAACCCCTTCAAACACTTTCCTTAATCCAGCACCGGGTTACCTCGGCGTTGGTGATCTATCCTCCCCCGCCGACGTCAGCTCCCGTGTGGAGCTGAATGCGCATGCGCAGCCAGAGGAGTGCACGCATTCAACCCGCCCATAGGAAACCATTACTCAATGCTTTCCTATGGGGATCTTATTTGACGCTGGACTCCGTGAGGAAGCAATCTCTAGTGGCTGTCAGAGAGACAGCCACTAGAAGCTGGATTAACCCTGCAGTGTAAACATAGCAGTTTCTCTGAAATTGCTATGTTTTCAGCTGCAGGGTTAAAACTAGAGGGACCTGGCACCCAGACAACTTCATTGAGCTGAAGTTGTCTGGGTGCCTATAGTGGTCCTTTAAGGGCTTGCTGAAGAATAAAACAAAAAAAAAATAATATATATTTTTATTTTTTATGGTTTTTTTAGGTGTCTTCGCAGTCTTACATGAATAGCAATTGTATTTGTAAACTTAAAATTGCTTACAAATCATGTATAAGATTTACAAAAACAGGTTAACAAGCTTGAAAATTCAGTAAAATAAAGTGTAATTGTATTAAATTAAAGATTGGAGTAAAGTAGGTGACCCTCTGTACATAAGATAAGTTATTTATGCAGCCTGATTTAGAACACATTGCAAAAATCACTGATCGTTGAGTAAGCTTTTTGCTTGAAAAATGGTATCTGGATTTATTTGGGTTTTAAATGCAATACAATAACTGCAAAAACGTAACAACATTGTTTTCCTCGTGCTTCCTTTTTTTGCTTCCTTGTTTTTCTAGCAAATTAGACAAATTACTCTTAAAAAAACTAGTTACGGCGCACTCAGACTTGTAAATAAATAACTAAGAAGGCTAACGCCTATCTAAGAATAAATATGGGGATTTAGTTCCACCATATGGCCATATGATGTTAAGCCCACTACTACTTCAAAGTACCCCAATATCAGTGGGTCCTACACTAATAACAAAAATGTGGGAGATAAATTAAATAGTACTAGTGCTAAACATAAGCTACAGTGTATTGAATTCATTTCTTTGTAAGAGCAAAGTGAGTATACAATAGTGATAAAAGCAATTAAAAACAGTGTAACAACTAAACAATTAAAGTGTTGGTGCTTGAATGAGTATACTCACATTTGCAGATAATATCTGTGCTGCATAAAGAAAATAATAAAAGTGACATGACTATAAAACTCCTCCTATTTATACACACCTGTGGCCACCTCTAAAGAGGTCTCTGAAGCTGGGGGGCCTGGGTGGGGTGCTTAACCCCAAAGGAATCTGGTCTGGATTCCAAATATAATTGCACAAAGGAGAGATTGGGGGCACACCCGTATACATGAAAGGTGCTGCCGCAGTGACCAAAATTCATACAGAAAAACTAAATCCCCATATTTATTCTTAGATAGGCGTTAGCCTTCTTAGTTATTTATTTACAAGTCTGAGTGCGCTGTAACTAGTTTTTCTGTATGAATTTTGGTCACTGCGGCAGCACCTTTCATGTATACGGGTATGCCCCCAATCTCTCCTTTGTGAAATTACTCTCAAAAAGCATAAATTCCCTCAAAAAGCACATACACATTGTAGAGCTCATAGCTTTAGAAAAAAATCCATATCTGTGACATCTGTACCATCACTGACAGTGTAACAGCCTGGTTTTATGTACACGATCATTGCATTTACAGATTACACTATGCTGCTTTGAATGGCTTAGTTTGCCAAATTTTCAACTTCTTAAAGCATCATGCTCCGTGTCCTCTTAGAGGTTGCGATATCTTACAGTTCATTGCAAAAAGTAAATTCTTACAGCTTGTACAAATGACTTCATCCAACCTTGTTCGTTCTTCACTGCTTTCATTGCTAGAATTGAGTTCACCCAGTGATTGTGCCACAACTTAAAATTATTAGCCGAGTACATAATTGTCACTGCCTTTACAGACTACACTATAAATGTATATGCAGCTTTGTTCATGACCTGTTCCTCAGCTGTGAGATTGCTAAATTGCCACAGCGAGCAAAATCCTGGCAATATTTTAAGAAAATATATTGGACAAACCTCTCTACAGATTTCTCATAGTTAATGCACAGAGATTGCGTGAAATAAATGAAACCTAAACTGCATGTTCTTTATGATCGAAATTACTACCAATAGCAGAAAAAAAAAAATCTGTGCACCCAAGACTTGAGGACAGTTTCTTTTTTATTTTTTTATTTTTTTACCATTTGGCTTAGTGTGTTTGCTTTACACAGTCATACATGTCACTGTCAGCGAGTTTTTTTTAGGGACATGGTGTGTGTGTGTGTGTGTGTGTGTGTGTGTGTATACACACACACACACACACTCTCTCTCTCTCGCTAAATATCACTAAGAGGAGACTAATCCACTTCCTCATGTTTAATAACTCTCTTGGCAAGCCCGCTTCTACTATTCTGTGTTGCTTTTTCTACTCTGACCTCAGAATTTGATTGTTTTGTTAATATTTCCGCAGATCTCCATTTTGTGATGAGATATTATCCTGCCGTGGGGATCAGATCAGACTTGCTGTCAGAGTGCGTGTTTTCACGTACCCAGAATCTGCTTGTGCTGTGTGGATAATGTTTGCATGTAAATATCGGTCTGTGTTATGACACACACACTACCTCTTCATTCTAAGCATTCAGACTATTTTTTTATATTTTTTCTTAAATATGCTTGTTTTGTAATTATGCATTTTTCTAAAAAAATAAAATAAACTAACATTTTTTATAGTTCAAGACTTTTCATCAATGCTAAATAAATTTCTGAAAAATATATTTTTCTATGGTATTAAAGTATTACATATAAGTTTATTTTGGCTACTCTTTTATTAAACCAACATTTTGTATTTGCGTGTGTTTATTAAAGTAAAAATGGTAATAAACAGGATAGTGTTTTTCTATTTTTGCAGTGCCTTATGGGCTAACAAATGGAATAACTATGCAATGTAATTCACCCATATCTTCCACTAGGGGGTGCTGTATGTTTACACTAGAGTATTGAGACTACTGTTGCGCTGAAAATTATTTAGAGGTAAAATTATTTGTATATATTTTCATTGTCTGATGATTTATTTCTAAATTTCCGACAAGCTTGCATATCTCTCTTCTTACAGTGCCTTGCAAAAGTATTCACCCCCCTTTTACCAATTTGTTACATTACAGCCTTAAGTTCAATAAGTTCAATGTTTTACTAATCGGAATTTTATGTGATGGATCAGAACACAATAGTCTAAGTTGGTGAAGTGAAATGAGAAAAAAAAAAACAACTATTTTTTAGAAATAGAAAACAGAAAATTGGCATGCGCGTATGTATTCAACCCCTTTGTTATGAAGCCCATAAAAAGCTCTGGTGCAACCAATTACCTTCAGAAGTCACATAATTAGTGAAATGATGTCCACCTGTGTGCAATCTAAGTGTCACATGATCTGTCATTACATACACACCTTTTTTGAAAGGCCCCAGAGGCTGCAACACCGAAGCAATAGGCACCATTATCCAAACACTGCCACGAAGAACAAGGAACTCTCCAAACGAGTAAGGGACAATGTTGTTGAGAAGTACAAGTCCGGGTTAGGTTATAAAAAAATATCCAAATGTTTGATGTTTCCCAGAAACACCATCAAATCTATCATAATCAAAACGGAAAGAACATGGCACCACAGCAAACCTGCCAAGAGACGGCCTCCCCCCAAAACTCACGGACCGGGCAAGGAGGGCATTAGTCAGAGAGGCAGCATAGAGACCTAAGGTAACAGAGTTCCACAGCAGAGACTAGTATCTGTACATAGGCCGACAATAAGCCATATGCTCCATAGAGTTGGGCTTTATGGCAGAGTGGCCAGAAGAAAGCCATTACTTTCAGCATGTATGGAGCAAGGTGCTCTGGTCTGATGAGACTAAAATTGAACTTTTCGGCCATCAAAGAAAACGCTATGTCTGGTGCAAACCCAACACATCACATTACCCAGAGAACACCATCCCCACAGTGAAACATGGTGGTGGCAACAGCATCATGCTGTGGGGATGTTTTTCAGCAGCCGGGACTGGGAAACTGGTTAGAGTTGAGGGATATGGATGGTGCTAAGTACAGGGATATTCTTGAGCAAAACCTGTACCACTCTGTGCTTGATTGGAGGCAAGAACGGAGGTTCACCTTCCAGCAGGACAATGACCTCAAACACACTGCTAAAGCAACACTTGAGTGGTTTAAGGGGAAACATGTAAATGTGTTGGAATGGCCAAGTCCAGGGATAGGCAATCTTTGGCACTCCAGATGTTGTGGACTACATCCCCCATAATGCTCTTACACACATAATGCTGGTAAAGCATCATGGTAGGTGTAGTCCAAAACATATGGAGTGCCGAAGGTTGCCAATGCCTGGCCTAGTCAAAGTCCAGACCTCAATCCAATAGAAAATCTGTGGTCAGACTTAAAGATTGCTGTTCACAAGCACAAACCATCCAACTTGAAGGAGCTGGAGTAGTTTTGCAAGGAGGAATGGGCAAAAATCCCAGTGGTAAGATGTGGCAAGCTCTTATCCAAAGCGACTTGGAGCTGTGTTTGCCTCAAAAGGTGGCTCTACAAAATATTGACTTTAGGGGGGTGAATAATTATGCACATTGACTTTTTCTGTTATTTTGTCCTATTTGTCGTTTGCTTCACAATAAAAAAAAAAATCTTCAAAGTTGTGGGCATGTTCTGTAAATTAAATTATGCAAATCCTCAAACAATCCATGTTAATTCCAGGTAAGCAACAAAACACGAAAGATGCCAAGGGGGGTGAATACTTTTGCAAGGCACTGTAGGTTTTTAACCTGGGATTGAACTTTTGTAAAGGTTGTTTATAATATAAATTCTGCTCCACTGTTTTCTTTTATAAAGGATTGATTGTTTTAATAAATAGTGTACATTCCATTGATGGATAATGTGGAAAGCTGAATGCTATAGAAAACATTATTTGTTACAGTAGAATATATAAAATTGTCAGGCAACCTGGGAGGTGAAAACCTGGCCTGCTACAAGATCTACAGAGATCTAAAAGAATGTAATCCTGGCTGGAGTGCCTCCCATATTTTTAATCATTTTATAAACACTGCATTAGAAAAAAAATGCAAAAACAAAACCAAAAAACCTAAACTGGTAAGATCAGGGCTGCCACCAGAAATTTTGGGGCCCCTGACACAGCCCACCATCTGGGCCCCCCGGGGCCACCCCCCAAGTCAATCCACATGACCTGCCCCAAGCTTGCCCACATGACATGCCCCCACTTTGTGTAGTGGACAGAGTGTGTGTGTATAGTGGATGTATTTTGTGTATAGTGGATGTATAGTGTGTATAGTGAATGCAGTGTGTGTGTTTGTGTAGTGGGTGTAGTGTGTGTGTGTATAGTTAATGCAGAGTGTGTGTTTGTGTACTGGATGTAGTATGTGAATAGTGAATGCAGATTGTGTGTTTGTGTAGTGGATGTAGTGTGTGTGTGTATAGTTAATGCAGAGTGTGTGTTTGTGTAGTGGATGTAGTGTGTGTGTATAGTTAATACAGTGTGTCTGTGTAGTGGATATAGTGTGTGTGTATAGTAAATGCAGAGTGTGTGTTTGTGTAGTGGATATAGTGTTTGTGTGTATAGTAAATGCAGTGTGTGTGTTTGTGTAGTGGAAGTAGTGTGTATATAGTGACTGCAGAGTGTATGTGTAGTGTGTGTATAGTGAATGCAGAGTGTGTGTTTGTAGTGGATGCTGTGTGTAGTGGATGCAGTTTATGTGTTTATCTGGTTTATGGTGTGTTTATGTGGTGGATGATGTGTATGGTCGTGTAGTGGATGATGTGTATGGTCATGTAGAGGATGATGTGTATGGTTGTGTAGTGGATGATGTGTGTGGTTGTGTAGTGGATGATGTGTGTGGTTGTGTAGTGGATGATGTGTATGGTTGTGTAGTGGATGATGTGTATGGTTGTGTAGTGGATTATGTGTGTGGTTGTGTAGTGGATGATGTGTATGGTTGTGTAGTGGATGATGTGTATGGTTGTGTAGTGGATGATGTGTATGGTTGTGTAGTGGATGATGTGTATGGTTGTGTAGTGGATGATGTGTATGGTTGTGTAGTGGATGATGTGTATGGTTGTGTAGTGGATGCAGTTTGTCTGTTTGATGTATGTGTGTGGTGGATGTGTGACAAATGCTGCTGGGAGGCATTTTGGTTTTTTTTTTCTGTAGAATTGTTTGTAATTAAAAAAAAAAAAATGTATTCCCCCCTCCCTGCCTCTTACCTGTAGTCAGGGAGGGGGGACAATGGATTCCCTGGTGGTCCGGTGGCTCTGCGTGTTGGGCCAGCAAGGAGGAGCCCAGCAGACTACCTCCTGCAGCCAGGACGCGAGCCCAGCATGCATTGCGTGCCGCGGAGCGTTGTCATGACAACCCGCGGCAACGCTTTACTGCTGTGGCTCGCGAGAGTGCTGGAGGGGAAGGTAAGTATATCCTGGGCCCGCAGAGGCATATATACATAGCGGTACTCTCTCTCTATATATATGCAGATTGAAGGGCTGGGGGCCCGGGCATGCAGAGGATTACCTGTGCAGTCCGGGCCCCCCAGGACCGCCGGGCCCGTGACAACCGTCATGGTTGTCACCCCCTGATGGCGGCCCTGGGTAAGATACCTCCTATAGTAAATAAGCTGTGCCTAGATTAGTAGAAACCAATGTATGGTCTCTTTATCATTTGGAGTTCTGAGCATATCCAATGACACTGTCATGGAGTAACACTTCCGGGTTCGGCACTCAGCTGTGAGGAGAAGGACCCCGCCCCCCTCTGACACAGCTCTGACGGTATTTAGGTCCTTTAATGGGGGAAACATACACAAAACACACCCTACAGGTTAGCAATGATTTTTAAAGTAGTTCTGTAATATACATGTTGTCCTTCTTTTGGGAGATGTCCCTGCATTGTTTTTGTAGAGACAAGAATGGAGGGTCAAATAGTTCCAAGTTAATGGTGGCAGAAACCATTTAGTTTACAAATAATAATATGGAGATTGAGGGGAAATAAAAGTTGTTATTCTGGGACAGGTAAAATAAATAAATATCTCTAGAATGTTTTAACCACCCATGAGACAATCATTCAGAGCAAATCAATCAAAGGTAATTGTGAATGTGTTTACATTGAGTTATGTGGTCAATTCCTGGGAAGGACTCCACATAGAATATGAGATCTTCTTCCAAGACATTCTGACAATGTCTTGGAAGTTTGTTATGACTGCTGAAAAACCGGCATCTTGCCTACAATATTTGATAGGCATGGATTACTATGCCACCTTACTAATTGCTTGTAATTTGGCTGTAAAACGTTTATGGCATTGTTTATGACACACTTACCTGTAAGTACATGTCTATATTTTATTAAACTTCATAATAAATTACATGTTGTGTCTCCTTTAACAAAAGAAATATATAAATCAGTTTACTTCACCACCACCATTACATGAAAGCATAAGCTTTTTTTGTTTTTATTTTGCAGACAAGGTTGTGTTAGAAGAAAATGATGTAATTGGTCTTTAAAGGAAAACTATAGGCACCCAGACCACTTCAGCTTATTGAAGTGGTCTAAGTGCATATTACCAGTTTTCTAAACCCTGGAAAAGTAGTTATTGCAGTTTTTAATTAACTACAATAATCACCTTTTGAGGGTTAACTCAGTCTCTAGTGGCTGTCTACCAAAGAGACTTCCGGGTCGTTAAGCGACTTTTGGTTGCCTAACTGATGCTTGACGTCCTCACGCTATGCATGAGGACATACAGCGTCACCCAAAACCCTTAGAGGAAAGCATTTGACAATCCTTTCCTATGGGGCTGTTCTAATGCAAGCAAGGGCATTGCCGCACATGTGCAATCGGTAATTCGAGGCTCTCCTAGGTGGCCGCCGTTCGACTACCGACCATGCGGCAGTCGGCCATCTTGGATCCTTTGTTCCCTCAGCGGTGTTAGGTCGTCGAGCGCATGGTACTAAAAACGGCTACTCGATGGCGCGAACACCGCTGAGCCTCCAGGGGAGTTCCGGGCCGTTCGGTATTTCATTCCCTGGAAGGCAATCGGTCATTTTAATATGTCTTTTAATAAATGTGTTTTTCGTGCGGCGTTCGGTTGTTTTAGCTGGGATCTGAGCGGTAATCTCACGAATGATGCGCTCAGACCCCAACTATCTACCGAACGTCCATTCATTTAAATAGACCATATATTCATAAAGTTATGTATTTTTATACGAATTGTAAGTTCTGCTGCACGGAGGGATAATCCACTTAACGGTATTTTCCAGTGGGAGGATCCCTCTTGTGCAGCAGTGCCTGATGGGAGAAATACCCTGTACAATAAGTCCCCCATGTAGTCCCCTCTGGAAATGCCCCTGGGAGGGGACTCAGGAAACCCCATTGCATGGGGACTTGTATAAATTGTGGAGCTGAAATAAAAGACCTCAGTTGACTCTCAGAACTGTGTTTCGTCCGTTTACTGGGAGATTTGGGATATTGCCTTGTTGTTTCCAGCGCTTGACTGTGGATTACTTCCTGAACCAGCGGAATTCGTGGATTTAATATTGGCGTTCGGCTACAATTGTTGGCAGCGACGGGATCGAACTCTACAGCCGAATACAGCGCATTCGAATGAAAGGAACAACCGAACGGAAAAAGGGAATGGCAATTCGTATGCAGCAAACAGACGAAAGAGATCAGTGAATGGGGACTGATTACACGACTTTAAAAAGGCAGATGCTAAAAGAACTGCTGGAGGCTAGAGGGAAAAGCGCTAGCAATAAATCCAAGGCAGTACTAATTGCAGAACTAATGGAAGGCGACCGAGCACACAGCAGCCCACCCCCACCAGCCAGGGAGGAAACCCCATATCAGAGGGAACTGAGAACCCGGCTGGAATTTGTACCCGAGCCAGTACCCCTAGACATCTTGACCATCCTGATGGCAGACGTACAAGACTACATTATGGCGCAACAGCACCAGGGGGCACCATCCAGGGCAGAATCCATCGCCAATTCATTCTGCGCTCCAGTGAAACAGAAAATACCGTACCAGGCATTTAAAGCATTCTGTGAGGAGAAGGATGAGATTGACGGGTACCTGCAGGATTTCGAGCGGCTATGTGACCTACACGACCTGGAGCAGGCAATGTGGGTACCCCTGCTAGCAGGCAAGTTGGCAGGGCGGGCAGCAGAGACCTATCGCGCTGTCCCCAGAGAGGACAGCAAGGACTACTTTAAAGTAAAACGGGCAATCCTAGAGAGGTATGCCATCACACCGGAGGCATATCGGCGTAAATTTCGGGGATTGCGGAAGCCTGAAAAAGATTCCCACGCTGAGTGGGCAAATAAGCTTGACCAAGCTTCGCAAGGGTGGATTCAGGCCAGCCAAGCCACCACCATGGAGGAACTGCGCCAACTAATTTTGCTGGAGCAGTTCTTTAACGGACTTTTACCAGAGGCACAAGAATGGGTAAGGGACAGAAAACCCCTCACCCTAACGGAAGCCGCCCGGTTGGCGGATCAACACTTTGATGCCAGGCTGCAGATGCTCCATTCTAGTGAGAAGCGTACTTAAAGCCTGAGTGAATTGATCCATGCGGTGATCATTCTCCTCTAATTTCCTCTCGCAAGCAGCTATGTGCTGACACAGTTCTACAGGATCTATGGCCATGTCGTAATGTCAGGATTACTGTTTGATCCAGCACGTAGAACTGTACAGCACGGATGACAAATAAGTAACGTATTACCGGTCCTTAGAATGGCCGGATTTAACGTACAAAGAATAGTCAAAAATACTAGCCGAGGTCAGGGAACACAGAAAGGGACACAGCGATGAGGAAAGCCAGGAGTCAGGATACCAGAATATAGAGAAGTCAATAAACAAAGCCAAAGTCAAAAACCAGGTAGAAAACTATAAACAGGAACGCGCTCTCAGACCACAAGGGAAACCACGACAGGGCACTGAGCAGGCTGAGAACTGGGCCTAAATACCCCTCCTTTCTTTCTGATAGGCTGTAACCGGCCTTTGACCCCAAAGTCAGTTACCAGGTTTCATTTGCATAATTGCTGCTCAGCATTAACCCTTCTGTGGATTAGGTTGCTGCTCGGCACAACTTTTCCTGTGTGGACAGTAAATGTCATTAACCACATTTCTATAAGCGGATGAATACGTGACATTACCCCCCACCTGAAGAACGCCCACCGGGCGGACAGGACCAGGCTTGAGAGGAATTTAGCGTGAAAAGCGCGGATCTTACGGCCCGCATGCAGGTCAGGAGCCGAAACCCAAGAACGATCAGCAGGACCGTAACCTTTCCAAACAACCAAGTACTGTAAAGTGCCCCGAGAAAACCTAGAATCCACGATAGAAGATACCTCATACTCTTCCTGACCACCCACCACCACCGGAGGGGGAGGAACACAAGGAACAGTATATCTATTGCAGACAAGAGGTTTGAGTAAGGACACATGAAAAGTGTTGGGAATCCCTAAAGATGCAGGAAGAGCCAGAGAGTAAGACACTGGATTGATCCTACGAAGCACTCTATAGGGACCAAGGAATCTGGGGCAAACTTCATGCTAGGGACCTTAAGCTTGATGTTGCGAGATGACAACCAAACCCGGTCCCCCACTTGGTACACCGGGTTGGCACTCCTACGCTTATCAGCAAAATGTTTGAAGCGTTCAGCAGCAGCCCCTAGAGCAGTTTGAACCTTAACCCAGGTATCCCGAATGGAGGCCAGACGCTCATCCAGAGCAGGAATGGCAGTATCAGAAAATACCGCAGGGAGAACCGTAGGATGCCTACCATTATTGACAAAAATGGACTGTGCCCAGAGGAGTCATGAACAGCATTGTTTCTAGCGAACTCGGCCCACGGGAGTAGTTCGGACCAATTGTCTTGTGTGCTATTAATAAAACAACGCAAATAAACTTCTAATGACTGGTTAGCCCTCTCAGCTGTACCATTGGTCTGTGGATGGCAGGAGGAGGAGAAGGAGAGATCAATCCCCAATTGTTTACTGAACGCCCTCCAGAACCTGGACACAAACTGAGAGCCCCTATCGGACACAATATTGTGGGGGATGCCATGCAAACGGACAATTTCACGTATGAAAATTAGGACCAAATCTTGCGAAGATGGCAACTTCTTGAGAGGAATGAAGTGAGCCATCTTAGAAAATCGGTCTACAACCATGAGAATAGTAGTGAACCCAGCAGAGCTAGGAAGCTCTACAATAAAGTCCATGGATAAGTGGGACCATGGAATCTCAGGAACAGGAAGAGGCTGCAACAGGCCACAAGGAAGTGCATGAGTCACCTTAGAAACTGCACACACAGAACATGCCTGCACATACTCCTTTACATCTTTCCTGAGTGAATCCCACCAAAATGATCTAGTGATCGCGGCAGTGGACTTATTGATGCCCGGGTGTCCAGCAGTTATATTGTCATGGAACACTTTCATGATATTAACCCTTTCACATAGGGGAACGAACAGTTTATCACACGGTTTACCACTGGGCGCCTGAGGCTGGGCCTCCAGTATGGTGCCAAGCAGTGGAGAAGACAGTGAGAGGACAGTAGTGGCAATAATACACTCTGGTGGAATAATAGGAGATGTCACCTGTTCCGGAGCTGACTCATTATCAAATTGCCTGGACAAGGCATCAGCCTTGGTATTTTTAGAACCAGGTCTATAAGTAATGAGAAAGTTAAAACGTGAAAGGAATAGTGACCATCTAGCCTGTCTGGAAGACAAACGTTTGGCATCCCCTATATATGCCAGATTTTTGTGGTTGGTTATCATCAACAGGGGGTCCTTGGAACCCTCCAAAAGATGTCGCCACTCCTTGAGGGCAAGAATAATGGCCAACAGTTCTCTATTGCCAATATCATAGTTGCGCTCATAAGGAGACATCTTTCTGGAGAAGTAGCCACAAGGATGCAATGGTGTTCCCTGGCTTTCTCTCTGAGAGAGAACAGCCCCTACCCCTGTCTCGGATGCATCAACCTCCAATATAAAAGGTTTACTAGTGTTGGGATGTTTTAGTATGTCCGCAGAGGCAAATCTTTGTTTAAGAGTCTCAAAAGCATTCACAGTCTCTTTGGACCATACCGTGCTACTAACCCCTTTGCGAGTCATATTTGTGATTGGGGCTATTACAGAAGAAAATCCCTTGATGAATCTTCTGTAATAGTTGGCAAAACCAATAAACCTTTGAATGGCTTTTAAACCAGAGGGTAATGGCCAGTATAGTACAGCCTCTAGTTTTTTAGGATCCATTTGAAATCCCAATGCAGAGATGTTGTAACCTAAAAAGTGGACTTCAGGCTGGT